GTGGGTCCGTGCCGCTGGGTCCGTGCGTCCGTGAGTCCGTGGCGCTGGGTCCGTGGGTCCGTGGGTCCGTGGGTCCGTGCCGCTGGGTCCGTGGGTCCGTGGGTCCGTGGGTCTGTGGGTCCGTGCCGCTGGGTCCGTGGGTTCGTGCCGCTGGGTCCGTGGGTCCGTGCCGCTGGGTCCGTGGGTCGGTGGCGCTGGGTCGGTGCCGCTGGGATCGTGCCGCTCGGTCCCAAGGTCCGTGGCGCTGGGTCCGTGGGTCCGTGGCCGCCGCTGGGTCCCTGGGTCCGTCGTTGCCGCTGGGTCCGTGGATCCGTGGGTGCCGACGGCTGACTGCTCCACTGTGAAAGACTTCGTCGCAAAGTGCGGCGCTCTTGATGGCGAATCCCTGCAACAAAAAAATGAGATTTGCGTGGGCCCGGGAATCCCAAGGCAACCAGGGAGAGCGCGGCTTTTGCACCCCTGCCCGATCTCCCTGGGCCGCGGCTCCTCACTCCCCGGGCGTGGGAGCGCCGCGGAAACCTTTGAAAAACAACGGCGCGCAACTTTTAAACCATTGGCCCAAGAGCGGAGGGGAAGGCAAACAGACAAGGAAACCGTAGGCGGCGATAGGCGGCAAAGCCGGGAGAGAAAGACCGAAATCACGGTGGCACATTTGGGGGAAGGGGAAAGTTCGCAAATGTGTGGGCCTGGCCACACTCATGCTACCCGGCATTATTTGGGTGGGGGATGGTTCGCAAAAGTGTCCGCCTGGCATCACCCATGCTGCCAAACATTTTTTTTGAGCGGCGGATGGTTCGCAAAGTGCGCCTGGCCACACCCATGCTGCCAAACATTTTTTGGAGCGGCGGAGGGTTCGCAAAGGTGGGCGCCTCCGCCGCTGGGTCCGTGGCTGCCGCTGTGTCCGCGGGTCCGTGGCTGGCGCTGCGTCCGTGGGTCCGTGCCGCTGGGTCCGTGGGTCCGTGTCGCTGGGTCCATGCGTCTGCGCCGCTGGGTTCGTGGCCAGGTCCGCGCCGCTGGGTCCGTGGGTCCGTGCCGCTTGGCCCGTGCCGCTGGGTCCGTGGGTCCGTGGCGCTGGTTCCGTTGGTCCGTGCCGCTGGGTCCGTGGCTGCCGCTGTGTCCGTGGGTCCGTGGCGCTGGGTCCGTGGGCCCGTGCCGCTGGGTCCGTGCTTGCTTTGCGTAGGCCGCGCGGTGGTGCCTTGACTAATACCACCTGTTTGCATGCACTTGCTTTGCGTAGGCCGCGCGGTGGGGCCTTGACTAATGCCACCTGCTTGCATGCACTTGCTTTGCGTTGGCCGCGCGGTGCGGCCTTGACCAATACCACCTGCTTACTTGCACTTGCTTTGCGTAGGCCGCGCGGTGGGGCCTTGACGCGATTCTATCGTGCACTCGTTTTGGCTCATGGCTTTTCCTCGCGCGCGCCCACATCGTAGCGTCAAGCGATGAACATCCTTTCGCTTGGCGGAGTGGCGTGTGCATTGTTCAGTGTCATCCTTGGGTCGAAGCTCTCAGTCCGCCATGGATATTCAAATCCTGGACGTGGACTGCGTCCAGGTGGGCAAGGGCCCGCATGCGCCAGGGTGGCTCGCTGATCTTCGCAGCAACAATGTCTCCTACAGCTCTACTCCAGATGCAAGCGAAATTAGCAGAAGGGAGAAGAAGAAAGGATACGCATATGTGGTTCGGCTGTGGGGCAGAACGTCGGCGGGAGAGTCCGTGTGCGTGACGGTCGTAGGTCCCTGGTCCACCTCGTACAGAAAACTGAAATCCGTGGGTGGTCTGGAGAACCTAGCCAGAGCCATGCAAGAAGAACTGAATGCAAAAGCTCAACGCGCAGGGATGGCTGATGTGTCGGTGGTCCACAAGAAGACCACCATTTGCTACATCGCAGACCCAGTGACCACGCAGCCTGTGCGTCGCCCCTGGCTTCGGATAAGAGTGGTGAACGCCTTCCTAAAAGGCCAGCAGACCACTGCTCTACGCAATGCCGAGGAGCGCTGCTTCACTGAAGCGGTCTTTAGGCCTCTGACAGACGCTGAGTCCCGCGTCGAAGTTCACCTGGAACTTCTGCAGTCTGTCGGGCTGCGTCCTGGCGGATGGCTGCACCTGTCCTCGTCTGTTTGGGCTCGCGCAGAGCTGGGTGGGTGCAAGACACACGCGCGTTTGCAAGTGCAGGTTGTGCGGGAGGAGTTGGCGGCGGCCTCCGCGGAGACGGACCAAAAGATCTCTGCCATTCGTGTCCTCTCATGGGACATAGAGTGCTACTCTCCTCAGCACGCCTTCCCTACGGCGACCAACGTAGACGACGTCATTATCGCCGTCGGCTTGTGCTCCCGCACGCTGTGCGCTGACTCCCCGCAAGCTGCGCGGGAGGAACGGGTCGTGCTATCTCTTCACGACGTCGCTGTTCCACCGAACACTAACGTCACCGTGGTGAGCTTCGACACCGAGGTCGCTCTCCTCAAGGCATTCGCTCCAGCACTCCGACGCCGACGTCCTCGTCGGATACAACACGTGCGGATTCGATTGGAAGTACATCAGAGACAGGTTGGCGATGCTCGAGGAGTGGACGCAGAGCAGGGACGGCTCAGAGAGCGAGGGGATAATGCGACTTTCGCGAGTGGCGCGGCGGGCATGCGTGCCGGAGGAGCAGCAGCTCGGTTCTGCGGCGATGGGCGACAACCCCATGTGCTTCCCTCGCACGCCCGGCAGGATCGGCATCGATTTGCGGTCCTACCTGAAGCGAGAAAGCGCGCCCGACCTCCCTAACCTGAAGCTGGGCACGGTGGCCGCCCATTACCTCGGCGAAACACAAGTCAACCTTCCTGCCAAAGCCATGTTCGCGGAGTACGAGCGCGGGCCGGAAGGCCGTTCACTGGTAGCGGAGCAGTGCTGCCAGGACTGCATGTCGGTGCTCAATCTGCTCGATAAATTGAATGTCCTCCCGACGCTTCTGGAGATGGCGAAGGTGGCTCGCGCGATTCCGGAAGACCTTCTCCACAGGGGCCAGCAGATCAGTGTCTATACGCATCTCCTGGCTGCCGCCCACGAGATCGACGACTATGTGGTCGAAGATTCACCACGGCACGCCGGCTCAGCTGATCTAGATGGCGAGAAAGAGCAAGAGAACGACAAGAGCGCGCACGTGGAGGAGTCGCGACAAGGATACTACCTCGACCCCATCATCACGGTTGATGTTGCCAGCCTGCACCCGAGACTGATGCGCACTTACAACCTCTCGCCCGACATTCTCCTCCCCGACGACGCGGATCGCCGCATCCCGCACGCTTCTCTGACGGTCTCTCCCGACCGGGAACCTCTACGTTTCGTTGCGGCGTCCCATTGCCGTGGCCTGCTGCTGCGTATCCTCGACACGCTGCTCCAAATCCGAAAGCGGGTCAGAAAGGAGATAGCAGAGGAAAGCAATGTTTTCAAGCGGCAGCTTCTGAGTGCAAAACGGTTGGCGCTCACGAGTCCGCCAACTCCGTCTATGGAGCGTGTGGCGCCACGAAGGGATCGCGTCAGTGCCGAGAAGTAGCGGCGGCGACGGCCTCCACTGGCATATTCCCGAGTGGAGCACAACAGGCTCTGGAGGAGATTGCCCGAGAGGAGCGCCGTGCCGCCCGAGAGGAGCGCCGTCGCAATCGGTATGTGGAGAAGATGCGGCGCAGGTTTACGCTTCACGTCAAACTGCCTGGTCAGGGCAGAGGTTTCGCGGGCAAAGGTGCCAAAGTTCTCAGGGTGGACACGACCCTCGACGCGCCCCTCGGGGAAGCTGTGAAAGAGGCCTACCGGAAGAAGCAGAATACAGAGCCAGAGCGTGGATTTCGACTCAAGAAGGACGTTATCCAGGTGCAGCCTGCTCATGCCGACGCAGAGCCCACCCAGAGCTGCACAAAGCAGGTGACGACGGCTGGCTGCTCCACTGTGTGGGATTTCGTCGGGAAGTGCGGCGCACTTGATGGCGACTCCCTGGAGTGCACTATATATTGCAGACTCCATCCATCTCAGGAAGAACAGCAAAATGCTGAAGGGTAAGGATAAAGATCATGGGCCCCTCCAAGAAGATTGGGATGCTATCAAAAGTTTGATCAACAGCAACCAAGAAGGCATGCCCAGCTGCAGCAGCAAATGTGATATGCATATGCCCAGCAATACTGATTCAAGTGTGAAGTTGCCATCTTGGCATGGCATCACAGATGATCCAGATGAGTTGGAGTTGCTAGCTTACTTCCAGAGGAAGCTGATGGAGCTAAGGACACTTAGGGGTGTTGGACAGTTGGCCATGCGTTACGATGATCTTCCAGGGGGCAGGCAAGCCAGGCGAGACAAGCAGTCGGACAAAGCGCGCAAGGCGCTCCTGGAAGAAGCGAAAGTGAAGGAGCTGGCCCCGCTCGAGATTGAGGCGGCGAGCGCGAGGAAAGCGAGGGGCAAGAAAAGGACGAGGGCAGGTACTGAGGTGAGCCGAGTGTAGGTGTTCTACCGCGTGGACGACGTACTGCGTCTGGACAGAAACTTGTGGATTGCCATCGAAAAAGATGTTTCCGTGTTGCGTTGTGCTGTGCGTGTAACTATGTTGATTGGATCTGCGCTGTGCGAGTCTGCCGCGCGGCCACGCGCGCACGCACGCACGCGTGTGTTGGTGTGTGTGTTTCTGTGTGCGTGTGTGTGTGTGCGACGAGGACGACGAGGACGACGAGGAGGAGGAGCAGGACGAGGAGGAGCAGGACGAGGACGACGAGGACGACGAGGACGATGAGCATACGGGGCGCGCTCGACAAGAACGCCATCCGTCAGCGCGTGTGTCGCAGCGCTGCCCGCGGACACCAGCAGCACAGCGCAATGATGGTGCGCGCCTTCACATGACGCACCGCCATTTGGCTGGCTCAAGGTTGGTTGACGTCTGTCCTTTGCGCTCGCAGCCCGCAATGTTTCGCACGCTCCCCGCGCCGCCTGCTTTTTGCATCGACCTGGCGAATCACGAGGGTCTCCATTAGCGCATGGTGGAGAGGGGTTTGAAGCGTCGGGCGGCCGCGCAGTTGATGAAGGAGATTGTGGCGGAGTGCGTGGCCGAAGGCGCAGCGCGTACGGCTGCCACGAAGCGCGCCCGGAAGCAGCTGGCAGTCAAGCCGGCGCCGCTCTCGAAAGCGGAACAGGAGCGGCGCCAGGCCCAAGCGGAGTCGCGGGAGGAGGAGCGCCAGCGAGTGCGCGACCTGGCGCAGACGCGCCCTGAACTCTTCCCGATGCGGTCGCCGCGCGATCCCTCCGTCGCGGGCATGAACCGGTTCGCGGAGGCGCGCCTGGCGGCGGCCGCCGGCGTGCCCTGCGAGGACCCCTTCATGAAGGTCCATCTCGTGTGCTCACCGAGGCGCGACGGCGACGCCACAACGCGCGCCGTTCGCGAAGTGCAGGCGGGCGCCGAGGATTCCGATGCAGATTGCGATGCCCTGTGGCTCGCGTGCGTCGCCCGGGCGGCCTTCGGCACGGAGCGCTTCGTCCGACGCCTCGGTCTCCAGCGCCCCGCTTCGTTCGAGCAGTTCGTGGAGGCGTGCGTGGGCGCGGCGGTCGCCGTGGCGGCCGAGGGCTTCCACGCGTGCACCGACGCCTACACGGCGGGCCGGCTCGGGTGGAATGACGAGCGCGCCGCCTGGCGCATGGGCGACGATGCTGCCGCGGCCGAGTATCTCCGCGAGAAGCACACCGGTCGCCGAGAAGGCCTGGGGGCTGCGCGACGACGTGCGTGCAGCGGTGCGCTCTCGCAGCTGGCGGCGTCTCCTGGCGGCCGTCCGCGGCGGCCCTTTCATGGGGCTGCAGCGTGCCCTGGATCTCCTGGGCTCGCCCGTGCTCCCTGAGGCTGCGGTTGTCGGCTTGGACGAGTTCTGCCCGCTCGGCGACGGAGCGATCCAGGGCTTGGGGCGCCTGTACAAGGAGTTCGCGGGCGAGATGAGCAAGGTGCCCGCTGCGCAGGTCCAAGCACTCGCGCAGCCCTATCTGCGCCGATGCCGCGACGCCCTGAACGCAGGACTGACGGCGGACCACCCGCACATCAAGCGAGAGTTGGGCCGGTGGTCGCTGAAGGACGCCGAGCACTGGCTGTGCGAGTGCAACAAGTACTGCCGCACGGTGCTCGGCGACGAGGGCTGCTGCCGGTCCCGGCTCAGGTGCCCGCGTGACATTGGCACGCAGCTCGGCGGAGCGGGCGGCGACACGCGCGAGCGCCCCCGCTGATCATAGGGTGAGCCGACGGCGTATTTGATTACTGGAGCGCGACGTTTGAAAGACAGCCTCGCGCGCATCATGAGGAAGATGGTGGTGATGCACATTAGCCCTCGCACGGCCGGCGAGCGCATGGCCGGCGAGCGCGGCGGTGATGTACTGGCCAGCGCACGGCCAGGGAACGCGGCGGTGATGTACTGGCCAGCGCACGGCCAGCGAACGCGGTGGTGATGTAGTGGCCAGCGCACGGCCACCGAGCGCGGCGGTGATGTAGTGGCCAGAGCACGGCCAGCGAGCGCGGCGGTGATGTAGCGGGCAATGGCCGGCGCGCGGCCGGCGAATTCAGCGGTGCTATGAGGTGCTATGAGGTGCTATGAGGTGCATGAGGTGCATGAGGTGCATGAGGCGCATGAGGTGCATGAGGTGCAAGAGGTGCAAGAGGTGCAAGGTCAAGCGACCTTTCATGCTCCTCATACACATCTCTGCAGATTCGCGCACACAATGCTAAAGCCGGGTGCGTGCAGAGCCACAGGACATTTCAAAACCGCAGTACTTGCCAGAAGGCCTCCTCCGGCTTTCCGTGGGCGATGGCTGCCGAGGCGACGCACAGGCGGGTTCCCGCAAGGGCAAGGGTGTTGCGTTGGTGCCCGCGCCAAAACCACCACCCCCGGCGAGGGCTCTGAGGAGGACCTCGAGGGCTTCCTGTGTCCGCGCGCAGAGGACAAGCAGATCTCCAGGCGCGCGCGCTGAACGGCCCTGCGCCTGGGGAGCGAGGGTCCCACCGAGGGGGTCTACGACGCCTTGTGGCAGGCGCTGGGCAAAGAAGGCAAGCGCTGGCTCAGCGTGGCCCAGCGCACAGGAGTGCTACGCGCCCTGCTCTACAAGGGAGACTGCTACGCTAGGGCCCTGCGATGACGGCGAGATTAACCTCACCACCCTCCCAGCGAGTGCAACGCCTTACGATGTACGCGGCGTGACGGCCGGGGGGCCTGCCTCGCGTCGCGCCACAGTTGATTTTGCGCGCGCTTGGCTCGGATGCGCCCGGGAGGCCACATCGAACTTTGCTGTCGAAAGCGAAGAGGAGCAGCAGGCGGCGGCGCTGGAGGCGTTTGAAGACAGCCAGGGCCTCTCGGACAAGGACTTCTATCTGTCGCTGGCGGCTGCCAAGTTGAATGGGGACTCGCGCCGCGCGGAGGTGCTGAAGAAGATCAGCCCCGAGCTGAAATCGCTCCGGTCGCTAGAGAAGAAGCAGCAGAAAGTCCTCGCCGGCAGAACGCAGGACCCGTGCTACCGCGCGGTCCAGCCAGCTGGCCTCCACATGCTAACGGACTTCGTTGGCGTGGCGTCTTGGCTTGGCAAGACGTGGTCCCCGGAGAGCGACTCCCAGGCCATGACGTTCCTCCACTGGCTGAATTCCCCAGAGCATCTGGAGCGAACGGCCGTGCTCTGCTCGGACGCTGGCTCTAGCAAAACCGCCGTGCTCCAAGGGACCGCGCGGACCCTCGCAATTCGCTATCAGGAAGAACGATATGGCGAATTAAGCAAAACAGGAAAATAAGGAAAATAAGGAACATGAGAAAATAGGGAAAACAGAGCGCCCCGTAGCATCCTTTCTGAGAGTGCGTCCAGTCAGCGCGTAGCTGTATGTTGGGCTTGCGGCGCAAGAGTTAAGACGTCGTTGAGTGAGCCCAGCCGAGCATGTGTATGGTTCAGTGAGACAGTCGGTGTTCGTCCGCTCGCATAGATACAATTACAGCGTAGCGCTGTGAGCGTCCTGATCTCAGAAAATCTGTGCGAAGCGCGAACCTGTGCGCAGGCATGCAGAGTGATGCAAAGGTGAGCGAACAAGGCAAAAAATGCGAGCTCGTTGCTAGAGACGCTGCCCGGCGACGCGGCAGAGCACATGTAGCAGTCTTTCCCGCAGTGCAGGTGCTCAAGGTGTAGGGGGCTTCGCGCGCTTTAGGCAGTACTAGGCTTGGTTAGTCTCCGCCGTGCTTGTCGACGCCGCACCGCCACCATATGTCCTTTGTCTTCTGCCTCCGCGCTGATGGGATTCTCCTCGAGGGCATCACGAACGCTATGTGCGTCGACCGGCTCACGGCCATGCACCCCACATCTCCGCCGCTGCCAGGTGTGTGGTCGCAGGTGCCCTGCAGTCTCCTTCCCGATGGCGCCGCAACTTGTTACTTCAATGCCAGCATCTTCATGGAGCAAGTCGTGGCGCCGAGCCTGGCGACGCCCAGCGCCGACACAAGGCCGCTCATCACGCCGCTTATGCGGGAAGAGAACAGGCAGGAGTGGGACCGCCTCTGGAATTTGAACAGGACAGAGGAGTGCCCTGTGTGCCACGAAGAGCCAGACATGTGGGATGGACCCATGAACAGCGACATGCCCACCCGTTGTACACACTGGGCCTGTGTACTTTGTTGGGCAAGGATTGCTAACCGCGACAAGCGATGCCCTATCTGTCGGGAGGACCTGAGCGCGTGGATTCGCCGCCACGACGCTGGCGGAGAGAGCAGCGAGTCGGACGAAGCCCCCGAAGACCCAGAAGCAGACGGAGATTCACATGATGAGCAGGTGGTCAGCGCAGTGAATACGACGATCGACACCTCTGGTTGACAGAGGACTCGCGCATGGCTTGAATCCGCTTCGCCCTTTCGGCCTTTCGCCGTTCCGCGGTTTCACAGGTTCGCCGTTTCGCCGGTTCGGACTTTCGCTGTTTCGCGGTTTCGTTTTGCTCGTTGCATTCATGGTGGCCCGACCCGAGCGCCTCGCCCGAGTGGCACTCGACTTTCGTCCAGGGAATGCCTCAGTGCCTTCCCGTCCTTCCCCCTCCAGCAGTATTAAATCCGATCCAAGCGTCCCGGCCCAGCCAGCTTAGTCCGGAGTCCCCCTGGGGGAAGGAGAGGAGCCTAACACGAAGAGGTGGACAGTGGGAAGGTTAAGGAAACGGCGGGGTGGAGAATGGAGGGGTGGAGACCAGCGGGGTGATGCTGCTTCGGTAAGAAGGCGAAAGGAATGATAGGGGCGAGCAAAGGCGTAGTCAGAGAGAGCAGGAGGAACGAGGGGAAGAAGGAGATGTGGGGGGGGGGGGGGGGGACATGTCTCTTCCATTTGCCGATCTTCCCCTACACCTTGCTACCATCCGTCTTCAGCCATCATTGTGCAGTCTCAATCCCCTTCATTCTTTAACAGAAAACGATCCCATTGGAACTTTTCTGTTCCCCGTCTCTGCGTCCGATTTAAGCGATTAAGCCGTTTGTACGAAACCTGCCTGAAGAAATCTTCCGTACGATATCTAAAGCATCCGTACCAAAGCTCCGGGAAAGTTCTTCCATACGAAACCTTCCGGAAGAAATCTTCCGTGCCAGATCTTCCGCACCAAATCTTCCGTACCAAATCTTCCAGAAGAGATCTTCCGTACCGAATCTTCCGGAAGAAATCTTCCGTACCAAATCTTCCGGAAGAGATCTTCCGTACCGAATCTTCCGGAAGAAATCTTCCGTACCAAATCTTCCGGAAGAAATCTTCCGTACCAGATCTTCCGGAAGAGATCTTGCGTACCAAATATTCTGTCCCAAATCTTCCGCACGAAGCCTTCCGCACCAAATCTTCCGCACGATCTCTTCCGGAAGAAATCTTCCGTACCAGATCTTCCAGAAGAAAGTTTCCGTACGTAATCTTCCAGAAGAGATCTTGCGTACCAAATATTCCGTCCCAAATCTTCCGCGCGAAGCCTTCCGCACCAAATCTTCCGCACGATCTCTTCCGGAAGAAGTCTTACGAACCAAATCTTCCGGAAGAAATCGCCCGAAGGAGGCAGTCCAGAAGAGAATATAGCCTTTTATACGATATTGCAGAACACCTCTTAATGCATCAGCAGCGTTTCAGTATCGATTTCTTGAAGCCAACCCTTGTCGCATCACGACCCATGCCCGAGAGCGTCATGAAGCAACAGAAGGGTACCAACCTCGGTGGCATATGGAACCGAAGGACGAGGCGCCGGAGCTTTGGCAGCAAGTGGTGGCGGCACGGGCGGAGGTGGACCGCTTGCACAGGACGAAGAAATCCTCTCGGACCGACGCCGCTGTCGTGGACCAGAACATCGCCAAGATCTCGAAGAAAATTGAGGATCAAATCGCCCTTCGGTTCCCGGAAACGCCCGCGAAGGAGGAGAAGCCAGCGCGCGCGCCGACTGCAGCGGGCAGTGCCGGTCGTAAGGGCAGTGCCGTTGCGAACTGCAGTGCTTCGCTCAACGACCCAGTTGCTGCGATACAGCCACCTGCAAAAAAGGCGCGGACGGGGGCGGCGCCCAGCGCTCGCGAAGAAGCGACGGCGGCGAGCACGACGCCCTGCGCTCGTGAAGAAACGGCCGTTGCCTTCCGCGCCAGTGGCTTCTCGCCCGGGTCCTTGAGCGCACTCGCGCGTCTCCTGGCGCCGCACATGCCGGACGCGCGGGACGCTGTGGCCGCCGGACAGCTGCAGCTGCAGAACGGTGGCGTCGGAGACCAGCTCCCCAGGGCGCTGGGCGACAGACTGCAGCGTATCGAAGCCAGCCAGAAGAAGCTCCATGAACTCGCGGTCACGGAATACATCAAGGCGAACGAAAAGTCGGTTCGGTCCGCCGCGATAAAGAAGCACTGGAAGGCACATCGACACGAGCCGGCTTTCGTTAAGGAGGCCAAGATGGCTTATGCCAGCGCGCACGAAGAAGCCATAAGGGCCGAAGCCGCGAGGGTGTACATGAAGGAGCACGAAGACGAGGAGGATTTCCGCGAGGAGGCCGCTCAAGAATATGTCGCCCAGAACCAGGATTGCGAGGAGCTGCGGGCCGCAGCCGCCAAGCTGTACAACACGAAGACGACGACGCTTTCGTGAAGGCTGCGGAGGAGAAGTACATCGACGAGCACGAAAGCGAGATCGAGGAAGCCGCGGCCGAGAAGTACAAAGAAGAGCATGAAGACGACGACAATTTCGTGGAGGTTGCGCAGGAGAAGTACATCGAGGAGCACGAAGACGAGATCCAGGAAGCCGCGGCCGAGAAGCACAAAGAAGAGCATGAAGATGACGACAATTTCGTGGAGGCTGCGAAGGAGAAGTACATCGAGGTGCATGAAGACGTGATCCAGGAAGCCGCGGCCGAGAAGTACAAAGAAGAGCGCGAGGGAGAGGAAGCTTTCAAGCGAGCAGCCAGACGCTTGCTGGCAGACGAGATGCAGGGGCGCTAGCGGGGTGAGGGCCCGCCGCCGCCTTACGCGCGGCGCGACAACGCGAGGGCACCCAACGAGCACAAGACCCCCACAGAAGCTCCATCGACTGCCGCCCGCATCACCACCATCGTTCTCCTCCCATCGAACGACGACGAATTGCATCACTGTCGGCTGTTCTTTCTCATTGTTACCCGGTAGAGGTAGTGCAGTGCAGCTTGTTGTTGATGTTTCTTGTTTGCTCGCCGCTTCGCGGTTTCCCTTCGGCGCCTTGGGCAGCGCATTTTGAGGCGACCGGGAGCGGGCCGCCTTGGACAGCACATTTTGGGGCGGCCGAGAGTGGGGCGCATAGCACAGCACATCTTGAGCAAGTTACATCATACCTCTGGCTGACAGGGGATTCGCGCATGGCTTCAAGCCGTGTCACCCTTTCGGCCTTTCGTCATTCCGCGGTTCCACCGTTTCGCCGTTTCGCTTTGCTCGTTGCATTCATGGTGGGCCGACTCGAGAGCCTCGCCCGAGTGGCCTTCGACCTTCGTCCGGGGAATACCTTAGCTAGTCTTTACCCCTCTGGCAGGGTTGGGTCCGACCTATGCTCCCATTCGCCCGAGTGGCTTCCACCCAAGTCCAGGGGTCCCACCCATGAGTGCGATGGAAAGGCACGAAGACACATAGACAAGGACGCACAGGCACGAAGGCACATGCGCGCAAAACGCACAATGCACGCAGACACAAGCACAAATACACGAAGGCACATGCAGGCAGGCGCAGACGCCAAGGCACATGCACGCAGGCACATGCACGCAGACACACACACAGGACACGGGCGCACGTGTACTCTACACTCACAGGCGCAAGGCACAGGCGCAAGGCACATGGCCCAGGGACATGTCACAGACGCATGGCACATGGCACATGTACCAAGGCGCAGGCACACATGACACAGGGGCGTGGCACACGGATTGGCACGTTGCAGGGTAGTGCATTTCTTACTGATTCGCGTTTTTGTTATTGCTGTTGTGCTGTTACAGTTCCTGAAGTCCTCGTCGTTTCCTTGCCGATGCTCCTTTGTCGTGCGTGTGTTTATGCATTATTGTTGCGTGTTGTTGTTATTGCTGATGTGATGTTGCAGTTCCTGACATCCTCGTCGTCTCTTGCTACTGCTAACGTTGAATGGCTTGAGAACCGATTGTTGCAAGGCGAAGATAGTGTAGCGCGATGGAAAAGGATATTTGTCGACAGGAGCACGGGCTCGTGTGCCTGTGTTGCGCGCATGAGCTCGGGGCAGTAAATAAGGAGGCAGGGGACATTTCGCCAAGGGGGCTGCCGCGCCCCTGCGAGTATGTGTGTGCAGGGCAGTTGCAAACGGGGGCGCAAGCCGCGCGCAAAGGACAGGCGTTGTCGTACCGCAGCCATTTGCTCTCGAGCACTTGTGTCTCCAATCCGCGCGGCAGCTTCGCACAGCGCACAGCTGCCAATGCCGCCCCGTGCCAAGAAAGCGGCACGCCCGATCGCAGCGCGCGGCCTCTTCAGGGTCGGCCAGATCGTCGAGCTTGACGCGAGCGGCTTCGGACCAGGCGCCTCGCTGCAAACCGGAGAACGGGGTGCGGTGGTTGCGCCCGGCCGTGTGAATGGGGTCGGAGCCGTGGAGTACAAGGTGCTCTGGCACAAAAATGGTGTAGAGTCGGGCATGGTGCAAGATCGCCTGCGCATGTATACGCACCCGATGGACAAGCCTGGTCGAGCGACGGGTGCCTTCAGTACCATGGAGGCTCTCCGCAAGGTGCTGCAAGAAGAGCAGCCACATGCCATGGCGGAGGTGCTTCGTGAGCTGGAGGGGGCCCGCATGGCTGCAGAAGACTGGCGTGGTCAATTGAGGTCGGCGGTGGAAGGGACGTCAAAATGCTATGTGATGGCCGCCGCCTTCAGTGCCGCAGCCTACGACCGCCAAGGCAGCGACAACTTCTGGATGCGCAGCGACGACTTGTCGGACAGCGACGACTTGTCGGACAGCGACGAATTGTCGGACAGCGACGACTCGTCGGACAGCGCCGACTTGGCGAGGCAACCCGGTGCTAGTGCGGTGCGCCAGGAGAGTGGATCACACGAGATGGCCCGCGCTGCGCGGTTTGCGCGAGGTCTTCGCGCGCCTGAAGGAGAGCTTCGACAGGATCGCGGCCATGGACGCGAAGCTCGCCAGCAGTCGACCGTGACCTTCGAGGAGGTTCCCGTCGATGAGTAAGATGAGCTCGCGCGTTTGTGAGGCCATCCCGCACAGGTGCAGTCGCGCATTCGTATGATGTGTGCGCTCCAAAATGTACGCCATCCCACCAACCTGACCCTCCACAATCTCTAGTAGCATCTGCAGTGTAGCGGTTGTAGCGGTTGTTTGGGTCGTAGCATCAGTTGGTCGGCGTATGTTTCGTCGTGTTTGCTCTTGTCTGCAGTTGTTTCGCTTTGATGTTTCTTATATGCACGCTAGGCGGCTTGGTTAGACCCGGCCCAAGCGTCCTTCCTCAGTCGAGACTCCCGGTCCGAGGTCCGAGGCCCGAGGCCCGAGGTCCGAAGCCCGATGTCCGGCAGGCGCCTCTGCCTCGATAGTGTCCGACTTACCGCCCATCCCGGCAGCGTCAGTTTCCCGCCCGAGTGACTTTCAACCTTGGGGAATGCCTGACCCCTCTGGCAGAGTTAGATCCGACCCTAGCGTCCTTCCTCATTCGGCATCCTGACACAGCATGGACGCAGCACGAACGCAGCACGGACGCAGCATGGACGCAGCATGGACGCAGCACAGACGCAGCACGGACGCAGCACGGACGCAGCACGGACGCAGCATGGACGCAGCACAGACGCAGCACAGACGCAGCACGGACGCAGCACGGACGCAACACGGACGCAGCACGGACGCAGCACGGACGCAGCACGGACGCAGCACGGACGCAGCACGGACGCAGCATGGACGCAGCACGGACGCAGCACGGACGCAGCATGGATTTACCAGGGAGGCAACATGGCGAAGTCCGGGGTCCGAGGTCCGAAGTTTGAGGTCCGAGGTCCGAGGTCGGAGGTCGGAGGTCCGAGGTCCGAGGTCCGAGGTCCGCGGTCGGAGGTCGAGATGAGGGGAGATTGGTCTAGAGCATAAGAGAGGTGGGAGGTGGAAGGTGGGAGATGGGAGGTGCGCGATGAGGGCAGATTGGTCTAGAGCATAAAGGAGGCAAGAGGTGTGAGGTGGGAGGTGGAAGGTGGAGGTAGCATGCGCAATGTGAGCACGGATTCCTTAGTGTGGTGCGCGTGCCTGCGTTCTCTCAGCTAACTGCAGCCCCCTGCGCGCGCACAAGCAGGAGTTCAATTGCTCAAGCGTACACCCCATCGGGAGTCTCACCACCAGCCTGGTTCAGCGCAACACAGTCGCACATCCTGCGCCTAGAAATGGACATCCTCCCCGAGAGCCTGACCCCTGACGCATGCCAGCAGCTGTTCGATTTGTGCCAGCGCCGCTGCCGAACTGAGCGGCGCATCGGTGACCCAGGCGGACGCAGCTTGGCCATCGCGGTTTCCAATGGCCGCCTGCGCCTCACCAACGCCAGCGAGACCACCGGGAAGCTCTGGGAGCCGTCGCTGCGCGCCATCGCGCGTGGTTGGCCACTGGCGCAGTGTGTGCCTCCTCAGTTGCGACGCGGCCTGGAAGATTCCGCGGCCGGCCACGAGGGTGAGGGGCGACTGCTCAGCATGATCCAGGCGCTCACCGGTAAGGACCTGACGTGGCAGAAGCGCGTGTGGCCCACAGGCCTGTGCAACTGCAGCGGCAAGTCCTCCGTTGCCGACAAAGCCCGCGAGGTGCTTGCGCAAGGCTTGTTGAAATGGCACTTGCAAGATAATGTGACGCTCCTCGACACCTTCTACATGTCCTGGCACAAGGCACGAGGCCAGTGGAACTTCTGCGACGACAACATTGCCGTCTGGGAGAAGGAGATCAGGCAGGCCGCTGGCGACGCGTGGCAGCCAGGCAATCCTGCCAACACTTTCTTGGAGACCGAGCTGCAAGGTAAGAGATATTACGTGGAAGTCATCGTGTGGCGGTATCTCGCGTGCGGAGGAACTGCTATCATGGACTTGGACGCTCTCGAACCCAGCCGCTTCCACAAAGCATTCGCTGGCGTCGAACTCCCCGTCCACTACGAGTGGGCGCGCTTCTCCACCCAGCCCTTCACTGAAAAGCTGACACCTTTGCAGGAGCTGCGCCGAGCGGCCACCAAGCTCGCCGAGGATATCCAGATTTGTTCGTCCCGTGGCTTCACGTGCTCAGTCTGCAAGGCGAAGGGCGGCGTCGAGCGCGAGCAAGTTATGAGCTTCGACTTGACGCGCGGGGCAGGCTTGCTTCCTGAAGCGGAGGAGATCACTCTGCAACGTCCCATCGATCTCCCCGTGTGCCCGCTGTGCCAGACGAGGCACTGTCGCGCGTGTGCCGACGCGTGCGCGGCACGCAAGGCAGCCGCGGAAGCAGCGGAGGTTCGGGAGCGCGCCACCCACAAGCTCAACGAAGAAGCGCGCGACAACAAGAAGCGGCTGCGTAAGACGGGAGCACTCCAGCCAACAGCAGTCCAACCCGACGGACCTGCTGAGGAGGCCGCTGACCATTGCGCGCCGGAGCCTATGCTCAGCAAGAAGGCTTCGCGGCGGCGCGAGCAGAAAGCCAAGCAGCGTAAGGCTGCGCTGCGCCTCGAGAACAAGGCGGACGAGAAGGAAGAATAAGAGAACCGCAAGCTACGGAAGCAGGTGGAGAGGCTCAAGCTCACAAGCGACACTACGGTGCAGCAGAGCCTCGAGGCACTGGACAGCATCAAGGCGCTCGAGGCCGCGCTGTCCAAGGAGAATCAGGAGAAGCGCCGCCGGCCTGTCCAGCCGCCCCAGGCCACCGAGCTGCAGAAGCACCTACTCGAGAACTCCTTGCGCGGCTCGAGAATGCGCGCGGAGGCGGCAGCTTTCGTCGCTGCTTATTCTGGACCTGGATTAGCTCCGGCTGATGCGTCTTTCTTCAGCGAGCGCCTCGTGCAGACGGTGCTGCACGGGAGGCCCCATGCATCTGGCGATGCCTATGACACATTTGCAATGGCGGCAGTGTTCGGCGACTTCGCGGACGCCTTTTGCAGCCACGAGTGGGCGGAGCCATGTTTGCGGGTAGGCCGCCACGTCGTCATCAGCGCTGCGGCTGTTGCCGAGCAAGCGTCCATCCCATGAGCCGAGCTTTAGCGAAGTGCAGAAGAGGGGCTGCAACAGCACATCCACGTGAGAAAGTTGAGTTTGGCAGAAAAAGAGAACGATTGCGGGCCCCCTTTCCGCGAGGCGCGAGGCGCGAGTCGCGAGGCGCGAGGTGTGAGCACTCAGGATCCTGGTGAATAAACATAAACGAAGATCAAAGAAAATCATTAAAAGTCAAAGAAAATCATTTGGAAAAACGTTCCTCATCTTCGACACCCTACTGTCATCCGTCTTCAGCCTTCCATGTGCAGGAGATTGAGACTGCTTCATTCTTGAAGCGAAGCGCGATCTCACTGGAACTCTTCTTTCCCGCGCCTCTGCGTTCGCCACCCCCTGGGATACACAGACACAGGGCACAGGCACAAAGGCACATGCGCGCAGACACACGCACGCAGACACACAATGCACGCACAGGCACGAAGACACGAAGGCACATGCGCACAGGCACAGACACGAAGGCACATGCACGCAGGCACATGCACGCAGGCACATGCACCCAGACGCGCAGGACACGGGCGCACGTGTACGCAACAATCACAGATTTGCGGGAGGAAAACAGGGCAACAGACAAGGCGGGCAGACGTGCCAATGCAAAAGTGCTGTGCCATGCCCCAGCTCGCCATTTCAAAACGTGTTGCGCCGCGCCGGATGCAAACATGACAGTTCAAAACGTGCCGTGCCATGCCAAAAAACACGCCGCGCCAATCCGTGCCATGCCAAAAACACGCAAACCACCCGAGCAACCGCCCTATCAGTGGTCACTACATTACAGCTTTTCTGTGCCCGTTTTTGCCGATTTCATCTCCCACAGGGCACTTCACATTTGCTGAATGCTCGCTTGAGGCTCTTGGCCACGAATGAGTGTTCGCTGGAACGTAGGATCTTACGTTCCGGCTACCATGCTAGCCTGGGTGGGGGCCGTGGTGCAGCCTGGGTGGAACAGCCTGGGTGGATAGGGGTTGGTGGAGCAGCTTGGGTGGAGCGGACTTGGTGGAGCAGCCTGGGTGGAGCAGGCTTGGTGGAGCAGCTTGGGTGGAGTAGCAGGGTGGCGCGGTTCTTAAGGTTCTGGCTGGGTGGTCGCCGGGGCTGGTCGCTCGAGGCTTGGGCTTCCCGATCTGCTGCTGACACATCCTGCCCGTGGGACTCGGGGCACACTAGGGAGCATGAGACACGTAAACTTCACGTGTATTTCGTTTTGTTTTCTAGAACGTCCGCATACCTCTTTGGCGGCGAGCGTTCCAAAAAACCAATCAAAAACAGAAGGGGGTGCCTCATGTAGACCCCCAACAAAATCACACAACCTCCTATCTAGTGTTTCCGACTCGGGCACCCCTACTTGACGGACCGAACTCACGCCATAGGCGGACACCCTGGGATACTAGGGTCGGAGCTTGGGTCGGTAGTCTTGGGGACTCGGTGGCAACTGTCTCCGGCGCGTCAGGATTTTGGAAAAGTACATCCCCGCCCTTCAGAACAAGGTCGTGGATTTTGCATGAACCCTTGATGTTTTTGTGGCTCTTGGCTGCAAGTCTTTCTAAAATATGGCGTTCCGGGTCTCAGCTGCCTCCGGCGGGTCAGAACGGACTCAGGCCGGTTAGATTACAGCCGCTTGCTCATGACACCCCTACCTAATCAACCTTTTCAGTCATATAAAAAAGATGAGGGCGGGTGGTGAGCTTGCTCTGACACCACTCCGTACCCTACCCTCCGTTCCTCACAGCTGAGGGTCTTGGCCGCAGTTGATGTCACCGTCTCCGTCTCACCCACTACATCGGAGATTTCCAACCATCCAGAACAGGGTCGTGGATTTTGCTTGAACCCTTCGTGTTCTTGTAGATCTTGGCTGCACGTCTTTCTAAAATATGGTGTTCCGGGAATCGCTTCGAGTTCATTTTTGCTCCCAGCTGCTCCCACCCAGCCGCTCGAGGTGGGTCTGAGCCGCAGTTGAACTCACTGTTGCCGTCTCACCCTTCAGAACAAGGTGGTGGATTTTGTTTGAACCCTTCACATTTTTGTGTAAATTGGCTGCATGTCTTTCTAAAGTAAGGGATTCTGGGCCTCTGTCCCTCCGACGGGTCAAACTTAGAAAAAAGTGTTTTTTTTTATAGAATTCGATGACGTTGGAGATTTTCTTTGATTTCCAGGTGAGGGATTCCGGGTCGCAGCTGCCTCCCATGGGTCACCTGTTCGCCTCAGAATCCCGCCAGTATATCTCCGCCATTGGACCGGTATGTTTTCCCTTTTCGCTTGTAGATCCCCCCCCTCACACAACCTCCTATCTAGTGTTTCCGACTCGGGCACCCCTAATGTGCAAAAGAGGTTAAATAATGGGAACCCCTCCCCGGCGCCCCCCCACTGTGAACGAAAAGTGATTGGCTTCATGCGTAGTCGGGAGAATATTTATTTGAAAATAGTATTTTTTAAATTACTTTTTTAAATTGGTGGTGTTTGGAGGGCCCGCATTTGTTGGAAGTAATTTCAATTATTTTTTTTTTTTTTTTTTTTTTTTTTTTCGATGCTTTGAGGGAGTTGAGTTCACCAAACCGTTGTTTTTACAATGCGTTGAGAGAGTTGAGTTCGCCAAACAGGTTTCAGCTCGGTGACGCGGGCTTCCTTTTTTTGGAAGAAGTTCTCAAATTAATTGCTTCCATGGCGCAGTTTGGACTATAAATGAATTAATTTCCAAATACCTTTCGGAGGCGCCAAAGTTGCACTTAAGAATTGATTATTATTTAAATCACTTTTATTTTTTTATTTTTTAACCTCTTTTACCCATTACTTGACGGACCGAACTCACGCCATAGGCGGACACCCTGGGATACTAGGGTCGGAGCTTGGGTCGGTAGTCTTGGGGACTCGGTGGCAACTGTCTCCGGCGCGTCAGGATTTTGGAAAAGTACATCCCCGCCCTTCAGAACAAGGTCGTGGATTTTGCATGAACCCTTGATGTTTTTGTGGCTCTTGGCTGCAAGTCTTTCTAAAATATGGTGTTCCGGGTCTCAGCTGCCTCCGGCGGGTCAGAACGGACTCAGGCCGGTTAGATTACAGCCGCTTGCTCATGACACCCCTACCTAATCAACCTTTTCAGTCATATAAAAAAGATGAGGGCGGGTGGTGAGCTTGCTCTGACACCACTCCGTACCCTACCCTCCGTTCCTCACAGCTGAGGGTCTTGGCCGCAGTTGATGTCACCGTCTCCGTCTCACCCACTACATCGGAGATTTCCAACCATCCAGAACAGGGTCGTGGATTTTGCTTGAACCCTTCGTGTTCTTGTAGATCTTGGCTGCACGTCTTTCTAAAATATGGTGTTCCGGGAATCGCTTCGAGTTCATTTTTGCTCCCAGCTGCTCCCACCCAGCCGCTCGAGGTGGGTCTGAGCCGCAGTTGAACTCACTGTTGCCGTCTCACCCTTCAGAACAAGGTGGTGGATTTTGTTTGAACCCTTCACATTTTTGTGTAAATTGGCTGCATGTCTTTCTAAAGTAGGGGATTCTGGGCCTCTGTCCCTCCGACGGGTCAAACTTAGAAAAAAGTGTTTTTTTATAGAATTCGATGACGTTGGAGATTTTCTTTGATTTCCAGGTGAGGGATTCCGGGTCGCAGCTGCCTCCCATGGGTCACCTGTTCGCCTCAGAATCCCGCCAGTATATCTCCGCCATTGGACCGGTATGTTTTCCCTTTTCGCTTGTAGATCCCCCCCCTCACACAACCTCCTATCTAGTGTTTCCGACTCGGGCACCCCTACTTGACGGACCGAACTCACGCCATAGGCGGACACCCTGGGATACTAGGGTCGGAGCTTGGGTCGGTAGTCTTGGGGACTCGGTGGCAACTGTCTCCGGCGCGTCAGGATTTTGGAAAAGTACATCCCCGCCCTTCAGAACAAGGTCGTGGATTTTGCATGAACCCTTGATGTTTTTGTGGCTCTTGGCTGCAAGTCTTTCTAAAATATGGTGTTCCGGGTCTCAGCTGCTTCCGGCGGGTCAGAACGGACTCAGGCCGGTTAGATTACAGCCGCTTGCTCATGACACCCCTACCTAATCAACCTTTTCAGTCATATAAAAAAGATGAGGGCGGGTGGTGAGCTTGCTCTGACACCACTCCGTACCCTACCCTCCGTTCCTCACAGCTGAGGGTCTTGGCCGCAGTTGATGTCACCGTCTCCGTCTCACCCACTACATCGGAGATTTCCAACCATCCAGAACAGGGTCGTGGATTTTGCTTGAACCCTTCGTGTTCTTGTAGATCTTGGCTGCACGTCTTTCTAAAATATGGTGTTCCGGGAATCGCTTCGAGTTCATTTTTGCATTACGCGTACGTGCTCTTAGGACCATAATGGCTTCGTTTGGGATCATTTTGTGAATGCAGCTCCGCTCAAGCCGCCGACCCCCCCTCCCGAGCGGCAGCCCGCGGACAAGATCAGCAGGACCCCCTGGATGCACGGCCTGGCACGCGCTTCCGGAATTGGACTCCCGAAGTTCGAACGCTGGGGGGTGGAGCGTAGCACCCCAACCGGGAAATCGTTTCGTTTCGTGTCGTGCGTGCGTTGTGCAGATAGCATGTGGCCGCGCAGTGGGGCATGGTACCGCTTGCAGCTCTTGAGCTAATTTCGTGTATGTATTGCTTTCTGCGGGCTCATAGTGTAACGTTTGCACCCACTCCGGCGGAGAGGGTATCCGATACACCATCCTTCCAAAGCGCGCGTTGCTGCCCACAGCCATGCCACCGAAGGCGCTCATCACCATCACCATGGAAGGAGATACGCTTGTGGCCACCACGGTTGCAGGCAACGAGGTGCTGCGCACCGACCAAGTGGACACGCCGGGGCGTGAGTTGAAACAAGCGCTCCGGCAGGCATTGGGCCACGCAAGCTTCGCGATGGTCACTCCTGGGGCAGAGAAGCTCGTCGCCGGCACCAAAGGCGTAGCGGAGCAAATCAGTGCACTTGCTATTGCTCGTCAGCGCGCAGCATCGCGCATGCACCCTCTGTGGCACCGAGTGGATGATTCCATTCTTCCCTTCCCAGGTGGGACTGCGCACCGCGGCTGCCCAGTTAAGAAAGTCTTTCGTAACGGGGGATACGTTACAATCGATAAGCATGGCAACTGCAGTTCTGGCTCGCTGCTGCTGGGCCACATGCAGAAGATCCCATACGTCCTGGGCGAAGACGTCCAGAGCGCTTTGAACGCATTTGCCGAATCGGAACGTGTTCCTCTCACTGAGCGCCGTCGCTCGCGGTCGCCTACGCGCCTGCAGGCGCAATTGGTCACAGCCGTCCAACGAGTGAGGGATTGGCGTCCATAAGCCGAAGGAAGTGTGAGCCTCGTGAGAAGTGATGCAATCTACCGCGTATGTTGCGCAAGTGTCTGAAAAATGTACATTTTGCTCGCAACGCTTCTGCACCATAGCATCTCATCTGCACCGCTGTCTCCACGCGGAACTGAAGTTGCGAAGGTGCTCAGCCTCAGGTGTGGGCCGTGCAGAGGCCGCGAATACCAGCTGCTGTCGTATTTGCAAGGGCTAAAGTGATGTCCACAGCACTTTGCAGCCAGGACACTTTGCGTCAGCATCTTGAACAGTGTCACGTCTACGTTTGCTCATGCACGCATAGGCCGCGCTGGGGCCTTGACGAATACCAGCCGCAGATGTGGGCCGCGCAGAGGCCGCGCAATTCACGAAGGCAAGTATATGTCAGCGACTAGCCTGCAGCTTTCCAGCTCCCGCGTTTAAGCATTACACCCTGCTTCTTTGCTAGCGCGACAGCCATGGAAACTTCCTTTGAAGCGACAGAGAAGAAAACCATCGATGCGGAAGAGGGTGCGGAAGTTCGTGAGGTGCTTGCGCGCAGCCTCTCTGAACCATTGAGGTGCCTTTGCATGGGCAAGCAGATGCGTTGGCTTGTGGGCCTCATTGAGACGGACAAATCAACGGAGGCTGTCTTCGATCTTATGTGGCCGTCGCTCGACAAGGGAGAACGCCGTCTCAGCGTGAGGCGGGCAGCGGACCGGCGCACCTTGCATTTTCTCATGTATAAAGCCGACCAAGCGAAGGTGGATTTTGCCACTCTCCCCGGGGAGGTCCGCCCTGCGGCTGCGTACGAGCTGCTGAAGCCTGGCCGAGGACAAGCAGGCACGCGGGCCATTATGCAATTCGCTGGCGCCTGGTTCGCAGACTTCCAGCAGATTACTTCAAATTTCAATGTGGCGGAGGATGCACCAGCGCCGCCGCCAGTCGATGTCAAGGAGCTGTGGGATGAATTGCGCACCAGAACCCAGCAAGACTTGCATTTCGATTTCTGGCGCGCGAGGCTCCAGTCGCCCGGGCAGAGAGCACAGGACCCCATGGCCAAAGCGCTCCTGGCTGGCAAATCCGAGATCAACGCCATGAGACGCGCCGAGGAGAAGCGAGCACTCAAGAGACAACTCACCAGTGGCATCGTGTATCATGTGGGCGCCACGGGGAGCAAGCTCGTCTACCCGCGCGATTTTCCTTTGCTCCCCCGCAAGAACGGTAAGACGTGGGACCCCATCACGCGCAAGGACGTGAAGCTTCCCTTTGCCGACTACATTAACACTCGGATGCACTTCGAGAAGGCATTGGTGCTCTGGGGCAGCGCAGGGCAACAGAAGACGCCCACGGCTGCTGCGATAGCAAACCATGTGGCAGAAAACTACGAGGTTGGCCACTACTGCAAAGCCTCCAGTCCAGATGCGCTGAAGCCCGCTCAGGAATATTTCGGCAGGTGCGTGCCTGTGATCATGGAGGAGCTGTCTGCCGCCGATGTCAGCCAGCAGGGCCGAAAGATGAGCGCCAACTACCTGAAACAGCTCTTCGAGATTCGGGGCGGCGGGCAGTGCCGCGTCCGCAACACTTGTGTGTGCTTCCACCCGCTGCAGCCGAAGATGATCTGCATCAGCGACACGCCAGAAGATTGGCTCCATGCTGTGGACGGCCACACGGATGCCAACAATGAGCCGCTGAAGAAAAGGTTGTTCTTCGTGCACATCGACGAGCCGGTGATTGCTCCAGCAGCGGTGGCTGCGCATGAGGCTGATCTGGACGCAATTGTTGCCAAAGGTAAGCGCCGACGCATGGAGCTGCAGGGTGGCCCAGCCTCCGAATTTGATCTCACGCCGACTTCGGCAGGCAGTGCAGATGTGGAGGCCATATCCGGAGAAGAGGACGGCGATGACGACGATGAAGCTTCTTTTCATTCGTCTGCCACCTCGCGGCTTCCCGCTGGCGCATCTGGGCCATTGGGTCCAGACGCCAAGCCTCTCTTCACACGACTGCCCGAGTTCGTTGCAGTTTATTTGGTCTTCGCTACGGACGTTCTCGTCCGCATAGGGGAGCTGCCGGGAGAAGTCCACCAGCACTATTTGGCAGCGTTGCGAAGCGTGCAGCCTGCCATGGCCGATGCCTATGAGAACACCACGCACTGCTCAGTGTCCTTTCTCACGGACACCACGACGCTCAAGCTCATGCAGGCGTGGTTGGCTGGCAGTGGGAAGTTAACGGAGGATGCCTTGTGCAATCTCATCGTTGGCCAGACGGTGCTACCCAGTTGGCGAGACCTCGAAGCACTGGGCCCCTTCAGAGTTGATGCCCCGCCGGCGCCCGAGGAGTTTGCCCGTCGCTTTCGCGACCTATATCCGGGGCGCAAGAACGTAGTCCCCTCGCACCTCAAGCAGGGCGTGCTCGGCCTTTTGGGCAAAGGCCCCGAGGCAGAGAGCTGCGGCCGCCTCATTCATGAGCTGGCGGCCAAGATCCCAGAAGCGCTAGGTAAGATCCAAGACGGTGCCGATGCCATCACGGTGTTGCAGCAGCTAAGGATCCCGAAGTTCCGGGCATTGCTCGTGGCACGCCTCCTCTCCATTTCCAACCCCACGTTATACGACATGGAGCAACGTGACATTGGAGACTTCGCCGAACTGGGCCTCTGGCTACTGCTGGGCCATCCAACTGAGCAGGCGCGCACCGTGGTGGGCACATCTCCCTTCAAAGATGGCGTGGACAAGATGTTCCTGGCCTTGGTTGAGGCCCTCCCCGCTGCCCTGGCTGCTGTGGACCACCACGGGGTGGTCGAGCGTTTGACTCGCCTCCACTTGCTGCCAACGTCCGCCCAGTGTGTCGAGCATATGTTATGCGAGTGGCGAAAGATGTGCTTGCCCGAGGGAAGGACAGCTCGGGGCGACCCCTCTCCAGGCTACAAGGAGCTGTGGGAGGCAGTGGCGCCCATCCTTGCGCGACGCGCCTGCGTCGGCGAATCCGCCGTCGGGCAACTACACCACGGATCGAACGACGAAACGTCGGAGGAAAACGAAGATGATGTGGGCAGGGCACGCGCGCTGCTGCAGTGATCCGCGACATCTGAAGACATTCTGAAGACATTCTAGCAGTCATTGTGATATTTGCGAGCGTTTGGCTTAAAAGCGTTTGCAAGCGTGCAAGCATGCCTGCAATGTGCTGCACCCGGGTGGGCCATGCAAGCGCCCGAGTTTTTATCGGCGGGTTTGTGGCCAGACTCGGAGTGGCGCACTTTGTCATTCTAAAAGTAGCGGTCCCCTAGTCGACCCTGTATCTCTAGAGCTTGCTGTGCGTCCAGTGGTTGCGTGTGTGTGCACATCCATGTGGTTCAAGCCTTTGACGCGAAGACTTTGGAAACGTCTCCAGCGCCAGGCGTCGAAAGCAATTTGATATGGACGCTGCTACGCTCCCGACTTCCCCTGCTCGCCTCCGCGCTCTGCTGCGCGTTGTGATGCGGCTGATTCCGGAGGAGAGAGCAAAGTGGCAAGCCAAACTCAGCACGCTGCACGGTTCACAACAGGCCGTGCCAGAGTAAAAATGCGCAGACGACTACAGCACAGAGAAGAATTCCACCGTGCTGCAGCAGGCGATCCGGGAAACCGTCGCCCAATGGAAACTGGAGAGGAGAACGCTGGAGGTGGCCGTCGAGCGTGCAGGCGCCAGCTTCAAGGCAGAGCATCAGCAAAAGAAGCGCGCAACACTCGACCAACCTCCCGAGGCCGAGAAGACGGGCACTGTGGAGAGTAGCGCGGAGGCGATGGAAGCGGCGGCTCCGCCCACCAAGAAGCGCAGGACAACCATTTCATCTGGCAGCATGGAGGCAAGCGGAAGATCCAGTGATTGCGATCACACTCCTGTCCACGGCCGCCCTCTGCGTGTAGGCACCGATTGCATTGGCATGGAGGCTCCGATCCAGGCGCTACTCAATCTGGGCGTGCGCTTCGAGCATGTCTTCGCAAGTGACAAGGACAAGCACGTACGCGCCACCATCAAGGCCAACTTCGAACCAGGCGTGCTCTTTGAAGATATATTGCAGCGCGACCACTCGCAAGAAGGCTTCGCCGATCCTCGGAGCATGGTTTTCTACAGCATCGTCGAGTACTTGCGTGCCCACAAGCCGCGCGCCGTAGTGTTGGAGAATGTGCAAAGACTCGTGGGCATCGACGAGGGCCGTGCTTTCACTGAGGTGCTCCGCCAGCTGCTGCGGCTAGGCTGCTACGTGGTGCAATGGCGGCTGCTCAATACCAAGGACCACGGCGTGCCTCAGAACCGGGCGCGAGTATACTTCGTTTGTATCCGCAAGGACTTCTACGAGGAAGGCGCCTTCGAATGGCCGGAGCCCATCGAATGCCCGCCAATGGAACGCTTTCTCGACCAGCGCAGGCCAAAGCCCACTCTGTTGAATTTACAGCCGCCGCTGCACGGCCAAGCCTCCGAGAAGTGGGCTTTCACTATGGCGAAGCTTCTCCGCGACGCTGAGCCACTGAAGCACACATACCTCTTCAATTTGTACGGCACCATTGCTATGGCGGACCGCCCATGCTCGAGAAGTGCCCCTGCCTGTGTAGTAGCAGCGGTGACATTTGGATCTCGAGCCACGGACGCGCTCTCGACCTCAGGGAGAGGTGTCGCCTGCAGGGCATGAATCCGGACAAGCTCAAAATGGTGGTCTCGGAGCCTCAAGTGCACAAGCAGCTCGGCAACGCTATGAGTGTCTGTGTCGTCGAACGACTGTTGGTGCGCCTTCTGCCAGCGGTGGGGCTGACAGGTGCGCTGCCAGACCGTTGGGCCAATGGCGCCGCGGTGGCGGAATTAGAGGCCACCCGTGCGCAATCGCCGGACGCTGCTGAGCCGTTGGCAGCCTGGTGTAGCGACAATGTGTCCTGACAGACCATGTGTGTGAAGGCGGGTGTGGAAAAGAAATGCACGTGCGGCAATTCAGGCACCACGCTCGGCTCTTTGACGGACCGAAATCACGCCATAGGCGGAAGCATGTCCGGCCCTCGGCGAGCATCGAGCTTGTTGGTACAGGGGGGCTGGGCGCGCCCCCTACACGGCCTCGATTAAGGGACATCCACATAGCTGCTCGAATTGCGATTCCTTTGACAGCGCTTGCGCCACCTTTCCTGGAAGTCTTCTCGCGTGCAGCCCCCCAGGGCGGCAGAGAGTGTGCCTGTCCGAAGGGGTGTCTGCTTAGGGCGGCCCTTTTCCAGCTACAACGGGCTTTGGGGGGGGGGGGGGGGAGAGACAGCAGCCATCTGACAGATTGTGAAGCGTGGCTCAAAAGGGAAGCAAGTCTCATCAAGCGCCCTTTAACGCTTTCTTGATTCTGTGCATGCACCATCTAGTTCGCAACGCCTACTCGCTTTGCGCATGCATATGTGGAGCCATCGCTGCACGCGTATGTTTACCGCATGGCCTTTGCTCACTTCCGCTCTTTTGCAAAAACCTTTTGGCTCCGAGTTGTGTTTATAGTCATATTTGTAGTAGCTGTGACCTTGAGCGGCTGCCGATAAGCGCGGGAAGAAGCTGACAGAGCAGGCGCAGCGAGGTGCCATGCAGCGCCAGTTTACGCTTCTCGTCAAACGGCCTGGTCAAGGCAGAGGCTTCGCAGGCAAGGGCGCCGAACGTTTCGAAGCAACGACCATCCTGGGCGCCAATCTCCGAGAAGCTGTTGAGGATGCGTACCAGAAGGACCGAGGCGAAAAGCCGAAGCTTGGCTTTCGACTCCAAGGTCCGATGCAGGTCACCTCGTCTGGCTGCATCATGGTGAAAGACTTTGTTGTAAAATGCGGCGCGCTGGAGGGCGACTCCATGCAGTGTACTATGCGCGATCCAGATGGCCCTGGAGATCGGCAGGCGAGACGAAACAAAGCGAATGAGAAGACTCCGAAGGTGGCCGTGGAGACACCCAGCAAGAAGAGGAAAATAGCCGCCCAGTTGCCTGTGCCCACACCAGTGCAACTGCTTGGCAAGCCTGTGATGAACCGCCGCGGGATCTGGGATTGCCTCGAGAAGTTGACTTGGAAGCGAGGGAACGTCAAGTCCAAGACCTTTGGCAGGACAAGCATTACACTGGGCGTCACACGCGGTGCCCCAGGAGCCGATGGCTTCGACGAGGAAGGCTACAATGACCAAGACGTGCCCGGATGTTTGTCAAAGGACGATCAAAAGCAATGTGCCAAACTTTGGAAATTGCTTCAGGACGAAGGCCGGGCGCTCGGCTTCCAATTCACCAGCGCGCAGCTCAACATAAATTTCGAGGCCAATCGTCCCCGCCACCACCGCCGCACGGACAAGGACCACCAATGGTGTCTGTCTCTGGGCGAATTCACAGGAGGCGAGTTCTGCTGGCAGGAGAGGGACCAATGTTTCAGCGTGTCAACAAAAGATCAATGGCAGAAGGTAGACGGTCGGCACGAGCATTGGGTGTTGCCGCATCAGCCGCAAACCGCCATCAGGTATTCCATCGTACTCTTTCGAAACATGGGTGACTCCACAGAGATCTTCTACCATTCCGATGCTGCGACGCCCAAGTGAGTAGCCCCCCGCCGCTCTGTTTTGAGGTGGCATGTGACGTATAATCAGAGCGTCGCAAATGCAAGCATGCGCATGCCTGCTCACCGCGCGCCACCCCATGAAGCGTTTTCGATCCACGCGCACATTTGCATCTTGTTCGCAAAGCTCCTAACTTTTCGCGTGTCTTAGCCTCACTCCGCACGCGCACGCATGCAGCGCAGCCTTTGCTTACGCTCTCATGTAGAATTTTCTGGCTCCAAGTTTTGCGCTTGTAGAAAGTAGTCAGCTTAAGCCCGAGCCGGCATCGAAGCATCAAGTGTGAGATGTATGAGATGGCGCGCGAATTTAAGCTACACGTCAAACCACCCGGCCAAGGCCGAGGGTTCGCAGGGAGAGGCGCCAGGAGTTTCACAGTATCGACCACCTTGGATGCAAATCTGCACGACGCTGTTGAGGACGCGTATCAGAGAACCGAAGGCGAAAAGCCCGTGCGCGGCTTTCGTTTCCAAGGTCCGAAGCAGGTGACCTCGGCTGGCTGCATCACCGTGAAAGAATTTGTTGCAAAATGCGGTGCACTTGGTCGCGACTCCATGCAGTGTACTATGCGCGATCCGGATGGGCCTGGAGCAAGGCAGGAGAGGCGAAACAAAGCGAAGGAGAGGGCTTCGGAGGCGCCCGTGGAGACACCGAGCAAGAAGAGGAGAATAGCGACAGCCGCCCAGTTGCCTGTGCAGGGAGAGGCGGCGGAGTCACCTGGAGGGCTTACGCAGCGCCCCTTCCGCGTGGGCCATGATTGCGCAGGCGTGAATGCGACTTGCCAAGCGTTGCGGAACCTGCGCGTGGACTTCACAGAGGCCTTCGCGAGCGACATTGACAAGTTTGCTTGCCGGACCATCGATGCCAATTCCCGGCCTCTCAAATTCTACAGGGGCAAAGTTGATGGAGACATCACCAAGCGAGACAATTCGCAGGCGCCCGCCTGCGACCTCTACATGGCCGGGTTTCCTTGCCAGCCGCACAGCTCGGAGGGCAAGAAGAGAGGCTTCCACGACCCACGTGGCCAGGTGTTCTACGGTGTTCTGGATTATTTGAGAACCCACAAGCCTCGTGTGGCGGTCCTCGAGAACGTGCGAAGTCTGCTTCACAATCGCGGCGGCGAAGACATTTGCGAGGTTCTACACCAGTTGCTGCGATTGGATTGCTATAACATCCAATGGAGGGTCCTGAATACCGCCCACCACGGCGTGCCGCAAAGCCGAAACAGGCTCTACATCGTCTGCATCCGCAAGGACTTTTACATCCCTGGTAGGTTCCCGTGGCCGAAGCCCATTGCCTGCCCGTCGGTGGAGCGCTTCTTGGATCCATGCGAGGCCAAGCCGAACCTGCTCAACGTGCAGCCGCCTCCCCAGACCTTCGCTTCCAAGACGTGGGCTGCGACGATGGCGAAGCTCTTGCGCGACAAGCATGAGCCGTTGCAGCAACCATGGCTCTTCCCTGTCAACACCAGCGAGGGGCGTTGCTCTGTGAAGATGGACAAGTGCCCCTGTTTGCTCACCGGCAGCAAGATCTGGATCTCCAACAGAGGTCGGCTCCTCAATGCACGCGAGCGCTGTCGATTGCAAGGCGTGAACCCAGAAGTTTTCAAGCAGGTGGTGTCGGATACCCAATGGCGTAAGCAACTCGGCAATTCGTTCAGCGTCAATGTCATCGAGCGCTTGCTCGCCCTTCTCTTGCCCGCCGTGGGGCTGACGGGCCCGCTCCCGGACCGCTGGGCAAGCGGCGCCGCAGCGGCGGAGTTGGAAGGCACCAGAACCAGCGTGTAGCAGCCGCACATTAGCGAGCCATTGGCAACCTAGTGTAGTGAGAGAGCGTCCTAACAGACCCCGTGTGCGAAGGCGTGTGCGGAAAAAGAGATGCATGTAGCGCAGTTCAGGCATCGCGCTCGTCGGGATATGGGAACTGCCGAGCATCCCCCCGAGGGGCTCCAGAGGCATGTCATGGGGAACTGGGTGGACGTGGGCATGGCCATCCCTGACGGGCCGCGGCCACCCATTAGTGGCATCCAGGCCACACCCACGGACAGATACCAACCCGCCATGCAGAGACGAGCCCGGCCAGTTTGATAGACCGAAATCACACCATACGCGGAACCATGTCTGGCCACACCTCCGGGAGCTTGTTGGTACAGGGGGCCGGGCACATTTAGCCAGTTAACCGGCTTAGGACAAGGATAGACTTGTTGTACGAAAGCGGCGCTCCTTTTGAAGACGCCCCCCCCCCCCCCCCCCCGCGCAAGCAAACAAGTGACTTAATGCCGCGCAGCACTGGGTGAGAGATGACCCCTTTGGAATTGCGCGGCTCTCTTATCTGCCTCATTGCATGGCTGTGTGGCGGTGGGGTCAGTGTAAGTGGCAGCACGGCGCAAGCAAAGCTGTGTAGAGAGGGGCCATGCGCATGCAGGTACCTAGTCTATTGACGAAGTATTGCGAAGCGGACGCCTGCGCACACCAACGCAACGCATCGCGATGTGGGGCATGTTGCTGGACTGGCATTCCTACGCTTCATGCCGCTCTCATGCTGCCGTCATGCTGCTCAACTTTAGTACAGAAGAGTTCGCGGCTGTCCCATTCAGAGGTTCCCGACGGGGCCTGCAGTACAGCACGCTAGTCACAGTGAGACTCAAGTTTACATTTTAGTCGCCATTCCCTAGTTTTTGCTGTGTGTGATCCATGGCTGCAGCACACGACCTCACCGAGGCCGCCTTCCCTTTCACGCGCGAAGGTCACAGGAAGCTCCTGGCCAAGGCCAACGCCTTCAGGCGCGCGAGCAAACATGCTTGGTCGATGTTCTTCGAGCAGATGGAGACCGCCCAAGAATTGCGCGAAAATCTCGAGGCTATCCGGGAATCCCTGGACACCACAGCCGCAAACCTTCCTCCGCAAATCGCCGAGACGCTCGACGAAACCCTCAAGAAATTCCAACAGTTCGCACAGCAGCTCGGCCGCTCTTGCGAGTGTCCGGTCTGCTACAAGGCAGTGAAGGCATCGGAGACCAACCCGGAGCACGAGAGTTTCATGAAGCTTCTCTATTGTGGGCATCTTCTCTGTGGCGATTGCGCTGCAACGATGAAGGGAAGCGAAGACAAGCGTTGCCCCGTATGCCGCACCGACATCGGCTCGCAAATCGCCAACGCGGTGCCCGCTGTGGTTGGCGCGGAGAGCAAGCCGAGGCCGAAGCGAGACGCCGACGACCTCCAGACGCCCAAGGACGAGCAGCCTCTGCCAGAAGGCGCCTACATCACCCGCTACAAGGGCGACTGCTACGTGTGCGACGCCTCATGGACGGCGGGCGCCACCGTGGCCAAGCACCGCCGCTTGCAAACCAAGCAGGTCTGTACTGGATGTGCCGACGCTGCTGTACCCTGCACAATCTGCGGCCGCGATGCCTCGGAAACCGATGCCCTGAGGAATGGCAAGAAGGAGCTGAAGCGCTTCTTCTGCCTCCACTGTGTGCGCGAGAAGCAGGAGCAAGGTGAGGCGAGGGCCATCATCGGAGCCACCCAGTTCCTCAACAAGCACAAGCAGTGAGCGGCAGCAGCGGCACCCAACGGAAAAGGCCGCCACACGCGTGTGTGGCAAAGGCGTTTGGCCAAGGGCGCCGCAAGGCCGATAGGACACGTACAGCAGCAAGTGCACATCTAGAGCAAGTTTCACATAACAAGTGTGTCGGAAAAGTGTTGTGCCGCGCGCGCTTGCCCTCCGCGTGCCCTCGCGAACATTGCGCATCCCCATCGCGCCCGCGGACCTGCAGTGAGAGCGCATCGCATGCTAGCAGGCATGTGTTCGCAGTTTGTTGCTCGAGCATCTCAAGCAGCTGCACGCCTTTGTGCTACGCGGTGATGGCGGCGACGCCCGAAGACCTGAAGCTCATCCAGGCCGGCTACCATGCCAATTGGTTGCCGGAGAAGCTGCGCCATGACCTCTGGCAGTACACACTCACTCGCCAGCCATACTTCGTTAAGTTCCGCGGGCACGATCTCAAAACCCGCCCGAAGATCAATTTCGCGGACCCCAACGAGAATGGCGAGTACCCCCTTTACCGTTGGGGTCAAGAGCGGCAGTCCTACGGGCTCGTGGAGAAGATTCCGCCGCCAGTTCGCGCCGTCATGGATTTCATCGAGGCGCAGTTCGGGCCCAAGACTAATCTGGCCATGGCCACCTACTAGTGGAACGGGAAGGAGCATTACATACCCGTCCACCAAGACAAGAAAATAACCACAGGCTCGCTTGGACGTGTGGAGACCGCCAGCCGCATCTTCAACGTCGCCCTCGGGGCTGTGCGGCCGTTCCTCGTCACATCTCTGGCCAGCCTTGGCAAAGCGCAGCGCGAGGACATGGACATCCTTGCGGAGTTCCCCATGCAGCCGGGAGACCTTTACGTCCTGGAGGGCGAGGTCACCCGGCGATTCGGACATGGCGTCCCCCGCGACCCGCGCATCGAAGACCTGCGCGTGTCCTGGGTGTTCCGCACGGTGAACGCCTCCTTTGTCAACCCCACGGAGCAAACGTTCAGGGAGGCCGCCGGCAAGGTGCATCGCATCCAGCCCGACGCTGAGAAGATGGCTAAGCGTCAACGTGTCACGGAAGCTTGCAAGGAGCAGCGCGGCTGAGTTCTATGATGCTTGAGATGCGAAGCGTGCCTTTTCGACAGAGCGCCTTTTAGGGAACGGTCTCGATGCAAAAAGGTTGTTGCCGTGCATGCATGTACACCTCGCATGTAATCTCAGTTCAGGAGGTGAGCGTCTCCCTAGCCACATCTCTGCCGACCCGCTGCGAACCCACAGTCATGCTTGGGTCTTAGGGCGTGCGATGTGCATGCTCACGTGTCTGGCAGCAAGTGCTCAAGCCTCTTGAAGATTCAGGCGCACCTCGAAGTGACGGTGCAACCCCGATTGGACCCGCACTCTCCGGCCAGTAACTGTGATCGACATGGCTACCCGCAGTCGCTCCCCAAAGCGAGTAGGAAGCACCAGGGCGCCCAGCCACGGCGAGGTTGCGAAAGCCATCCGAGCAGCGTCCCGCGCCACCTTGGAGCAATGCCTACTGAAGTGCTGGCGGTATGGCAACCTACCTGAGGAGGTGCGTCGAAGCCATCCTTAGGCCCCTGCAAGCGACTGCGGCGCACCCTATGATCCACGCAGTGCTCGGCGGGATGGAAGTTATGCTGCCCTCATCCATCCTGGGATCGCTCCTGACACAGACCGACAAGGTCCACCTCCAAGGAGTGGATCGCTGCTGGGGAAATGCAGCGCGCGTGCCGTCTATGTGGCTCGACTTGAATCGTCGACGCTTGCCGCCATGCAGCGCCAAGGAGTTTCTGGCCAAGATGGAAGATCGCATGTTCAGCCAGCTCGTCAGCCTCGCGCTACCAAGTGTAGCGGTGGGCCGAGGCACGTTCACAAAGCTCAAGGCGCTCGCTCCACAGATAGTCGCCTTGGACGTTTCGCGCACTAACGGCATGCACAATCACCTCGATGTCTTGCTCGACCAGTTCGCTTTGCTGCAACATTTGCTTCTGGGAATCTTCGACTTTGGTGTCACGCGTTTCCAGCAGGTGCTGGCGCGCTGCAGCGCACTGCGCGCTCTTGAGGTGCAGAGCACGAGGCTGGTATCGGATCTGTGCGCGGTCCACCGCGCATGGTGCACTCGAGGACCTCTCCCTTGACATGGGCCTTTGGCGCAAGGAACTCGCCCGAGGAGATATTGAGTTTCATGGCGCAGTCAGGCGGATGCAAGAGGTGTTCTTGCGGCGACTCTGTGGCTTGCGGCGCTTGTGCTTGAACCATTGGGTGGGAACGTCGGAGGCCGAGATTGATGGCATCGTGTCTGTGTGTCCCCGGCTCCAGGAACTGCGCCTAGCAGGCCTCGACGTGGGGCGCGCACACATGCAGACCAGTACAAGCGAAGATGGCATCTTCCGACGCCTCGCTGGCGAGTAGGCATTCGACTCTGATAGCGATTCTAGGATGGCTGTCCGCAGTTTTGTCTTGTGGGTGGCGCCTGAGTAGCAGCGCGGAAGCAACGCCGCATTTCGCAAAAATGCACGCGACCTTGGCGCGCGATGGCACGTGCGATGCAATGCTGAACGGTCCATGCAGGCCGATCCTCAAGCAATGTCTGAACGGGCGGCAGTATATGGGGTGTGTGTGCAGCTGATCCCACACAACGATCATCGAGCATCGCGGCTCGCTTTGTACATCTTCGGTCTCCATCCGTCTCCCTCAGTCTTGCATGCAGCATATTCAGCGAAGGCTCAAGTAGCTTCAGTCGCTAACTCTGCCCGCCATCACCAGATCCGCCGAGATGGAGCGCAAGCGCAAAATTGACGCGGCTCTGGGCAGCGTTTCGGCAAAACAGCTTACCGGCGTTTCTCTCTTCTGCGGGGCTGGTGGTATGGACGTTGGCTTCACACGCGCTGGCTTCAAAACCCTTTGGGCTGCGGATAAGAACTCTGCCGCATGCGCTACCTACAACCGTTACGCACAGCAAGCAATCGCATTACGGAGGGACCTGGCGAAAGAAGATTTCGAGAAGCTTCGGCAACAGCTCGCTTGCACTCCCGACTGCGTCTTTGGCGGTCCGCCTTGTCAAGGTTTTTCTCAAGCGGGGAAGATGAGTCAGACCGACGCAAGGAACGATCTCATAAACGTCTTCCTGGGCGCTGTCGAGAAGTTGCGCCCACGTTGTTTTGTGATGGAGAACGTGAAAAACCTCAACAACGAACGTCGATTTCGCCCGCTTCTCGCTGCTCTTGTGCAGCGTGCAGAGGAGCTGGGATATTCATGCGCGACAGAAGTCGTAAATTGCAACGACTTCGATGTCCCGCAGGCGAGGGAGCGGCTCATCTTCGTCGGTCTCTTGCCCGGGGGGAGGTTGCGCCACCCAAGCAAATACTTCTTCCAAATGTTGCGCCGATCCCGCAAGCGTGCTCAGACAAGTGGCGAGGTGCTCAGGACCTTGGGCCGAGCGGGTTCCGAAACGAACCCGCTTGGCAGCAAGGCCAAGATTGTCGTGACAAAGAATCCTGTGCTGCGCCAGAGTCCATATGCGGGCATGCTCTTCAATGGGAAGGGTCGTCCCATCGATCCAAGTCGGCCATGTCCAACCTTGACTGCTTCCATGGGTGGTAACCAAACGCCCATCATCGACGAAAGGCAATTCTTCGATGGAGAAGAGGGGTGGGTTGTCGGGCTCCACCAAAGTCTCAAAGAGCAGCAGAACAAAGGTCACGAGAAAGAGCGCCCGAGCGTGCCAGGACACCTGCGCAGACTTACGATTGCGGAGGCGGCCCGCCTACACACTTTCCCATCTGATTATCCCTTTGGCAAAGCAGCTTACAAGCAGATCGGAAATGCGGTCCCTTGTAATTTCGCCTTCGCACTGGCGTGTGCCGTTAAAGAGACCATCAATGCAGATGGATTGACCAGCCCGCCGCCACATGCTGCATCGGCGTGAGCACGGGCGTCTCTTGATGAAGTCCAGGGGCGCGCCGTCGTGTGTAAAACAAAGACCTGCGCGGGGGGTGGCAGACGGTTTCCGCAGGCACTCTACAGACGTTCGTGTTGGGAACGGGTTTCAATTTGAGAGGATGTGACTTTACTTCCAGAACGCACGGTGATCCAGCAACGCCCATGAGCAGTCGCTGTTGAGCAGTACGCTTTGAGGGCGAGCCTTGCGTAGTCCGCGCGTCCAGGTGTGAGATGACTGATTCTGTTGCAAGGACATGTCAGAAAAGCGCTTGGGCCTCACACGCATGGTGCGCAATGCTGGCGAAAAGCGGCACGATCATGTAGCCATGCATGGCGCTTTTGTCTGCTGGCATTACACGCTTTGTGCTTGTCTTGCGGGCCGTTAGCCTCAAGCTTCCTTCTGTAGGGCCTGCTTGTAACAAGCCGTCCCCTTACTATCGGTCCCGGCACTGCGTCGCCCATGTCCAACCGCAGAGAGAGGAGGGCCGGAGTGCTGGCAGCGCGCCGAGCAGCGCGCAGAGGCCTAGAGAGCTGCAGCGTGCCATATTGCACCGAATATGGTAAGAAGTTGTCTGGATGTACGCACGCAATGTGTGAAAAATGCGTCTTCAGTTCCATCGGGGCCTCGGATTTCGATGAGCTTCAGCCGCGCTTCGCATTCAAATGCGCAATCTGTCGCTACCGTTACAGCGTTGGTGCAGAAACAACAAAGACTTGAATGGCAAAGTTCGTGCCAACGGCGCGCCGCAAGGAGATGGAATGCGGCTGCCCAGACGACTGCGGCAAGACTTATATGGTCACGCATCGGCCTTGCAGCTACGGGTGCTTCGATTGCGCCGAAAGCAAGTTGGTGCTGGACCTATTGTCCATTCACGGGCACCGCCTGGACAGCGAAAGCGAGGCCATTGATTCGGAGGCCGCTGAGGTGGAGCCCGCTGGCGATTCCCCGCGCCAGTGGGGAGATTCTGACGGAGCCCGGAACGCAGATGCCAGGGATGCCTCCTTTGAGCAGTATGAATTCGGAGGGATGGGACCAGAGACGCAAGGAATGCAGCACGTTTTCGCCGAGGAGGCGGTGGCCTCGCCCACGGCCGAAGCGAGAGAAAACGATATGTGTAAAGTGGCAGCGCCAAGCCAGACCGAGGCGTTCCTGCCAGAAGTGTGCCGCCTCAGCAGTATGGATTGAATGAGAGTGGAGCCCGGTCATCCATCGAAATAAGGACACGACCTTCGAGTGGTGAGTCTCGCTGGGCGAATTCCAAGGCGGCCAGCTGCGGTGGATGGAGGGTGGCGATTCCTTCTCGGTGTCCACTCGAGGCGTGTGGACGAAGATAGACGGACGGCACTGGGTGGAGCCGTGCAGCGGAGACCGCTACTCCATCGTGCTCTTCTGCTGCGAGGGCGCGCCGCAGCCCATCTTTTGCCATTCTGCGAACGTCGGCGCGAAGCCAGTGACTCGCGCGTGGAAGCGACCTTCGCCCGTTCGGAAGTGAGTATCGCAGTCGAGGCGTTCTTGGGTGAACGCAATCCTGCTCTAGGTGTTGGACCGAAATCATTATTATTACCTCAGCACCTTCAGGAATAAGTTACTAGTTGGAAGTTCTACTAGACAAAATATTCTTTCACGCGCGCAGGGGCTACCACTCATCTACTCCTCAGCACCTGAAGAGCAAGTGAGTAGTAGGATGTTCTACCATAAGCCGCTCTTGCGCATTGCAGACGAAGTTTCGTGAACGGCAGACTCGGTGCTCACGCGCGCATTACTACCGATTGCGCACGCTTATCGTAATATTATAAGCGCAGGCTCAAATTTCTGCAAACGGATTCTTGTTTCGCACATAGGAGCAATGATTCCCTCTTGCACATTGTCGCCCTTACCGCAGAGCTTTGCCATACCTTACCGCGTCGAAAAGCAGGGTTACTTCAGCACAAGTGCGCCGGGCATTGAGACAACAGGGAAATATTTACAACCCTTGGCAATGCTAACGAGAGTCGCTCATCATTTGTGGTTGGTCGGCTACGGAGGAAAGAGCTTCATTCTGAATTCTGCCCTCGTCGAAGAGACGCTCGACAGCTCGACTATCTGGTGGCTGATCTTCACGCGCATCGCGCCAACCAAGGAGAACAAGGTCAAAGAATGGCTGAGGAAACATCTGCCTCCAGACACTCTGGACGTCGAGGGCCTTCAGACGCTGAATCCATGGCTGCAGCGCCGCCTTGGTTGGGGCGATGTCCGCGCCGCGCCGGAACTTCTGGTGGTGCTACGGCAGGAGGCACGGCTGCCTGCGCTCAGCCTTCAAGACGAGCTAGTAGCAGATAGACATCAGCTGGCTCGCAAAGAGCTGCGGATCCGCCAACCGCAGATTCCTGTGTTCACAGCGAATCCGGTCTTTTGTACCCACTGGGGGCGTACTGCACAACTTGCAAAGCGGTACGGGAGCGAGGACATGTTTCGCATTCTGGAGGGCACTGCTGCCATCATGGCCATGCCCGACAAGGCTCCCGTCCAAGCCCTCCCCGCCGCACCACTGGCATTGAACAACGGCGCGGCGACACCCCTGCCTGTGGCAGCTCAATCGCCTGACCTTAACTTTATGTGGGACAATGTCATCAAAGGCGTTCCGGTTACGGACAACATTCAGCTCCGAACCACATGCCAAATATTGCGCCAGGCCGCCTTTTGTCGCGTAACCTCCTTTGCTCGGAATTCACGTAGGTTTTCTTTGAGAAGCCAGAGCAGGACAGCGACAGCGATGAGGACGAACAGCGCCAACACAAGGTGCACACTGTGCACGTGTGGGGTTCTGAACCGTTCCGCGTCGTGAACATGAAGGCCGCATACCCAGAAATCTTGCAGTGCATCTTGCAAGAACTCGGGGAAGACGTTACTTTTGCGCGCTTCCTCGTCAAGCTTCTCTACGTGGTCCGCCAGAGAGCGCCGCCATGCCCTTCTCTGGGCTCTAAGCTCCTGGACCAGGCAAAGGGGATATGGGCACTGCATGTGGGTAGCAAGCCAGTCGAGGCGTTGCGGGCTCACGAACTCGACTTGTTAGACAGCTTCCTTGCGCGCCCGCGGATCATTCGCTGCCGCGTCTGCTTTAAGCCGTGTGACGACGCAAAGTACCGCATGCACAGTTCCTGCAAGCAGCACATGATCGAGTGCGACAAGTGCCACTTCAAATGCAACTGCCCGTCCAGGCTGATGAAAGTTCCGGAGCGCTCAAAGGTAGACACAGGCGAAGACGCAGCCGAGATCGAGCGGATGTACAGGAAGCGGAAGGCAGATATCGAGAGCTTGAACTTGGCTACAACGATGTGGTGCCGATTCAAATGCCAGAAATGCGGATCGTATGCGCACGACAGCGTGTGCCCCAAGCCAGAATGCCGACCAAAGAGCACAAAAGTCGCCCGATGAGCTGAGCTGTAGAGCCTAGTAACAGTAACAGGCTAGGCGTGCGTTCAGAAAAAATGATACTTCTTGCAGATTTGCCGGCGCAAAATGCGATGCGAACACACCACTGCTTCTGGAGCTAAGATTTCTTTCAGACCCCTGAGTAGGAATAATAATTATTTTTTGGGGACAGAACTAATCCCCCCTAGAAATTATTATTTTGTCCTCGAGTCAGCTGTCCCGAGAAGTCCGGAGATGTCCGCAGATGTCCAGAGATGTCCGGAGATGTCGGGGTGTGTACGGTGTTCAGTCACGGAGTAGGACAAATAATTATTTCTTGGGGACAGAACTAATCCCCCCCTAGAAATTATTATTTTGTCCTTGAGTCAGCTGTCCCGAGATGTCCGGAGATGTCCGAAGATGTCCAGAGATGTCCGGAGATGGCGGGGTGTGTACGGTGTTCAGTCACGGAGTAGGAAAAATGATTATTTCTTGGGGACAGAACTAATCCGCCCCTAGAAATGATTATTCTGTCCTCGAGTCAGCTGTCCCGAGATGTCCGGAGATGTCCGGAAGCCTTCCAAGAGCAAGGATGAACGCAATCCTGCTCTAACCTGTTAGACCGAAATCACGCATAGCGTTTGTGTGTGCCAGGGAGCGAGGAGTGCGATCAACGCGCATAGCTTATTAAGGAAAGTGCAGAGGAAGACAGTATTGCCTAATGCGAACACGCGTGAAACCCTCCATCTGAGAGACATCTTGGTTCAAGTGTGATCGCTGCGCTTCCCCCGGAAATCATGGATCGCTGCGATTTCATCTTCGAGATCGATTCGTTCGAACTCGTGCCTGGCGTGCCCCCCTGCGCGCAGGTGTCGCGACGCCGGTCACGGTGTCCCGCGGCGGCCGCATCATCTACCACGGTAGCGAACCAGAGGCGATGGAAGCCGTTCTCCGACCAGGCGATCTCGTCAGCCGGCCCAGCGGGTTGGACCGCCGCGGCCTGCAGCAGCCAGTAGCCAACGGCATAGTAATGGAGTGGCTGGTCGCCATGTTCCCCGGCAAGGACCCACCAGAGTACAAATGGTGCAGGGTCACCGCCGCTCTTCTGCACTCTGATCTGGAGGTGGTCTAGGTGAACTTTGCGGCCTTCATGGAGACCCACAGCCACATCTTCCGCGGACCACGTGAGTCAGCAGCCCGTGTGGACGACCGCACCCTCATCACGCCGCAGTGGCGAGCAGAGCACCCCGTGGAATGGCAGCGCCTCTGGGACCAACAAGCCAGAAACGAGTGCCCGGTGTGCCACAAGAAGCTCGATATCTGGGACGGCCCCATGAACAGCGACGTGCCCACTCGTTGTAATCACTGGGCCTGCGTTGCCTGCTGGGCGGAGATTTCACAGCGGGACCGCCGCGACGACCTCACAGTGTGGCTGCGACGACCTCACACTGTGGCTGCGACGCTTTGCGGATGACGAGTGAAAGGCCAGCTCCCGCGCAGGTTTGCCCAGGCGCAGGGAGCGGCGCGGGTGCACAGTCAGACAGGTGACCGCCATCAGCCTGCCTGGACGAAAAGACATGCGGCGATGCGTTACATGTCGCGCGAAAGCTCGCGCAACCTCCCCGCATCCCACCCCGCCAAGTGGCTCAGGGGCTAGCCCCATGGCGCTCGACTCTTGCAGCGATCCTTGGGCGGTTGCTCATAGTTCTGTGTCCAGGCAGCAACAGAAAATGGTCGCGAACACAGCGCGCAATGCCGCTCCATTCAGGCCAATCGTAAGCAACGTTCGAACGCGCAGTGTTGAGCCTCTGACAGACCGAAATCACCACAAGCTTGCTAGAGAGGCCAGCCTTGCGATGTGTAGGAGGCACAGCGCGCAACACCCCAGCCCATCGCTTATGCTTGCGTGGCCCCCAGGGCGCCCCTAGAAATGCAGCCAATGCAGTCAGGCGCTTTTCCACGGCTCTTTGCAGTCATTTGTATTCAAGGGATTCTTGTTTTAATTTTACCTGCACCCCTCAACTTCTCCATGGCGGACGCAAGCTCTGATGCCTGCTCCATCGCACCGCCGTCCCTGGAGAATCTGCAGCGCCGTGTCCGCAAAACGAAGGAGAGCCCTCCACGCGCGGCGGTCTACGATGTGATTGCAGCAGTGAAGAATTGCGACCAGAACTACGCAGGTCAGATGTACAAGCGTCTCCTTGACGCCGGCAAAGTTCCAGAGTGCGCCGAGGTGGACCTGGTCTTGGTTCAGCCGCTTGGTTCCTGCAAGTGCATGAACCAAGAAGGTAGCAAATGGGGCGGCAACCGTAAGCCCGTCCGAGTGGCCAGCGCAAGTGAGATGGTTCAAGTCCCCACGCAGCTGCCAGGCAATTGCGACTTCAACAAGGCTTGTGAGGAAGTGATTGCGAAATTTCTGGACGTCGCGCCTCGTGATCCGGATGCAGCCAAATTTCCGGACGTTGCTGGTCCAGCTAAGGAGGACCAAGGCACAACGCGATCCTGACAGGAAGCGTCGGGAGCGCCGCTGTGGCTCAAGGAGGCGCTTACCGATGCCGTGGCGACAGGCATCGAGCAAGGCGTTAAAGCCGCGCAGGCCGCCTACGCAGGACAGTTGCAAGCCCTGGGGCGAGAGCTGCAGAAGGTCTCAGAATATGGACCCCGCATCGAGATGAGCCGCGCCTTCCCAAGTCGTCCGGATGAGCTGCTGGACTTGGGCGTAAAGCTCCACGCTGAGGCAGATCTGCAGCGCTTGGGCGAATACGGCCTGCCCGTCACCACCTTTCTCCAGGAGAAGTTCCCGGAGAAGAATATCTCGCGGACCAGCGCATGCTTCGCCAAGACACTCAAGCAGCGACGCCTCGAACTGTACAGGGAAGGACCCGGAGGAGCACCAGATCTTCCTTCTCTACCATCAAGGAGAGTGGCCGCATAGCGTATTGCAGGTGCTGGCGACGCCCGCCATGCAACAGACCATTCAGTGCCTCCTGGGCATGGTGGCGACAGAAGGGGAAAGCGACAAGCGGCGACAAACCCTCCTGACCGCATATGCAGCTCCATCTTCTGCTGGAGCCACTGGCGCAAGCTCACCCTGATCGATAGCCTCCGACTGAGGCCGCTGTGGTCAACGCAAAGCACAGCCACGACGGATACTGTGCCTCGTTTGCGCTGCCACTGGCAAAAGAAAAGAGTTTTGCACAGCAAGCGCGCATGTCCCAGCGCATTCATCCGTGGAGCGAGACGGTAATCTGCGCTTGCAGGTCGCAGCCCGGCATCTCTGTCCATCTTGCTCATTCCACCCCCGTGGCTTCCACCCAGTACCTTAGAAAGGCATTCCATTTGGCCAGAGCCACAGCAACCGATTCCCGCTGCGGCTGCATGCCGCTCCAGGCCGCCCCCGGGGAGGAGAGCTGCCCAGGGCCGCGCCCCGCGCTTGCACCTGAAGCCACCACCACAGCGGCAAGAAGCATAGAGGCCTCCAGGGGCGCAGGCCGTCAGGAATGTCCACAGAGCGACGAAACACGGTGCGAGATGTATGGCTGCAGCAAGGCCGTGCTCCAAAGCACAAGCTGCTGCCAACGGCGGCTCTGTCCTGAGTGCACCCTGCGGTGCTCACAGCGGCGCCTTGGTCCGGCAGGGCTTCGCAGTTTCTGTGCGAGGTTCGTCCAGAGCGGCGCGGAAATCTCAACTACGGCAGCCGTGGCAGACTTCAGGTGCCTCTTCTGCCGCAACATGCGGCCCTTGAGCGAGCGAGAGGTGTGCGTGCAATCATGATGAAAGTGATTGCGCCCGTGTTCTATGCAGGCGAGTAGCTGTGGACAGGTAGGTGCTGGGGAGGGAGATCTGGCGCCAAAGTTGAGTCGCGCAACTGCGTGCACGCTTGTTTGCCAAATTGTCTGCGAAGGCCCTGGGGCAGCCCTCCGCGCTCGACGAGCCATGCTGAGCATCTAGGCTACCCGACGCGTGCGAAGCTGCGTCAGAAGTGTTCAGACGAACGCACGCAGCAGCTCTATGGCAGACCGAAATCACTTTGCCCCCCGTGCGGCTCAGAGGGGGGGGGGAGCAATGCAGCAAGACGCTGCAATCCGCTGCGCGCAGCGGCGCCCTCGAGTCAGTTACACTTCAACAGCTACGCCTCCCTTGCCAGCACTTTCCGCCAACTGGGGCCTCCGAGTTGGGTCCCGCATGCTGCCATCTTCCGCGCATTGCGTAGCAGAAGCAATAGAGAAGCGAGAGCACCGCTTCAAGGTATCATGGTATCTATGCGGTAGCAGCGGTCGTTCAAAATTATTACCGCCCGGCCGCCCCCGCGTCTCACTACCATGGTTTCGACACCGCCGCCCGAAAGCCAGTCGCACGGCTGGCGCCAGCTGCGGAGCAAGCAGCCGCCTCTTCTAGCCTGTGGCGGCACTTATGCAAACACCAGCGACGTGCCTGTCTACCAAGACGTGCAGGGCAGCACGACGTACTATCCACCGATCTTTGCCGATGCGCCCGCTGAATTGGCCGCCCAGCTGCCTCCTCCAGCTTATGGGGATTCGTCTGCGTGCACCAGTGACGCGCGTGTCTACCAAGACGCACAGGGCAGGACGACGTAGTATCCGCCGATCTTTGTCGATGCGTCCGCTGGGCAAGTCGTGAGAAGCCGTGTGGGAGCTGATGCTGATCGAGATGGGGCAGGCGTGTGACTGTAGCCCACGACTTGGTTCATGCACCTGCAGCCGCCAAAATTGTGTCTGTGGCCTCTGCGACTGCCACTAGAAAGTTGGCGGCAGGAGGCAGCGGTGCGCTTCCACACGTAATCCTGGGACCGGAGAGGTGGGACCAGAGAGTTGGGGCCGGAGAGAGTCGGGACGGGAGAGCTTGGACCAGAGAGTTGGGACCAGGAGTTGGAACCAGAGAGGTGGGACCAACAGTTGGGACCAGAGAGTTGGCACCGGAGAGTTAAGACCGGAGAGTTGGGACCAGAGAGGTGGAACCAGAGAGGTGGAGTTGGGACCGGAGGGTTTGATGGGAGTCCGCCGGAGGTGGGACGGGAATCCGCTGGAGATGGGACAAGACAGTTAGGACCGGAGAGCAGGGGCCGAAGACTGGGGACCAGGAGTTGGGACAAGACAGTTGAGAGCGTCCGGACCAGAGAGTTAGGAGAGTTGGCACCAGGAGTTGGGACCAGAGAGTTGCGAGAGTTGGGACCAGAGAGTTGGGGCCGGAGAAAGTTGGGACCGGAGAGCTGGGACCAGAGAGTTGGGGCCAGGAGTTGGGACGGGAATCCGCTGGAGATGGGGCAAGACAGTTAGGACCGGAGAGTTGGGGCCGAAGACTTGGGACCAGGAGTTGGGACAAGACAGTTGGGAGAGTTGGGACCAGAGAGTTAGGAGAGTTGGGACTAGGAGTTGGGACCAGAGAGTTGCGAGAGTTGGGACCAGAGAGTTAGGAGAGTTGGCACCAGGAGTTGGGACCAGAGAGTTGCGAGAGTTGGGACCAGAGAGTTGGGGCCGGAGAAAATTTTGACCGGAGAGCTGGGACCAGAGAGTTGGGACCAGGAGTTGGGACGGGAATCCGCTGGAGATGGGACAAGACAGTTAGGACCGGAGAGTTGGGGCCGAAGAATTGGGACCAGGAGTTGGGACAAGGCAATTGGGAGAGTTGGGACCAGAGAGTTAGGAGAGTTGGGACCAGGAGTTGGGACCAGAGAGTTGCGAGAGTTGGGACCAGAGAGTTGGGGCCGCAGAAAACTGGGACCGGAGAGCTGGGACCAGAGAGTTGGGACCAGGAGTTGGGACCAGGAGTTGGGACCAGAGAGGGGGGACCAAGAGAGTTGGGGCCAGAGAGTTGGGACCGGAGAGTTAGGACAGGAGAGTTGGGACCAGAGAGGTGGGAGGGTTGGGACAAGGAGTTGCGAGAGTTGGGACCATAAGTTGGGACCAGAGAGGTGGGAGAGTTGGGACCAAGAGTGGGGACAAGACAATTAGGACCGGAGAGTTGGGACCAGAGAGCTGGGAGAGTTGTGACCAGGAGATGGGACAAGACAGTTAGGACCGGAGAGTTGGGGCTGGAGAATTGGGACCGGAGAGTTGGGACCATAGAGTTGGGAGAGTCGGGACCAGGAGTTGGAAATGGGACAAGACAGTTATGACCGGAGAGTTGGGACTGGAGAATTGGACCAGAGAGTTGGGACCAGAGAGTTGGGGCCAGAGAGTTGGGAGAGTTGGGACCAGGAGTTGGTGCCAGAGAGTTGGGGCCGGGAGTTGGGACAAGACAGTTGGGGCTGGAGAATTGGGACCTGAGAGTTGGGACCATAGAGTTGGGAGAGTTGGGACCAGGAGTTGGAGATGGGACAAGACAGTTAGGACCGGAGAGTTGGGACTGGAGAATTGGGACCGGAGAGTTGGGACCAGAGAGTTGGGAGAGTTGGGGCCAGGAGTTGGGACCAGAGAGTTGGGACCAGGAGTTGGGACCAGGAGTTGGGACAAGACAGTTGGGAGAGTTGGGACTGGAGAATTGGGACCGGAGAGTTGGGGCCAGAGAGTCGGGAGAGTTGGGACCAGGAGTTGGAGATGGGACAAGACAGTTAGGACCAGAGAGTTGGCAGAGTTGGGACCAGGATTTGGGACCAGAGAATTGGGGGAGTTGGGACCAGAAGGTGGGATCGGAGAGTTAGGGCCAGGAGTTGGGACCAGAGAGTTGGGACCGAGGGGGTAACAGGAGTCCGCCCGAGTTGAGATCGGAAAGTTCGGACCAGGAGTTGGGGCCGAGGGTGTGACAGGAGCCCGCCGAAGATGAGACGTGAGAGTTGGGACCGGAGAGTTGGCACCAGGCGTTAGGACTCGAGGTTTGGGACCAAGGGTGCATGGGAGTGTGTCGGAGGCGGTGCCAGAGAGCTCGGACCGGAGAGTTGGGACCAAAGAGTTCGGAGCAGAGAGTTGGGGCCGGGGGAGCGTTCGGAGTCTGCCGGAGGTGGGGCCACAGAGTTCGGACCTGAGAGTTGGGGCCAGAGAGTTGGGACCAGGCGTTGGGACCAGAGGATCGGGACCAGGGGTGCATGGGGAGTCTGTCGGAGGCGGTGCCAGAGAGCTCGGACCGGAGAGTTGGGACCAAAGAGTTCGGAGCAGAGAGTTGGGACCGGGGGAGCGTTCGGAGTCTGCCGGAGGTGGGGCCACAGAGTTCGGACCTGAGAGTTGGGACCAGAGAGTTGAGACCGGAGATTTGGGACCGAGGGGGCACGGGAGTCCGCCAGAAGTGGAACCGATGTTGGGAGCAGAGAGTTGGGACCATTAGCTGGGACCAGAGAGTTGGGACCAGATGTGGCTGCGTAGCAGACGATGCGAATTCAGACGCGTTCCTCTTCATGTAGCGGTGCTGGCTCACATTATAAAACCATCCTGTGCCATTCTCGAAAGCATCTTCCCCACCCAAGCCATGGGCAAGACTGCGGAAGAGAAAAGTCGAGCTCGTTACGCTGAGCGGTTAGGACGGGGCCTTGAGCCCAGGCCGCATAACGATGTAAACCGAGCCATTCTGGCAGAAGTCCGCGCCGAAGTCCAGCAGGGCAAGCGGAGAATCCAGCAAGAGGCTGAACAAGGCAGCGCGCAAATCAAATCTGTTACAGACGCTGGAGTTACGCTGATCAAGGACGTTACGCAGCAGGAGAAGATCGAGGGCAAGAAACAGATCAGGGCGAATGCCGCGAAGGGCAAGAAGTCCGTCCAGCAAGCCGGGAGTGTGGCTGTGCAGCTTATCAAAGACATCGCGGAGACAGAGAGGCTAAATATTACTAATCATGCAGAGGCCGCAGCTCAAGAAGCATTGAGGAAGGCCCTCCCTGCCGCGGAGGCACACAACGCCGATTCATCTGCTTCCTCTGCAGCCTTCGCGACGAGCCCTACCATGTCTTCGGTGACAGAGCCAGTGGCAAGCCGCCCAACCAGCAAGCGCCCCTTCCAACCGCCAGACACGAGGCCAAGCACGGTGGTGCTGCTGCAGAAGACAGAGGCCTTCTCCACACCAGCCCATAAAGATAAGCGTGTAGATAACGAAGATGCAGCACGGGCAACGAAAAAGGCGAAAACGACAAAAGGGATTGCAGAGCTGCCACAGGTCGACTCACATGCTGCGCCGCAGGAGAGAAATGAGGCCAGTGCGGAAGAGCCATTGGACTCGGGAGGCCCGGGCGTGGAGCCGTCTGTTACACAAGATATTCCAGACGCAGTGCCCCCTCCAGCTGCAGGGTCGGGCCGCGCGGAGGTAGCGGAGATGATCGAGCAGCGCTCCCCTGTTGCAAGCGCAGAAGACGCAAACGCTTCTGTCATTGCGAAGAACAGCATCGAGGAGGAATTGGCGCTGCTGCCCATGGAAGCAGAGGCGCAGGCCGCACAAGCAACGATGCCTGTTCCTGTGCTCCCACTTGTTCGCCAGAGCCGCGCTCCACCGGAGGAGGGGGCAGCTTTCCAGGCGCCCATGGAGCCAGACCACGCCAAGCTTCGCAAAGAGGCCATCCACGCAGAACGGGAGCGCCTGGCGCCGGAGCGCGCACGAGAAATCACGAAAGCGTACAAGCGTCTGGCAACGAAGCACGATTGGCCCCAACTCCCTGGAGATGGATTGCCAGACGGCCTGAAGGCGCACGTGAAGTGGCTCTTCCTTGCGAACGCTGACTTCCAGCATGCGCTCCAGGCCAAGAAAAGAGCGGCTGCCACCAGGGCGGTCACGGATGATTTGGCCAGGCAGCGGGGGAAGTGCCCGCGTTGCCAGAGAGAGAAGTCTCTCGCCAGCAGTTACTTCTGCGGGCAGAAGGCCGCATGCGCCTGGGACCCCGCGTGCGCCAAACACCTTGCGCTATCAGTCGCGCAGGAGGTCAAGATCGAAGAGGAGCTGTCCTCAGAGTGGGCTGAGGAAGCCATCTACGCCTGGCAGAGAAATATGGATTTGGCGGCAAATGCGCGTCGCGACAGCCAAGCACGCCAGCAGGCAGAAGAGGCCGATAGCAAAAGGCGCCGCGAGGTGGAGAGGCAAGCGCGAGAGCAGCTCCGGCCGGAAACCCGTCGATGTGAGGATTGCTGGGAGTATGACGAAGTCACGGGTGGCATGTGCCCTCTCCACGAGGAAAAACATAGGGCGTTGTGCGTGGCTATGAGTTCCGGAGTCTCGGATAAGCCCATGCCTGCGCCACTGAGCGTGCGGACGCCCGCTCTGCAGTGCTGAAAGCAAAAGCGGAAGTGAGGCGCCGTCTCGGTCATGTTAGCTTGCGCCAGAAACAAGTGTATGCGTGTGCTTTGCCAGCATGTGTGAATAGCCTCAGACCGCTGTTTGCAGTGCGAATGGGCAGCAGAGCGAGCCGTGCCACCCGCGACGACTTGTGACAGCTCGCACAAATCCTCGCACCCGGAGCGGTGCACCGGTTCGCGAGGGACCGGCGTCCATTTGCGACGCAGTTATAGAGTGTAGTGTCCGCGCGCACGCAAACCCACGAATCCGAGCGTTGCTGGAAATTTGCCATATTGATTTGCCACCAATATCCCCGGTTCATCAATAAAGCTTCCCAACGTCATGGACTGTGACGCGTTGGCTTGGTATGAAAAGCAAGACGAAGCCCTCCAAACGCGTATCCGCATGCTTGCTTGCTTCACTGCAAATTTACAAAAGGGTGATTGGCGACAGCTTCTCCCTGGCGCCTGCAGAGGCGCACGTGACGATAGGATCATATTCGACGCCATTGCTGATATGCTGATCGCACCCTTGCTGGGCGAGCGCGTGCGCCAGACGGTCATGCGAAGCTCGCTGAAGGACATCGCTGCTTCGATGAGAGGCGGTCATTTCTAGCTGCGCCTCAACTGGAAACCAGCCGGAATGGTATTGAATCATGCGTTCGTGACGCGCCAGCTGCACATCTGTGGCAGGCGCCGCGAAAATGGTAATCGTACGATACAAGCCCTGTGCCACGTAACAGCTTTGCATGCCTCGGCGCGTGCCGCCTGTCGAGCAGTCTGCGCTGCTCTGCAGTGCATTCGCCGTATTGCCACGCTCGCAAGCACTCCGCATGCAGCGCATGAGGGCACCGCGGGAAAATGATTGGATCGCTGCCCTTACCAATGTATCCGCTGGCCTTGTCGTTGTCCGCTACCGGCAAATCGCAAAATGAGCAGAGCGCTTGCACATGGTGCGTGTGAGCTAGGCAAGCGACGCAGAGTCGCTGCTTGCAGCATTGCTGCGTGACGCCACGGTTCGGACAGCCCGGGATAGCGCAGCGAAAGCCGTGCTTGCTTCCTGAATTCTTCGCGAATTTGTGCAGGATTTTGCGCCTGGCGTCAGGCTGCGCGTGACAGTTCCACATCGTCGCAAACAAGAGTGTGAGCGCGAATGGCAGTGCTGGTCGCGCTGCTGGTCGCTTTAGTGAGATTGTCACGCATGTTTCGTGCGCGCCGTGACGCAACTCGTGTGGCAATAGGTAATTCAGCAGTCGTTGAGCGACTCGAGAAATGGGCTGGTGACGTCACGGGCGCGCGTCGCCTTCAGTCGCTGCCATAGCTCCAGAAGGTCCTCATAACTGTCGTTCAGCTCTGGAGACGCAGCTTTTTCGTATTGTTCGTCCGTCAAGAGCTGCAGGTCGCGACCCTGCAATGAGAGCTGGACTCTGGAATTCGAAAAGGCGGTTCGAATTCCCATCAGAATCGACTTCCGTGTTTTCGGTTGTTGGCAACGCGCCGTGAGCACATACTCCCCCGAAACCTCGTCGATGAGGTGTTCGGTATATGTCCGCGGGCACCACTTCTCGAGTAGAGCAGCGGCGTCGCAATCCAGCGCGCCGAGACTAGCCCGGAAATATTCGGACGTCGTCACCATTTCCACTGGCGCAGGTTTTGGGGGGTGGCGACTTGAACCAAACGAACCCATGAAGTCTATGCGGAGAACAAATGCCGACACGTAAGAGTATACGCGACGCCCAATGTGAACATTGCAAGCGCTTCTTCACGAAAAAGGGCTTAAAGGAACATCAACGCCATGTGAAATGCTCGCCCACATCGATGGCCACGCCGCGCAAATGGGAGCGCGCCCGTTGTAAGCATTGCGGAAAGAGTTACCATAGCTCCAACAGTCTTCGTGTCCATGTCTCCACGCAACACCCAACTGAGTACAGAAAATCCCCAAACAGCGTCAAGGCGCACCGCTCCCCGGTCAAGCGCAGCGGGTCCACCAAGACAGGACGCGCCTCCTCAGCGCCAAGGCATGACACCGCAGGGCGCAGCACCTCGCCGCAGGTCGCTTCGCGGAAGCCCGTGAGCCATTCCCCAGCAAGTCGCGCAGAGAAGCTCAAGACCGACCTCGACGTGGAAGCGATGATTCGGAAAACTCCGGACCCAGCCACGAGCCGACGGATTTGGGAAACGGTACTCCGTCAGCAACAACTGCAGAAGGACAGAACACAAAGCGCCAGGAGACATGCTGCCCCATGAAAGGGTCTGACAGGAGACATGTTTCGAGTCACCTCTGGTTGACTGTCCATTTGCAGTGCATCTGCAGCGGCTCTCCAATGGTGAGCACGGTCCTGAGAATTTGCGGCATTGCCCGTGCTTTCTTCATTCGGTTTGTGTTAAATTTGCGCGAAAACAAAACGGATGCCTTCTGAGCGCGGATATTCTCAGAAGAACGCCAATGCTGTGCGCGCTTTGGGTTTTGTTGAGCATGTTGTGCAGATCCAGTGGCAACGGGGCAAAATTCCACCAGGATGCTCGGTTGGATCCTAGAGAAATTCACAGAAGAGCGCCAGCGCCGTATGATTTTTTGGGAGGTACCTCGGCGCGCGGCAGAAATGGCCGCGAACACACCAAAACAGTTCACCTGGATGCCCGGTAAGACCTTATTGAAATCCCCAAAAAACTTTAAAAGGAGTGGCGTATTTTCAGGTCTCTGCCTGCCTTGCGAAAATCTCGGGGGCGCTTTTGGGAATGGCGCCGCCGAGCAATTCCCCGCCGGGTGTTTTTTGACATCGTCGAATATTCTCTCCGCGCTCAGTGACCATGCGGCGCAGCGAAGCGGCAAGAAGCACACGCCGCAGAAATGGGTCCCCCGACACCTGTCTCTATTGTAGCTGCAGATGCGCTGCAAGTTGACAGTCAACCTTGGTTGGCCGGAAGCTTCGAAACATGTCTCCTGGCACCCTGCTGCACCCGAAATCGGCATTCATGGTAGATGACACTGCCGTTCACACCTTCACGACTTGGATGCCCGAGCAGGCAGTCCTCCGTGCGCTGCCACTCAGATGAATGATTTTCTCGTCGCTGTCTTCCTGCGGCACCTGGGATGACGACGGCGCTTTGTTTGATGGCTTGGGTAGGAGCGCCCCCTTGCTGTGCTATGCCTAGGGTGGTACTCGGACCCGCAGCTACCGGGCACTCCGCGCGTGCTGCGCGAGATTCTTGAAGCACGATGTTGCTCTCCGTTAATGCAAGCCATGTACCCCGCAAACGAGATGGGTCTACGCCCAATCTCTTCAAGGTGCCTCTGATGGACCGCATGAAAGCTTCTCGCGGGCGAGGTCGCTCTTTCGTCGCAAGCCAGACAACGCAACTCGCGCCGCCCGCGCCTCCGTCGCGGAACGACGCGGAAGTAGCGCAATGTTCTTCGCTCCACGCCCGTAGGCGCAGTAGCTCGTCGTCTGACAAGGGTGGCAAAATGGCTCTGTATGACTTGCTGCTCATCTTTAGATTCGCTGCCCAAATGTGAGCGCATCCTCCGGCATCTTTCACCGACTCTGCTCTTCATGGTTTTTCCTTGCGTGGCATGCAGGGCAAAGTGGCTGTAGCCCGTCCAGGTCGTTGTCCAAACGCTGGCCAAGTTTGAGCCTTCTGTGGAGTGGTACAATATGGTCCACATGGAAATCCGAACGGAGCGTCTCTTTGCATCTGGCGCATCGCCAACCGTATTTGGCGCCCACCTCTTTCATGGTGTGTGCGGAAATACGCTTGCGGCTTGCAGTGGTCGTGTTGGGGCGCGGCGCGCTGTTTACCCGCCTGTACGTAGTGGCAGGCGGCTCGGCGTCGTCGTCTTCGTCGTCATTGTAACGGTATTCGGCAAGGTCCCGTATGCTGCCCTCTAATGCGTGCCATGCGGACTCGCGCAGTCCTCCAGAACCCGCCGCTGGACCGCACCACGATATCAGAGTGCAGATGAGAAAAAGGACACAAAGCACCTTCAACTGGAACCACATATTTTTAATACAAGACGGTGCCTACGCCGAAGGACTTCGGCGCTTCGCCCGCAGCCGCCGCGCTAGCTCACAGGTGTTCGTACTTCCCGGAATACTTTGCCAGAAAGGCTGCCTTGTCGGAGACGTGCTGGAAAAGCGCGCTTCCGAAGCCTTGCTGAAAATATTTGCCTCTGTCCCCAATTGCCAGATGGCCCCCATTGATCTTCAGCTGGGGGTCCAGCTTGTTGTTTCCACAATACACTTTCGGTTTTCTGGGCTTCGTGGCGCGATGCGCTGTGCTTTCTCGGGAGCTGCTGCGGCGGAGACCAGAGGTGCTGGGCGCCTTCGTGGGAGAGGCGGCCTGGGCGTGGGCTTCACGTTTGGCTGCTCTGGTTCTCAACTTCTCTTGGAGTTGGAGCCGCGCTCTTTGCTCCATCTGCTCAGCACCCGAGGATTTTGCCGAAGTCGCGTGCGAATCCAGCAATGGTGAATGGTGCTCTGCGTGTATTGACCGGGATCGGCTTGTCTTTTTTCTGTCGCCTCCGGCAGCACCACCATCGTTGCCGTGGGCTTGTGCTTGCGTGGCCGATCGTTTCGGCGTCGACGGGGAGAACCGAATGTCTCTGCTTCCAGATGCTGACGCTTGCGATCTCCCTCGGCGACTTTCTTGGGGCTGCGTGACGTCGTCGACGTGACTCGCCGAAGATTTGCGGTGGTTGGTGCTGTCGCGCGGGCCGGAATCGTGCGGGGAGCTTTGCCGCTGTTTGCCACCTGCGCTGAGGGGCTTCGATGGGCTATGAGGCGGGTCCTGCGCCCGACTCATGTCGTTCACGCTCTTGCCGCCATATTGTACCCGAACTGTTGGCACGAACGGCGGCGATGCGTTTTGCGTCGCGCTGCCGTGGGCGAGTAAGTTGGCCCAACCTGCGTGGGTCACCATAGTGTTTGACAAGGCCATCGATCCCAGAGGGCGATGGCGCTGACAGCCACACACGCGATGCTGTCGCGGCCTCCTGCAATTGCGCGCCGACAGCCACACGCGCGATGCTACAGATGCGGACGAATGCAGCTCGCGGCACGGTGCGACGCAGATTTCACCAGGTCTATGTTAAAATGGCTTGCGAGTTAGTGAAGTTTCTCGAACAAAATCCGGGCGAAGTTGACGTAGTTCGCTTGAATTCAGATCGGGAGGATCACAAAGTAATGATGGAAGCGCTCACAGAAGGTGTGAGGATTTTCTTGCGACACCGCGGGCATCTGTCGTTTGAGCAACTCCTGCGTGATTTCCAGGAGTGTCAGCCGTGCGCAGGAGATCCTTTCGTTGACGCCGCGTCGTGGGCGCAGCATTCGGCTGCGCGCGCCGACCTCGCGTGCTGGAGGGGACCAACGCATGCTCCCAAGGCGCCTTGATATGCGTGGCGTCGAAAAAGTGCCCGGCGAGGTTGGGGCTCAGCGAGAGCTGGAGGCGGCGCATGGCCGCCAACGTCGCGGCCTTGGCCCACGGCTGCAGCCGCCTCGAGAACGAGTTCCTACACGACGTATTGCCGTAGCTCCTGCTTCAGCAGGGCCTCTGCGAGCTGGAGCGCGCGGCGCTTGCCGCTTGTGGAAGTGAGTGTCGTTCGGCCGGTTCATCCGGGCTACGGCTAAGATGTCAATACCTTCGGGATAATTGTACTCCCAATCAGACAGGCGCCGATCTTTATGGGGGAGCCGCGCAGCCCGCGCGGTTGAATCGCGTAGAGGCCGCCCTTGTCGCAGCTTGTCCGTACTGAGCAGAACCTCACAAACTCGGAGAAGGAGGCCATGGCTTTAATCGTCTGCGCCGATCTCGTTCAGAAGCCGCCGGAACGTGGGCGGCAGGTGCTCCTGCGACGGCCTGGGTCGTTGTCCGCTGTCTGAGCTCTCGAGCCGGGTGGAGGCCACAGACTCGCCTCTCACTGGCGAGCGAAAGCGTTGAGCGGTAAGGACGCTTCCTCGCGCAGCCTCGAGCATGCCTTGGGTCACGTCGTGCGCAGCGCCAGCTTCAAACTGGCACTCCTTTGGAATCAGCCCTCGGAGGGAACGGAACAGCGACCTCCACGCACGGGTTGCTTCGCCAGGCTCCAGGCGTGCAACGGACAGAATCCGGACGGGAGTCCGTTGTCGCCGCATGAAGCGGGACAGATTGCTTGTCACACCCGTTCGCAAGCGGTGTCCATCCTGGATTGCGTATAGTCCGGGCCCATCGCAATCCGGGCAAGCCAGCTCGAATTCTTCGAGCGTCGCCATTCAGCGGATGACCTTTACCATTAACGAACAGATCCGTGCGTCGACGGGAGCAGCCAGGAGCAGCCGCGCCCGCTCTTCGCACCCGTAGTCGAATCAGGCCGTTTGTTGCCCGAGGGCGGGTGGCGGGAGCAGCCGGGAGCAGCCGCGCACGCTCCTCGCACCCCTACTCGAAACGGACCGTGTGCTGCCCGAGGACGGGTGGCGGGAGCAGCGGGGTGCAGCCGCGCCCGCTCCTCGCACCCCTACTCGAATCGCGCCCTGTGCTGCCCGAGGGCGGGTGGCAAGAGCAGCCGGGAGCAGCCGCGCCCGCTCCTCGCACCCCCACTCGAAACGGGCCGTGTGCTGCCCGAGGGCGGGTGGCGCGAGCAGCCAGGCGCAGCCGCGCCCGCTTCTCGCACCTCTACTCCAATCGGGCCGTGTGCTGCTTGAGGGCGGGTGGCGGGAGCAGCCGGGCGGGAGCAGCCGCGCCCGCTCTTCGCACCCCTAGTGCAATCGGGCCGTGTGTTGCCCGAGGGCGGATGGCGGGAGCAGCCGGGAGCAGCCGCGCCCGCTCTTCGCACCCCTACTCGAATCGGGCCGTGTGCTGCCCAAGGGCGGGTAGCGGGAGCAGCCTCGCTCGCTCCTCGCACCCCTACTCCAATCGGGCCGTGTGCTGCCCGAGGGCGGGTGGCGGGAGTAGCTGGGAGCAGCCGCGCCCGCTCCTCGCACCCCTATTCCAATCGGGCCGTGTGCTGCCCGAGGGCGGGTGGTGGGAGCAGCCGGGAGCAGCCGCGCCCGCTCCTCGCACCCCTTCTCGAAACGGGCCATGTGCTGCCCGAGGGCGGGTGGCGGGAGCAGCCGGGAGCAGCCGCGCCCGCTCGCACCCCTGATCGAAACGGGCCCGGGTGGCAGGAGCAGCCGGGAGCAGCCGCGCCCGCTCCTCGCACCCCTACTCGAATCGGGTTGTGTGCTGCCCGAGGGCGGATGGCGGGGGCAGCCGGGAGCAGCCGGGCCGTAGTCGAATCGGGCCGCGTGCTGCCCGAGGGCGGGTGGCGGGAGCAGCCGGGAGCAACCCGCTCCTCGCGCCCCTACTCGAAACGGGCCGTGTGCTGTCCGAGGGCGGGTGGCGGGAGCAGCCGGGAGCAGCCGCGCCCGCTCGCACCCCTACTCGAAACGGGCCGTGTGCTGCGCGGGAGCAGCTGGGAGCAGCCGCGCCCGCTCTTCGCACCCCTAGTCCAATCGGGCTGTGTGCTGCCTGAGGGCGGGTGGCGGGAGCAGCCAGGAGCAGCCGGGAGCAGCCGCGCCCGTTCCTCGCACCCCTACTCGAATCGGGCCGTGTGCTGCCCGAGGGCAGGTGGTGGGAGCAGCCGCGCCCGCTCCTCGCACCTCTAGTCGAATCGGGCCGTGTGCTGCCCGAGGGCGGGTGGCGGGAGCAGCCGGGAGTAATCGCACCCCTACTCGAAACGGGCCGTGTGCTGTCCGAGGGTGGGTGGCGGGAGCAGCCGGGAGCAACCGCGCCCGCTCGCGCCCCTACTCGAAACGGGCCGTGTGCTGCTTGAGGGCGGGTGGCGGGAGCAGCCGGGAGCAGCCGCGCCCGCTCCTCGCACCCCTAGTCGAATCTGGCCGTGTGCTGCCTGAGGGCGGGTGGCGGAAGCAGCCGGCGGCAGCCGGCAGCCGAGAGCAGCCGCGCCCGCTCACCGCAGCCCTAATCAGCCCTGGCCGCATGCTGCCCGAGGGCGGGTGGTGGGAGCAGCCGGGAGCAGCCCGCTCCTGGCACCCCTTGTCCGCCCGGGCCGTGTGCTGCCTGAGGGCGGGTGGCGGGAGCAGCCAGAAGCAGGCCGCTCACCGCACCCCTACTCAGCGCGAGCTGGTGGACAGCTGAGGCGGATGGGGGGGAGCAGCCGGGAGCAGCCCGCTCATCGCACCCCTACTCAGCGCGAGCCGGTGGACAGCTGAGGCGGGTGGCCGGAGCAGCCGGGAACAGCCCGCTCGCCGCGCCCCTACTCAGCGCGAGCCGGTGGACAGCTGAGACGGGTGGCGGGAGTAGCCGGGAGCAGCCCGCTCGCCGCACCCCTACTCAGCGCGAGCCGGTGGACAGCTGAGGCGGGTGGCGGGAGCCGCCAGGAGCAACCGGGAGCAGCCGGGAGCCGGGAGCCGCCGGGAGCCGGCGGGAGCCAAGGGGAAGTGTGCTAAAATTTATGTAAATTTTAAAGTTGTCGCGATCCCAATCCAAAACCATCTGCGCCTGTAGCCGTCTTGGCTGAAGACGTCGCCGAAACGCGTCAAATAATTTGAATGAGGCATAGTCACACAGCCGACGTGGTGTGAACATTGAAGCAATTGTGAAACAAGACTTTATAACGAAGTCTCGTCGCAAAAGATTCCGTGAAGTCCCACGTGCGAATGAACCTCGTCAGGTTGGGGTTGCTGGATTTCAATCCGGTCCCGCCTGCCTCACGTGTGTGGTGTCCTATGTAATTGAGGCCAGCCCCTTTCTTCCCGTCAGCCCACCTCTGGTACGGAGTGTGTCCCCACCACTCTTCCACCAGAAATAGTAAGGCCAGCCCCTCCCTACCCGCCAGCTTCCTCTGGCATGGAGTGTGTCCCCACCCCTCCCCCTCAGGAAATGTTATTTTTCTAGGGACGTTCAGGGCCGTTCAGGGACGTTTGTGCGATCACGAACGTTCCGCGACGTTCACAGAGGTTCGCGCAAGTTCAGGTTCACGGACGTTCAACGACGTTCACATTTACGGACGTCCTCGCACAAGTGTGAATCCCAAGTTCGGCTGATCCTGTGGGATTAAGAATGTTTTCCCCCAGCCGTATCAATATTGTTTTTGGCAGGGGATGGTTCGAAGTATTGGCAATTTTGGTTGAGGCAATTTGCCTGGTGCTATTCACGTTGTCATGACTTCGCGTGTGATTTCCCTGGCTTTTTTCCCGTGGCCCGTGTCTCTGATTCCGCCGTTCACGCCGGCCACGCCGCTTGGTGCGTCCAGCTTGCAGTGTCGTTGGCTTTCGTCCTACCTTGGTTCTCTTCGCCAGCCTTGTGCCAGACCTCAATTTTCTTTTGGGCTTGGAAGCCCGTCAAGGCGTATTTTAAATTTGTATTGGTCGTACAGAGCTATCAGAAGGTCTATCTTGAGCAAGAAATTGTGAGAATTATTTTGCGCGGCCTGTTTTTACGTATCTGAGTATCTCATGCAAAAACCCAACGCCAACCCCCAAAAAATGGATTCGGGCGCCCGAAAACTTGTGGAATGATATGTTGTTTTGTTGTATTGGAAACTGACGGGTTTTCTGAAACGCGTTTTGGTAAGCCGCATGGGCGTTACGAGCTTTGTTTCAAGGATAAGCGTCTGTTCAAAGTTTGACGTTTGTACTCTGTAGCCATTTGAGCTCAAGCTCGAGCCATTGCAGTATTCCTAAATGTTGGGACTTCGCAGGGTGCGTCAGCTCATCCCAGCACATGCTTCGCTCATGCGAGCTTGGAGGCCTTTTCTTGCATCGAGGTGTCTTTTGGACAGTCCGCTGCTTCGTTGGCGAGCTGCACCATCCCATTTCCTTGAGTTCCAGCGCCCCAAAAGCGACAAAGGCAATTCTTGCGACAGCAGCGAACCGCTCACTTTGTCTGGACACTCGGTTGCAGAGAAGTCCTCAAATCGAACATCTGACTCCAAAGGTTCGGCACAGGGGCACTCTGGCGGTGACTGCGGGTTGCAAGTATCATCGCTAAAATCTAGCTTGAAACACGTTGACGCCTTCATGCAGTCCTGCAAGTTTGGCGATGCAGAGGTGTTGTTGGAGAAAATCCTCGAAGAGTTGCCCAATGCAGGTGTGGTCTCATGCAAGACGGTGGAGGCTGAAGTCTTACGCCAAGCACGCTCGGGTTCTGTTGACGAGCTATGGCGCAATTGAGTTCAAGCGTGTTACAAATGCTGTCTTTGCAGCTCTTGCTCTAGATCCAGATTCTGCCGATGCCAAACAAATGCTAAATACCATACGACAGCATTCCCTTCAGTTCGACACTTGTGACACTTCTGCCCTTTCACCATCAGATCTAGACCTGGACGTCTACACGGTGCGCTGTCCTGATCCAGACTCGGCTTATACATTGGCAGAGCGTATTTCTGAGCTCAGCGAGCATTGTTGGGCTGCAGGTTGGCTGCATCATTGCGAGCACGAGTTGTGGGTCTTCACAAAGATAAATCCATCCAATGCAATTTCTTGGGGTCGTGGCGAGGTTTCGTTGGACCAGATCGCAGATCTCCAACGATTAAGCAACGAATGTGGCGGTTGGATCTCGTTCACTTTGAAGAACGGACCGCGTTGGGTGCCTTTGAAGCACTGGCTGCAGACTCGCAGCCCGAGCTACCACTTCGTTCCAAATGCTTCTCTGAGGCATGTCTTGCAACATATTGACAACATGCAGGCCGAAATCCTTGCGCGCCGTGCGCAGATGAATTTGAATTTGAAGGAAATTATTGGTGAACGGATGAAATGCGAGTGGACTTACCATTCGAATGCCATCGAGGGCAACCCGCTCACTTTGGGCGACACGATTTTCTTTCTCAAAGAAGGGCTTACTGTAAGTGGGAAGCCGTTACAAGCCTTTCTCGAAACCAGGAACCACGCCGAGGCCATTGATTACCAAGCTGAAGTGCTAGGTCGCAAACTTCCTATCACATGCCAATTGCTTTGCGAGGTCAATGCGATATTGCTGAAAGGGATTGATACCATTCCCGCGGTGGACCAATTTGGCAATCGCTTTCAGAAAAAGAGTCACCCAGGGGCATTCAAAAGAGATCCGAACTATGTGATGCAGCGCGATGGTGCGAAGCACATCTATGTTGAACCGTATTTGGTGGAGGGGCAGTTGATCGATTTGTGCGAATGGGTGAGAAACTGTGCAGAATCGTCAGAACATCATGTAGTTGTCGTTGCTTCCCTTGCGCATTACAATTTCGTGCGCATCCATCCATTTCAGGATGGCAATGGTCGCGGAGCCCGCTTGTTGATGAATTTGTTGCTGATGCGGGAAGGCTTCTATCCTGCGGTGGTTACTGTCGAAGATCGATTCCAGTATTATTCTCATCTGCAATCCGCAGACCAAGGTAATTTGTCACCCTTTGTGGAGTTCATTGCCAGAGTCCTCGACAAGAATCAGGCTGCTTTTCTTGCAGAAATCGGCCGACGGATTTAGCAAAAGCATGATGATCGAAGCTCAACATTAGTGGCTTTATCGACAAAGCTTCGTGAGCGCATTTTGGTGCTGCAAACAGAGGACAGTTGAATGTTGAGAACTTTACACACACACTGTGCACGGAGCAAGTGTCGCTAAAGTCTCGCTCTCTCTCTCTCTCTCTCTCTCTCTCTTTCTTTCTACGTGTAAATATACACCCCCCTATAGAGTAAGGTACCGTTAACGACCCCCTGTCGTTTAATCACGACCGTCGGTTAGTCCGTGAGTAGGTAAGAGCGCTAGAAAAGACCAAAAATAATGTAATAACTTTTCGGAGTAGTTTTCGCTACTGAACGAATGTCGGCGTCGACGTCGACGTTGTGAAAGGCATGCCATGAGAAAACTACTCCGAATCGCCGTTATACCACACGCATTCAGCAAGAGATGAATGGTAGTAAGTGTTTTGTTATCGCATGCCATGAGTCTTGATACTAAACTCTTCGAATTTGTGTGCATTGTCAAAAAACATGGGTTGTGATTAAAGCGCCCGCACGGCCCTGCGGCGCTGACGAAGTTCGTCATCTTGACGCACCACTTCAGTCGCTGAACCCTGATCAGGCCTGATCAGGAACTTGGTTTCTCGGCCTTTCAGGGGTCTTTACAGGGGGCTTTAAGGGGCCGTTAATGACCCTCCGTTGTTTAATCCCATGCGACGGTTACCTTGTTTGGGAGAGACACGCCATCCTGTTTGGGAATCACGAATTGTCTTAACGACGCGTCTGAAAAAGTTGGCTCCGCCAAATCCAATTTTAAACAATTTTTTCGGCTGCCGCTGCCGTGGCGGGGGCCTCGGCGGTTCGGCGGCTTTCGGCGGCCGCTCAGTCGGCGGGGTTCTTGCCGCGGCGTCGTCGCAAAAATTGAAAATTTGAGTAGGGTGGGACGTCTGCACGGACGTTCGTTTCGAATTCGATTTGACGCCAGTTTCGAACTCAATTTGATGTCGGTTTCGAAGGCGATTTGACGTCGGTTTCGAACTCATTCAGACGTCTGTTTCGAACTGACTTTACAGAGACATCATTGTTCGGGTACAACACGGTGTCCTGTTTGCAAACGACGAATCGTTTTGTTTCGGATCGACGATTAGCGTTTACTTTAAATCTTTACGGAAGTGTGCAAGGCGCACTGGCGCTGACAAAGAAACAATTAAACATCGCCCAATAATCTTAGTTGCAAGTAGTGCCATGTGTTTTTTCCAAGGCACGCCACGTCATCCCAACTTTTCGAGCCACCGCAAAGCGACCTAATTTTTTTAGTAATTCAAATCAAACGGAAATCAAAATCACTTTCCAGCATAGAGGTGGCCAGAACCAAAGAGGTTGGCCCTTCTAGCTTTGGCATAACAAAATGACACAGCTAAGGACCAGGCAGCCCTATCTGCGATTTCCTCCGATTCCGCTCCGCTCCCGGCTATTGCCTGCGATTTCACGTGATTTTCTGTGATTTCCCGACAATCCTCCGCTTAAAATGATTTGGGGCGCTGTTATTTCTCACGATTTGGTGCTCCACTCCCGTCTATTGCCTACGATTTCCTGCGATTCCTCGCCCCAGTCCCGGCCATTGCCTGTGATTTCCTGCGATTTCCCGTTCCACTCCCAGCAATTGCTTGTGATTTCCATCGATTTCCTGCGATTTCCTGTTCCACTCCCGGCCATTGCTTGCGATTCCTTGGCATTGCCTGCGATTTCTCGCGATTTCCCATTCCACTCCCGGCTACGATTTCTTGCGATTCCTCCGATTTCCCGTTCCACTCCCGGCTATTGCCTGCGATACGATTTCCTACGATTTCTTGAGATTTCCCGTGATTTCCTGCGCCACTCCCTGCAAATCTTCGCGTATTGCTTACGATTTCCTACGATTTGCTGCGATCTCCTACGATTTCCTGCGCCACTCCCGCAATCTCCGCCTAGTGCCTGCGATCCCTGCGATTTCCTGCGATTTGCTGCGATTTCCTGCGATTTCCTGCGCAACTCCCCGCAATCCTTCGGGTTTCCTGCGCCAGTCCTCGCAACCCTCCAATTAGAATAGCTGGGATTGCTTGCGATTTCCTGTGATTTGCTGCGATTTCCTGCATTTCCTGCGCCACTCCCCGAAATTCTCCGCCTATTGTCTGCGATTTCCTGCGATATGCTGCGCCACTCCCTGCAATCTCCGCCTAGTGCTTGCGATTTCCTGCGATTTGCTTTGATTTTCTGCGATTTTCTGTGCCACTCCCCACAATTCTCCGGCGACCCTCCCCGGTATCCTCCGGCTACTGCCTCCGCTTTCCTGCGATTCCCTGCGCCACTCCCTGCAATTCTCCGGATTTCCTGCGCCAGTCCTCGCAATCCTTCGCTTAAAATGGCTTGGATTGCCTGCGATTTCCTGCGATTTGCTACGATTTCCTGCGATTTCCTGCGCCACTCCCCGCAATCCTCCAAATTTTCCGCGCCAGTCCTCGCAATTCTCCGCTTAAAATAACTTGAGACGTTCCGGGAACGTTCCAAAATGATTTCCAAAAGACTCCTAGAACATAAAAGGGGTGTTAAAACCTTCGAAGATCATCTCAGCTTAATAGAGGCTACTAGACGTCTTTACACTGAAGGGGAGTATAGCGAAGCAAAAGAGCTTGCAAATCGGGCCATTGAAACAATAGATGTTATTCCTGTCACAGATCCAAGAATAATGGGCTGTTTGTTGAAGGCATCAAATCTGTTAGAAGATATTAACGAGAGGTTGAGCACTTCTACCAAAACAACCCCTTGACTGAAGCAATCGCAATGAGAGCAGCAAACACTGGGCAGGCAGCGGCTTGCGGATACAATGGTTCAGGCCAGTGCGACATCCCACATTTAGTGGGCAGGCGGTGGCTTGTGGAATCAATGGTAACGGGCAGCGCGACATCGCACATGCAGATGCCTTGACACTTGTTTTAAACAGTTTACAAACTTGCCATTACCACTTGAGTAATGATGCCTTGGCACTTACCTCACGCTGTTTTGACGTGATGTATTTAAAACTAGAGAGCAACCATGACCCAAAAGCAAAAGTTTTTAGAACGCTGTGAATTGTTGCTGTTGCTGCTTTGAATCCCAAGCAGCATTAACGCCAGCAACAGTAACAGCAACAGCAACAGCAACAGCAACAGCAGCAGCAGCAGCAGCAACAACAACAACAGCAACAACAGCAACAAATTCATCAGTAATAACTTTATGCCATGAGCAAGCCGTTCGCAGCCTTTTGAAACTTTTTGCTTTTAGGTCACGGTTGTCTCTAGTTTTTGTTTTGTGTTGTGTTGTGTTGTGTTGTTTTGTTTTGTCTTGCTGTTGTTAACCACCGTGGGGGTTTCAACAACCTCTCCACCTCTTGAGCCATTGGGCGCCATTAGGTGTCTGTGGGCGTCTCCTGGGAACCATGTGGGTCTCTGGGAAACAGTACTCATTTCTCCTGCTTGTGGCTTCAGCTTTGATTTTGATTTGATTGATTTCGATTTAATTAAATTTTAGTTAGATTTATTTTGGTTTTGATTTGTTTTGCTTTGTTTTGCCACCATGGGGGTCTCAACGACCTCTCCACCTCAGATGGCGCAGGGCTCTGGGTTCTATTTATATCCATATCCATCTGTCCATGTATCTATCTATCTACATATATGTTTATGCTATCATTGTGGTGTAATTTGGGTTTTGTTTTGTTATGTTTGTTTTGTTTTGTTTTGTTTTGCAACGATGGGGGTCTCAACGACCTCTCCACCTCAGATGGCGCAGGGCTCTGGGTTCTATCTATATCCATATCCATCTGTCCATGTATCTATCTATCTATCTACATATATGTTTATGCTATCATTGTGGGGTAATAATAGTAATAATAGTAATAGTTATGGTCATGGCAGATAGAATAATTACACGGGTCGGTAAGGCCGGGGTCGCAAAAGTACCGTAAATTACACGGGTCGGTAAGGCCGGGGTCGCAAAAGTACCGTAAATTACACGGGTCGGTAAGGCCGGGGTCGCAAAAGTACCGTAAATTACACGGGTCGGTAAGGCCGGGGTCGCGAAAGTACCGTAAATTACACGGGTCGGTAAGGCCGGGGTCGCGAAAGTACTGTAAATTACACGGGTCGGTAAGGCAGGAGTCGCAAAAGCACCGAGTCGACCGACCGTTTTCCTTGACAATTGGCCGTTTTGGCTGAGTCGACCGACCGTCGACCGACCGTGTTCCCCGACAATTGGCCGTCGACCGACCGTCGACCGACCGTTTTCAACTTAAAAGGGTCGTCGACCGACCGTTTTCAAGCTAAAATAACCGATTTTTAGCGGTCTTCGACCGTAAATTACACGGGTCGGTAAGGCCGGGGTCGCAAAAGTAGAGTAAATTACAGGGGTCGGTAAGGCCGGGGTCGCAAAAGTACCGTATTTTACACGGGTCGGTAAGGTCGGGGTCGCAAAAGTACAGTGTTTTACACGGGTCGGTAAGGCCGGGGTCGCAAAAGTACCGTATTTTACACGGGTCGGTAAGGCCGGGGTCGCAAAAGTACCGTATTTTACACGGGTCGGTAAGGCCGGGGTCGCAAAAGCACCGAGTCGACCGACCGTGTTCCCCAACAATTGGCCGTTTTGGCCGAGTCGACCGACCGTCGACCGACCGTGTTCCCCGACAATTGGCCGTCGACCGACCGTCGACCGACCGTTTTCAACATAAAAGGGCCGTCGACCGACCGTTTTCAACCTAAAATAACCGCTTTTTAGCGGTCTTCGACCGTAAATTACACGGGTCGGTAAGGCCGGGGTCGCAAAAGTACCGTAAATTACACGGGTCGGTAAGGCCGGGGTCGCAAAAGTACCGTATTCTACACGGGTCGGTAAGGCCGGGGTCGCAAAAGTACCGTATTTTACACGGGTCGGTAAGGCCGGGGTCGCAAAAGTACCGTATTTTACATGGGTCGGTAAGGCCGGGGTCGCAAAAGTACCGTATTTTACACGGGTCGGTAAGGCCGGGGCTGCAAAAGCACCGAGTCGACCGACCGTGTTCCCTGACAATTGGCCGTTTTGGCCGAGTCGACCGACCGTCGACCGACCGTGTTCCCCGACAATTGGCCGTCGACCGACCGACGACCGACCGTTTTCAACCTAAAAGGGCCGTCGACCGACCGTTTTCAACGTAAAATAACAGTTTTTTAGCGGTCTTCGACCGTAAATTACACGGGTCGGTAAGGCCGGGGTCGCAAAAGTACCGTAAATTACACGGGTCGGTAAGGCCGGGGTCGCAAAAGTACCGCAAAAGTACCGTATTTTACACGGGTCGGTAAGGCCGGGGTCGCAAAAGTACCGTATTTTACACGGGTCGGTAAGGCCGGGGTCGCAAAAGTACCGTATTTTACACGGGTCGGTAAGGCCGGGGCGCAAAAGCACCGAGTCGACCGACCGTGTTCCCCGACAATTGGCCGTTTTGGCCGAGTCGACCGACCGTCGACCGACCGTGTTCCCCGACAATTGGCCGTCGACCGACCGTCGACCGACCGTTTTCAACCTAAAAGGGCCGTCGACCGACCGTTTTCAACTTAAAACAACAGTTTTTTAGGGGTCTTCGACCGTAAATTACACGGGTCGGTAAGGCCGGGGTCGCAAAAGTACCGTAAATTACACGGGTCGGTAAGGCCGGGGTCGCAAAAGTACAGTATTTTACACGGGTCGGTAAGGCCGGGGTCGCCAAAGTACCGTATTTTACACGGGTCGGTAAGGCCGGGGTCGCAAAAGTACCGTATTTTACACGGGTCGGTAAGGCCGGGGTCGCAAAAGTACCGTATTTTACACGGGTCGGTAAGGCCGGGGTCGCAAAAACACCGAGTCGACCGACCGTGTTCCCCGACAATTGGCCGTTTTGGCCGAGTCGACCGACCGTCGACCGACCGTGTTCCCCGACAATTGGCCGTCGACCGACCGTCGACCGAGCGTTTTCAACTTAAAAGGGCCGTCGACCGACCGTTTTCAACTTAAAATAACTGTTTTTTAGCGGTCTTCGACCGTAAATTACACGGGTCGGTAAGGCCGGGGTCGCAAAAGTACCGTAAATTACACGGGTCGGTAAGGCCGGGGTCGCAAAAGTACCGTATTTTACACGGGTCGGTAAGGCCGGGGTCGCAAAAGTACCGTATTTTACACGGGTCGGTAAGGCCGGGGTCGCAAAAGTACCGTATTTTACACGGGTCGGTAAGGCCGCGGTCGCAAAAGTACCGTATTTTACACGGGTCGGTAAGGCCGGGGTCGCAAAAGCACCGAGTCGACCGACCGTGTTCCCCGACAATTCGCCGTTTTGGCCGAGTCGACCGACCGTCGACCGACCGTGTTCCCCGACAATTGGCCGTCGACCGACCGTCGACCGACCGTTTTCAACCTAAAATTGGCTCCGCAGCGCCCGTTTTCAATTTAAAATAACCGCTTTTTAACGGTCTTCGACCGTAAATTACACGGGTCGGTAAGGCCGGGGTCGCAAAAGTAGCGTAAATTACACGGGTCGGTAAGGCCGGGGCCGCAAAACTCCAAAAAAACCGGGCCTGAAAAAGATGCACTTTTATTATGTGAGTTATGTTGTAAATTTGCTACTTTTTGGTCCGGACTGGATAGGGACACACGGCTGGGTCCAAAGCAACCCCCAAAAGTTGTGAAATTAGACAACCACGTATTTTACACGGGTCGGTAAGTCCCGGCCTTAGACACCGAAAATTACACGGGTCGGTAACGCCGGGGTCGCAAAAGTACCGTAAATTACACGGGTCGGTAAGGCCGGGGTCGCGAAAGTACCGTAAATTACACGGGTCGGTAAGGCAGGAGTCGCAAAAGCACCGAGTCGACCGACCGTTTTCCCCGACAATTGGCCGTTTTGGCCGAGTCGACCGACCGTCGACCGACCGTGTTCCCCGACAATTGGCCGTCGACCGACCGTCGACCGACCGTTTTCAACCTAAAAGGGCCGTCGACCGACCGTTTTCAACCTAAAATAACCGCTTTTTAGCGGTCTTCGACCGTAAATTACACGGGTCGGTAAGGCCGGGGTCGCAAAAGTACAGTAAATTACACGGGTCGGTAATGCCGGGGTCGCAAAAGTACCGTATTTTACACGGGTCGGTAAGGCCGGGGTCGCCAAAGTACCGTATTTTACACGGGTCGGTAAGGCCGGGGTCGCAAAAGTACCGTATTTTACACGGGTCGGTAAGGCCGGGGTCGCAAAAGTACCGTATTTTACCGGGTCTGCAAAAGCACCGAGTCGACCGACCGTGTTCCCCGACAATTGGCCGTTTAGGCCGAGTCGACCGACCGTCGACCGACCGTGTTCCCCGACAATTGGCCGTCGACCGACCGTCGACCGACCGTTTTCAACCTAAAAGGGCCGTCGACCGACCGTTTTCAACTTAAAATAACGTCTTTTTAGCGGTCTTCGACCGTAAATTACACGGGTCGGTAAGGCCGGGGTCGCAAAAGTACCGTAAATTACACGGGTCGGTAAGGCCGGGGTCGCAAAAGTACCGTATTTTACACGGGTCGGTAAGGCCGGGGTCGCAAAAGTACCGTATTTTACACGGGTCGGTAAGGCCGGGGTCGCAAAAGTACCGTATTTTACACGGGTCGGTAAGGCCGGGGTCGCAAAAGCACCGAGTCGACCGACCGTGTTCCCCGACAATTGGCCGTTTTGGCCGAGTCGACCGACCGTCGACCGACCGTGTTCCCCGACAATTGGCCGTCGACCGACCGTCGACCGACCGTTTTCAACCTAAAAGGGCCGTCGACCGACGTTTTCAATTTAAAATAACCGCTTTTTAGCGGTCTTCGACCTAAAATTACACGGGTCGGTAAGGCCGGGGTCGCAAAAGTACCGTAAATTACACGGGTCGGTAAGGCCGGGGTCGCAAAAGTACCGTATTTTACACGGGTCGGTAAGGCCGGGGTCGCAAAAGTACCGTATTTTACACGGGTCGGTAAGGCCGGTGTCGCAAAAGTATCGTATTTTACACGGGTCGGTAAGGCCGGGGTCGCAAAAGTACCGTATTTTACACGGGTCGGTAAGGCCGGGGTCGCAAAAGCACCGAGTCGACCGACCGTGTTCCCCGACAATTGGCCGTTTTGGCCGAGTCGACCGACCGTCGACCGACCGTGTTCCCCGACAATTGGCCGCCAATTGGCTCCGCAGCGCCCGTTTTCAACCTGAAATTGGCTCCGCAGCGCCCGTTTTCAACCTAAAATTGGCTCCGCAGCGCCCGTTTTCAACCTAAAATTGGTTCCGCAGCGCCCGTTTTCAATTTAAAATTGGCTCCGCAGCGCCCGTTTTCAACTTAAAATTGGCTCCGCAGCGCCCGTTTTCAACCTAAAATAATTGCTTTTTAGCGGTCTTCGAGGGGAATAAAATCCGGGCCGCCGGCGGGCCTGTTTGTGGCGCCGGGGGGGGTGACAAGGAAACCAAGAAGAAATTTAAAGAGAAGCTGTGGTTGGAGAGGTGGTGGGAGAGGAAACAACGACCCAACGCAGAGGCTTTTGGGCAAAAGGCGGAGTAAAAAACCTTGTCTCGTTTTCTTGGTCTTTTAGGCTGCCTCATTACGCTTCGGAATACCCAGCCCCAAAGTGTTTCCTAAATGATAGCTATCCAAATTCTCCCGTGCGCAGCCGGGCCATGGCAGGCAGTGACTTGCGGGTGCAATAGGTTTGGAAAGTGTGACATTCCAGCGCCTGGTGATCTAAATTATGTTCCTGATGCCTATGTGATAGGATCTGCTGGAGGCATATGGGTGCTTCAGCTATCTTGCAGCGAGGATGGAGATAGACATGTGCGCTTGACTTGTGTTTCCGTGTCTGGCGGAATTGTGTGCACAGTGACGCTTCATGCGAAAGATATGATCGGTTCAGTACCAATCAGGATTGCTGAAGAAAGCGCAGTCCGACCGCAGTATCTCAGGCTTGTATTGCCAAATGGGGATCTGTTGTCCTCGATGCCTCATTCAACCCTTGTGAACGAATTACTCAATATGCTCTCACAATCAGACTTGCAAAAAAGCTGTACAGACCTAAGTGGAACAAGAGGGGGAACCAAGCAAACCACCTTAACCCCAATTCCCGGGATCCGTAGCCATTTTGGCTGAAGCATGTTTTGCTCAAGTCATCTTGGCACACACTTTAGGGATTAACGCCGTTGAGTTCACGAAGATCTGCAGCGCCCTTGTTATGTTACGTTGTCATCGGTTCGTGTTACCTGCTTTTGCTTCGTCGCTGTTGTGTAAACACATGCTTGCGAAACATCAACGAAATCATGTGTGTTGCGACGAGGGCAGCATTAGGAGCTGTATGACCAGTGTGTCGTCTCAATGGTGTCTCCTGAAACTGGATAGCGGTGTTCACTATGCATTAGCTAGACCTGGGGCATCAAAATGGATCTTTGTTCCGGGAAATCTATTCACAAATGGAGCTGCCAACGCTGTCTTGTCGCTTTATGATTTGCATGAAAATTGCAAGCATGCCTGCGGCGAGTTGCCGCGAGCTTTCACTTCAGATGCAGCTGGCAAAACGCGGTATATCATATATGCTACTTTTTATCACACAGTATCCCACTTGCAATCTCCATCGGCGATCGTGGGCAATTTCGCGTTACATGATCGTTGCCAGGGCGCCACACATTACTTAGCATTGTCCGACGACAGCTTCTACTTACTGTTTCATGATGCTGATGACACATGGCGCAGGGCAAAGACTTCATCACTCACCACCGCGACAGATTGGGAAGAGTTCAAGGTCCCGAGGCAGCTGCAATCAAACGATGCGATGATGTTATTCAGCTCAAGTGAGATCGGTGCGATTAGCCGCGGCACCGCCATGCTATACAGATGTGAATGCAATTTGCAGAACCCTAGCCTTTTGATGCAATCGAACATGTGTCAAAAAATGTTGACGCACATGGCAAACATTGCAGTTGCACCATCCTTGCAGGTGGGTTCGCACTCAAACATCCAGGTGTCCCTGGAAATGCAATATGCGCTTGCAGCTCTGAAGAAACTTCGTGCAGCAGATCCTGACATGTTCAGCAACGCCCTCGGAGTGGAGTCTGCTGCGGATGACTCACAGGCTATGTTGGACCTCCTGACAAGGTGCGGGCCGGACTTGCTCCATAGTGAGACTGTTGACAGGGAGCTTGCGAATATTATTGGATTAGCAGAAGTGAAGGACCAGTTACGCAGTTTCCGAAAGAGCTTGCAAGTTGACATGCGACGGCGTGAGGTTGGATGTCAGAACTCGCATGTCAACCAATATCATATGGTTTTTACGGGGAACCCTGGAGTTGGCAAGACTACTGTGGCAAAGTTGATTGGCAAAATTCTGCGCGAAACTGGGGCTGTAGAGTCAGACAAATTCACGGAGGTTCAACGAGAGGATTTAGTTGCACAGTATATCGGTCAAACTGCTCCCAAAACACGTCGAATCATTAATCAAGCAAAGGGTGGTGTTTTGTTTCTCGATGAAGCTTACCGCTTGGCATCAGCAGGAACTGATTCTACGGACTTCGGGCCTGAAGCGGTGGACGAAATTATGAAGGACCTCACATCTGGCGACCCAGTTGTCATCATCGCTGGTTATAAGAATGACATGGAGCGTTTTCTTGACGCCAACCCTGGTCTGCGGCGGCGGTTTCAACATAACTTTCATTTTGCAGATTACACGTCCTCTGAAATTGCAAATATTTTCTTCAGCATGGTACATAGTAAAGATTTCTTTGTTTCGATTGACGTGGCCGTTGACTTTGTCACTGATCTCATCGATGACAATACGTCGCCACATTGGCGCTCCGCAAGAAATGGAGGTGTGGCTGAGCAATTGTTTGCAAGAGCCAAGGAAAGATTGGATGCTCGCGTGCACGGGCAGCGCCTTCAAATAGGGAAGGCAGAGTTGCAGACGTTTTCTGCCGATGACCTCCGAGGCGCAGCGCAAAGTCTATGTGGAAAAAGATAAGAATCCCAGGTGCGGAGGATGCACGCATTGCTGTATCTGATATCCTGGGCGATCGTTGCATGGTCGCCTGCCAGAATTCGGTGTTTGCATGATGCGTGCCATCAAGTTGATGAACAGAGTCTTGAAACAAATCCCGAGTTGCCTCATCATCAATGCGTGCGCATGCTGTTCCTCGAGCAGGCTTGTCTTTGGGATTCTGGCTTACATATGCAGTTTCCTTGTTAGTTTTTCATTTAAGGGAATCTGGGATTGATTTTGGAGCTGTTCACGCATCAAATCTTTAACATGGGTGTGTGCGCGTGTTCAGAATACGTTAGATGATCACTTGTTGTTTTTGTTTTAGTATACGTACCCGCACGATAATCCAAACGCATGCTAGGGCTTGCCCCACCCATTATCCAAGGCAGCTAACGTCATACGGGTCGTTTTATAAACAGTCCGAGCCTTCAGTATATAGCGAGGTGGTAATATTTGTTCACCACGTAAGCTTTTTAACGTGGATGTCTTCCCCGCCTGCGCCGCCGGGGTTGGGGTTGGGGTGGGGATGGGTGGGGTGGGGTGGGCGTTGGGGTGGGGGTTGGGGTGGAGATGGGTGATGCTACTTTGTTAGATGTTGCGATGATGCTGCTATGATTCTGTAGTGAGTTGGATTGATTTCTGCGTGATTTGTTTGAAGATTTAGGGATGAATCCTCGACGGAGTCTCCAATTCTTTAGGATTCTCATGGTGGCTCAAAGAGGGGAATGCAAAGAAATACGCAAAACGCGAGGGGCCACATGTGCTACCAAGGTCCCGGCGGCGAGGCAGTCCTTTTGAATTTCATTCGGGCTTTCACTTAAAAGCTATGCTTGTTTTTGATGTTGGCGGGCCAAACAAAGATATTTGGAAAACATAGCATTCCATCACGTGTTTGTGTGTTTGCCTTTGAAAGTGATAAGGATTCTCATCGCATGTTTTTCATTGATTGAGATGAACAGCGTAATGGCTTTGTATTAGTTGCATGGCTTTCTTAAAACGACCAGGCTTCTCATCAAAAGTGATGCTTTTCTTGAGATTTCCATGGGGCACGTTATGGTTGTTCATTAGTTGTGTGTGTTTCTTGCAAGCAATGAGGATGTTCATCAAACGCGTTCGTTTTTTTAAATATTGATGAACAGACGTAATGTTTTTAATTGGTTTTGTGTTTCCCTACACAGCGAGAAGGATTATCATCAAGCGTGCTGTTTTTGTTGGTGAGCATGTAATGCTTTTTACTAGCTGGTGCTTTCGTCCAAACGACAAGGATTCTCACCGAATGCTCCTGTTTGTATTCCTGACGGGCTCACGCGAATCGAACGAAGAACGAATCAAGTATTCCTTGTAGTAATCCTCTTTAGTGCTCCTATTGGTATTCCGAACGGGCTCACCTGAACCGAACAATGATATGAATCAAGAATTCCTCCTAGTGTTCCTTTCAGTGTTCCTATTAGTATTGCGAGCGGTCTCACCCGAACCGAACAATGAATCGAATCAAGTATTTCTGCTAGTGTTCCTTTTAGTATTCCGAACGGGCTCACCCGAACCGAACAACGAATCGATTCAAGTATTCTTTCTAGTGTTTTTTTGTGTTCCTATTCGTGTTCCGAACGGGCTCGCCCGATCCGAGCAACGAATCGAATCACGTATTCCTTTTAGTGTTCCTTTTAAGCTCCGAACGGGCCCAGCTGAACCGAACAATGAATTGAATCATGGAGTCCCAACCCACTCTGTTAGGGTTTTTGGTTGGGATAAACTTCATTTCTTCTGTTCAACGACCTCCACGTCAAAAAGTTTGCGTGGTGAAGGACGTGTCCCAACAGTGTCACAAGGGTACATAAAAACGTCCCATATCTGGTCCATAAGTGCCAGTTGAGAGAAAAGGGAGGGAAATACTGGACAAACTCCTCAACCAACTGGTCCAAAACCAGCTCTACGCACCCCAAATCAATCACGAGCCGAGCCAGCGAAGACGTATTTAAGTACAGGCAAGTTTGGTGCAATTAGATAGTGTCTCGTGTTTGGTTTTGCGGATCAGAGTGTCAAGGATATTTAGCGAAGCTGGCTACATGCCGCTGTCTGCGTCGGTTTGGATTGGCAATGCCCAGGCCACTGGCTGCGCGGGCAAACGTCGAAGCCGCTCCGCGGCACGACGAGCGCTGGGCCAGCTCATTCCCGCTCGGGCTGGCCATGTGCAGGGGGGACCATGAGCGTGCACGGCTCTTCCTCCAAGCAGGCGCGACCAACCAAAACTAGGCGCTAGCTAGAAGGGGCAGCCGACGATGCTAAGGAGAATGTAGTGAACACCTACTGTGTTGGCCACCAGCAAAGCGATGAGCAACAACGCGGAATCGACGCCAAGTGGAATATTCCGGGGAGCCTGGGCAAGCCCAAGGAAAAAGGGAGCCCGGGGGCACCATGGGAAGCCGGGGGAGCCCGGGCATGCTCCGGGGAAAGGGAACCCGGGGAGCTCAGCCAAGCCTTGGAAAGCCCAAGGCTACTTCAAGCTTTGGAAAATAATTCTTCAACCGGAGTAGGGACCCCATGGATATGAAAAAAAGCTGGGGGCACAAGCGCGCCCGTGGAGATTGGGGGAAACGGAGCTCGAAGAAATCCGGGAGGGCGGGGATGCCCGGTGGGGGCCCAGGGGGGAAGGGCGGATCACAAGAAGATCCAAGGGGAACTTGGCCAACTCGACTCGGCCCCGAGATCCAAGCCCAACCCGGCCAGCCCAGCCCAGCACAGGCCAGCGAGCCGGCCTTGCCAACCCAGCCCACCCCAGCTCGCCGAGCTCAGCCAGCCCAGCCAATCCGGCCAACCCAGCTCGGCCAGCTCGGCTCGGGCCAGCCATGCCGCCCAGCCCGGCCAGCCCACGCCAGCGCAGCCAGCCCGGCCAGTTCGGCCAAGCCCAACCAGCGTGGCCAGCACAGCCCAGCTCAGCCAGCTGGGCCAACCCAGACAGCCAGTCCGGACAATTCTGCCAGCTCGCTTCGGATCGGCGAACACCCTCACCCTGCCCTAGGCAGCTCGGCCAGCTCGGCTTGGGCGGCTCAGCGCGTAAGCTGGCGGTCCATCATTTTTTTGAAGAAGAATCCTCCAGCAGTCTGCTTTTGCCAATTCGGACATCCCTGAGCAGCCTTGAACATCACGCAGCATCCCGGGGCATCGTTGGGCATACTTGGCCTCCGTGTGGCATGCCTATCCTTGCCCCCCTGGTACGCCCCGGAAGCAAGTCGGGGACTGGATGATCAGTTGGGATTGCCACTAAGAGTATTCAGGCTGTGACGTCTGGCTTTCGGATAGCTCAGCACACCCCCAACCCGAGCTTGTCAGCAATTTCTCGACCCGAGCTTCCTGGTTGCCCCCCACCCTCCCTCCCCTCGGCTTCGAGAGGTGCCCGAATGGGTTGCAGCAGTGGCGTTGCCTGGCTGCCACCATGGCTGGCTCACGAACAACGAACACGCCGTCCGTGTCCAACCTCATCACGGTGCTGCCAAGCTTGAACGGGCTTTGGGTCGGAGGCTCCAGCCAGAGGGTTGGGATTGCAATGATTGGGGTGGCGATGAATGGGCCGCTGCGCCGCAGGCCCCGACTTCTGCTTGAGCATTTCGGCGCCTTTGGTATGCGCAGTTGCCTGAGCACCATTTCTCACAAGTCTTTCATACGGACGACCGCCAAAACAAAATCGGACGCCTGCTCTGCCGATTGTGGTGATGCCCATCGCGGCACGCTCTCAACGTGATGACCCTTGCTGGCTGCCGTCGCTCATTGCCCATCCCACGGCACAGGTGGTTCAAGACCGCAAGACCATCCGACTCCGTGCTGCAGGCTTACATGAGCGTCCACATGTCAACTGGTCCCCAGTGGGGGGGCGTCAGTGCCGCAATTTGGCTACCCCGCCCCTGCGCTGAGAGAGGCAACCTCCACTACATGCGCGCCTGCTGTGGAAGCGGCCCCTCCCACATATCTACGCCAGCCTGGAGCCACCACGTCGCCACAAGCACCCCCGCCACGCAATTGCCACGACACTTCGCCAGAGCTCGCGCTGCAGATGCACTTTTGCGGGTTGGAATGCGCAGCGATTCGGCCGGTGCGTCCAAGCCAGGGATCGCATGACGCCCAAGCGGCGATGTGGCGAAATTGCACCATGCCACCCACGCCTCCGGGCCACGTCGCGCGCTCCAGGCTCGGCCTCCACATCTAATGATTTCGGTCCATCAGACGCGACCGACCGCGCGTGCAGAGAGCGAGCGCAGGAGGTTGTCTCATTTGCAGCACTGTGCGACACCCTCGGCGATGCCGCGCGGTGCCTCGGCAACGATGCACTGACACCAAATGGCGCTGTACCGACTGAGCGATACAGAGCGATACCTCTGCGGTGACACCAAGCGATACCGAGTGGTGCCTCGAGACCCAGCAATGCCTCCGCGAGCAGACCAAGCGCTACCGATACAGTAATACCAGGCGGTGCCGCCGGTGAAGACAGAGGCGCCCACTATGATACCGAGTGATACCGCCAGAGCGAAGCCGAGCGAATACCAAACGATACCGAATGACACCTCCGCGGTGATATCAGGCGCTGCCGAGCGATTCTGGATGATACCGCCGCAGCGATACCAGTTGACACATCCGCAGTGATGTCGAGATGCTGAGACGCGTGCGCAGTGATCGCTAGGTCGTACCACCGACAGTGATACCGAGGGATACCCCCTGCAGTGATTCCGAATGATACCTCCGCAGTGATAGCGATTCATACCGAATGATACGACCACTGCGATATACCGAGCGCTCCTTCCGCAGCGAAACGAAGGATTCATCCATAGCGACAAAGGATGCCGAGCGAAACCTCTGCGGTGAATGCCGGCCGATACCACCTTACATACCAAGCGGTGCCGCAAGGTCATGATACCGGCGATGACATCCAGCGATGCCAGTGATGCGGGGTGGCGCTGGCGAGGAGACGCCGGGCGGCGCTTTCGCGGCGATGCCGAGCGATACAACACGATGTCGACTCCCACCTCTTCTTGATGCCCTTTGATACCACTGCAGTGTTACCCAGCGACACCTCCACGGCACTGCTAAGCGATTTCTCCACACCGTCGCATCCGGCACCCGCCCCTCTCCACTACAATGGGCATAGAGACAGCGTACGGACCAGGGTCATGCGTGGCTCGCGGGCGCCATCCACCAACAACGGCGTCGATCGCAGGCGCGTCACCTGGGCGCACGCACTGCCTGGATGATCCCACCGTTGGGCAGAGAATGCTGTCAAGATGTGGTGCCCCCCTTCGTGGAGTTTCGACGCATCCTTCGTGGTGGGTGGCATCCCTCGTCTCACTGGCACGTCCCTTTTGGCTCTCCTTGCATCGTGCGATAGTCGTGGTTATCCCTCGCGTTACCCCTGCGGTGTCCCATGTGGTAACCTTAATCCGACTGCAACTCCCATTATGGCAGCCCTTGTGGCTCCTTGGTGGTTTCCATAGTAGCGGCCCATGTGACAACCCTCGTGGCACCCGCGCGGTATCCTTTGTGTTCCTTGTGGTCTCGCTCGCGCGGATGCCAACTGGGTTGGGTTGCAAGTTAGGGACATACCCAACATTTGGATGGCTGGGCTGGCTGGGCTGGCTGGCTGGGATGGCTGGGTGCTCGTAATATTGAATCTATTGGGTTGGACTGCGAGCTAGGGGCATACCCAACATTTGGATAGCTGGGCTGGCTGGCTGCGCTGGCTGAGCTGGAAGGCTGGGTTGGCTGTGCGCTTACAATGTATAACCCATTAGGTTGGACTGCAAGCTGGGAGCGTACCCAGCATTTGGATGGCTGGGCTGGCTGGACTGGTTGCGCTGGCTGGCTGGGCTGGCTGGCCTGGAAGGCTGGGATGGCTGGGCGCTTATAATATATAACCTAGTTCGTTGGACTGCAAGCCAGGGACGCACCCAACATTTCGATGGCTGCGCTGGCTGGGCTGGCTGGGCTGGTTGGGCTGGAAGGCTGGGATGGCTGGGATGGCTGGGCGCTCATAATATATAACCGATTGGGTTGGCCTGCAAGCTCGGGGCATACCCAAAATTTGCATGGCTGGGCTGGCTGGGCTGGCTGGGCTGGCTGGGCTGGCTGGCTGGGCTGGAAGGCTGGAATGGCTGGGCGCTTATAATATATAACCTATTGGGTTGGACTGCAAGCTAGGGGCGTACCCAACATTTGGATGGCTGTGCTGGCTGAGCTGGTTGGCTGCGCTGGCCGGGCGCTTAAAACATATAACTTACTGGGTTGTACTGCAAGCTAGGAGCGCACCCAACATTTGGATGGCCGAGCTGGAAGGCTGGGATGGCTGGGCGCTTATAATATATAATTTATTGGGTTGGACTGCAAGCTAGGGGCGTACCCAACATTTGGATGGCTGGGCTGGCCGGCTGGGCAGGAAGGCTGGGATGGTTGGGCGCTTATAACATATAACCTATTGGGATGGACTGCAAGCTAAAGGCGCACCCAACATTTGGATGAATGGGCTGGCTGGCTGGCTGGGTTGGCTGGGCGCTTATAGTACATAACCTATGGGGTTGGACTGCAAGAGTTGGATGGCTCGGCTGGGTGGGCTGGCTGGGCTGGCTGGGCTGAAAGGTTGGGATGTCTGGCGCTTACAATATATAACCTATTTCGCTGGACTGGAAGCTACAGACGTACCCAACATGTGGATGGCTGGGCTGGCTGGGTTGGCTGGCTGGGCTGGCCGGGCTGAAAGGATGGGATGGCTGGGCACTTATAATATATAACCTAGTGGGTTGCACTGCAAGCTAGGGGCGTACCCAACATTTGGATGGTTGGGCTGGCTGGCTGTGCTGGCTGAGCTGGAAGGCTGGGATGGCTGGGTGCTTTTGATATATAACCTAGTGGGTTGGACTGCAAGCTGGGGGCGTACCCAATATTTGGATGGCTAGGCTGGTTTGGCTGGCTGGGCTGGCTGGGCTGGAAACTTGGGATGGCTGGGCGCTTATAATATATAACCTATTGGGTTGGACTGCAAGCTAGGGGTGTACCCAACATTTGGATGGCTGGGCTGGCTGGGCTGGCCGGCTGGACTTGCTGGGCTGGAAGGCTGGAGGGCTGGGATCGCTGGGCGCATATTACAACATGTAACCTATTGGGTTGGACTGCAGGCTAGGGGCGCACCCAACATTTGGATGGCTGGGCTGGCTGAGCTGGAAGGCTGGGATGGCTGGGTGCTCGTAATATTGAACCTATTGGGTTGGATTGCAAGCTAGGGGCGTACCCAACATTTGGATGGCTGGGCTGGCTGGGCTGGCTGGGCCCGTTGGGCTGGCTGGGCTGGAAGGCTGGGATGGTTGGGCGCTTATAATGTATAACCTATTGGGTTGGACGGCAAGCTAGGGGCGTACCCAACATTTGGATGGCTGCGCTGGCTGGGCTAGCTGGCTGGGCTTGCTGGGCTGGAAGGCTGCGAAGGCTGGGCACTTGTGATATATAATCTATTATGTTCGGCTGCGCGCTAGGGACGTATCCAACATTTGGATGCCTGGGCTGCCTGGGCTGGCTGGGCGCTTATAGTGTATAACTTAGTGGGTTGGATTGCAAGCTAGGGGCGTACCCAATATTTGGATGGCTGGACTGGCTGGGCTGGCTGACTGGGCCGGCTGGACTGGCTGGGCTGGAAGGTTGGGCGCGAATGATATATAACCTAGTGGATTGGATTGCAAGCTAAGGGCGTGCCCAACATTTGGATGGCTGGGCTGGCTGAGCTGGTTGGCTGGGCTGGCTGAGCTGGGAGGCTGGGATGGCTGGGCGCTTATAATATATAACGTACTGGGTTGGACTGCAAGCTAGGGGCGTACCCAACAATTGGATGGCTGGGCTGGTTGGGCCGGCTGGGCTGGAAGGCTGGGATCGCTGCGCGCTTAATATATAATCTATTGGGTTGGATTGGAAGCTAGGGTCGTGCCCAACATTTGGACGGCAGGGTTGGTTGGGCTGGCTGGCTGGCTTGGTTGGGCCGGAGGGCTGGGATGGCTGGGCGCATATTATATATATATATAACTTATTGGGTTGGCCTGCAAGCGAGGGATGGCTGGGCTGGGAGGCTGCCCAATATTTGGATGGCTGGGCTGGGAGGCTGGGATGGCTGCGGGCGTACCCAATATTTGGCGCCGGGAGCTCCCGCGGGCTGCCAGGAGCTGCCGCGGACTGCTCAGAGCCGGGCAAGCTCGCGCAACCTACCCAGTTGGACTGCGAGCTAGGGGCGTACCTAATATTTGGCGCTCCGAACTACCGCAGACTGCCGGGAGCTGCCGCGGATTGCCCGGAGCCGCGCAAGCGCGCACAACCTACCCAGTTGGACTGCAAGCTAGGGGCGTACGCAACATTGGGCGCCCAATCTCGGTCCGAATCTCGGCTCTCCCGATCTCGGCTCTCCCAATCTGTAATCTGGGTCCCAATCTCGGCTCTCCCAATCTTCGATTTGGGTCTCCATCAGGTCCCAATCTTTCAATTGCAAGCGCCAGGCCATGCAAGCGAAATTATGCTGCTATTTCATTTTGAAGCAACGGGCTGCTCAAGCTAATTTCCTGTGCCCCAGCAAATCGTCCCCAGCAACGCTCAAGTCGGCAGAGACAGAAGCCAGTGACCGCATGAGGAAGGCGCTTGAAGAGGCGTCCGTACAACGACACCAACCGCAAGCTCCTGAAGGATGTTCGCGCCAAGCTACAGCAGGAGGTGGCTATGCAGGGCGGAAACGCCTGTCGGACACTTCCTACAAGGCCGAGGCACGGGCAAAGCAGCGCATCAAAACCGCGAGGAAGGAGGGCGTGCGGGAGATCGTGGCTGCCACGGAAATTGCTTTCCGCTGCTTCTGCGCATTCCGTCCTGGGTGCTGCGTCTGCACGTTCCAACCCGTACGCCTGCCCTGTGCCCGCAGAGGCGGAAGAGCGAGAGGCAGAGACGGCGAGGAGGAGACGCAGCTGGGAGAACATGAGTTGCGAGAGATGGAGCTGGCCAGGCAGTTGCACGAGGAGCATGCGCTGGTTATCGAACAGTGAGGCAGAAAACAAGGAGCGACAGGCGCGCCGTGCAGCCGAAAGCCTGGCCCTGCTGAAGAACTTGCCCGCGCCGCCGGATCAGATGCTTCAATGGTTCACGTACCTCTTGGCCGGGTGGGTTCACGTCTGGTTCTTGGACAACAAGACCTTCTTGCAGGAGGTGGGGTCACGGGAAATGGCTTTCCTCAAGCATAAGAACCAGAAGCTGCAGCGCCAGCGCGGTGCAAGGACTGTCGCCACGCAGGGTATGGCAAGAGGTGGCGCATCAAAGATTTCCCGTCTTGCCTGGCCCATGAAGTGGAGATCACCGAGCAAGACAAGGTCCACATCCAGGCCGAGCTGCGGCGTTTGTGGGCGGGAGAGGCTGCCATGTGAGCCATGGGGCGAGAGGAGCTGCAAGATCAGAGTGAAGGGAAGCGGAATGAGTTCCTGGTCAGGGAGGTGGAGGAGTACCGCATGAGGGAATACGCGGCTGGGCCATAGAGGATGCTCTTGCCAATCCGTGGCCTAAGTGCAAGGTCTGCCGGGATTGCGGGGAACACGGCTGGGTGCTTGGCGGGCTCTGCCCCACCCGCCGGTGGCCGAGCAACGTTGAGACAGGAACATGGGCGTGACAACAAAAGGAGACGCGCAACATTAGGGCAATCCAAGTTCATCCCAGCTCAAGGTCCCAATCTTGGGTCCTAATGTTGGGTCCCAGTCTTGGGTAAAAACCTTGGCACAGGTCATTTGCAACGCAGTTATTGGTTTACGCCCTTTCAGCTTTCAGAGCCCCAGGCCAGGGACTGAAATCATTGCGTCAATCTGCATGGGGAGGGCTTCGGCGCTCCTAGCCGTCCCAGGCCAATGACTTTTCTTGCTTGACGGGCCGAAGGAAGCCCAGGGCGCCCGCGGATTTGGAGCGCGCGTGCGCAAGTTAACAAATTATGGATTCCAGCTCGCACCAAGCTTCGAGCCTGGAGCTACGCACGATGAGGCCTGCAGGCGCGGGCGGTGCGGAACGGAAAGGTCCTCGGCGCCTCGGGAACTTGCCTCACCAGCGCCGCCAGGCGACCCAGGTGGCTCCTTTCACCGAGCAAACCGGGTGACGCACTTGCTTCACCCGTGTCCCAGACAATCCTGGGCGAGATCGGCACGGTTGTACGAGAAAGGGGCGTGGCGCTCTCTGCTGCGCGCTTCTTCCTCTGCTGTGACGCTTCGCCGCTTGGGAGCCTAGGTGCCAGCATTTGAATTTGGGTTTGGATGTACCGACCAAGTGCTACGCATTTCCACAAGCGCCGCACGCTCCAGGCTGCAGCAGTGCATTTGAACCATGAGCTCCGGCATGGTACTAGAGCGGTTGCGGCCAGGGCGGACCCGTGTGGAATTTTCACCAAGCCCCGACGCCTATCCAGACATTTTCCACCCGCGCCTAGAGTTGTTTTCCCGAAGGCTGGCGGCCCGACCGTGTGAGATTTTCACCAAGCCGTGGCACCAATTCGGATATTTTCCGTCCAATCCTAGAGTCGTTGGTTTTTCCTCGAGACAGGTGGCCACCGTGTCGGATTTTCACCAAGCCCTGGCGCCAAGCTGGGCATTTTTTGCACATTCCCTGAGCAGTTGACCTTTCCGCGGGCCTACGCGTGTAGTATTTTCACAGACGGCGTGTGGTATTTTGGCACCTCGGAGAAATTGGCACCCAAGATCAATAGCGAAGCCCTGAGTCCTGCGCTAAGGAAATCTCCGCAGCGCCGATTGTGTGTCGGTCAGTGCTTGGTCCAGCAAGACACTCCCTGGCCAGGGTCCATAAGTTGCCTGGCAATTTCGGTCCATCTGCAGCGGTGGTGCAGGCGATATCTAGTTCGTGGAGATGGAGTTCTCCAGGGGCGCATCACATCCTCGGGCGGTGCGACTGGTGTCAATTTGTTGATTGCTCCTGCAGCATATCCAAGATTTCCGCCCGCGGAGGAACCGCAGCGTAGCGGGAAACATCTGGTCCAACCGCGGCGCAGTGTCGAAATTATCGCGCAGCGGAAGCAATATTTGCCGCCCCGTGGAAGTTTATTTCCATGACCGTGCGGCGCGGTCAGAAGATACAGCCAAGGCCGCGGCGCGGCAGCGTGAGAAAATTTGGGGTTTGATCACGTCGCCTCGCAGATTCAGAAGAATCGCCCTGCGGTGTAAGAAAATTTGGGGCCCGACAGTGTCTCGACGCGCTGGTCCAGAAAAAGTCGACTTGGCGCGCTTAAATTCCAGCGCTGCGGCTATTTTTTCAGAAGCCGTGCGAGGCGGTCAGAATTTGTGGCCAAAGCCTCGGCCCGGCATCGTGAGAAAGACTGGGGCTCGACAGCGCCGCAGCTCAGGTCCAGAAAAAGTGGAGCTGGCGCGTGCTTATGCCCAAACAAATTCTGAGGCTCGGTATACCACCGCGGGAAGTTTTAGCACGGTCCGCCACCCAAAAAAAAGGTAAAGCCCCGAATCCGGCCAGATCGTGGTCAAAAAATTGCGATCCCCCCCTGCAGCATAACATCTTTTGCGGCGCTGGTCGCTGGCACATACCCACCATATCGCCTGGGCCACCGCTGCAGATGGACCGACATTGCCAGGCAAGCTAAGTTGTCCAGTGGTGTGGAAACATATCTCCTGAGCGCCTGTGCGGCCACAAGCTATCTCCTGACGTTGGGGATGTCTTTCTGCAGTTGCTGTCGACGCAGTACCTCCTCCCAGACGCGCCGTGTCGTGTCCGGGTCTGCACTCTTCTGGATCATGGCTTCGAGCTTGGCCACGCTAGGCGTTCTCACGGGAGACACCTCGCTCTGTTTGCCGTTAGGTTTCCGAGGCCGCTGTGCTTCCAGAGGCGCGCCGCGTTTCCCTGCATGACTGCTGCTTCGGCGTGCGTCTTTCGAGGGTTCGCGTTTGCCCTCGGTCTTGCCATGTGAGCTGGCGCGCTTGAGGGGCGAGCGGTGTGCCTTCGCGCTGTTGGGCGAGCGGCGGTGCTCGGAAGGGTGTTGGGTCGAGACGTGAACGCGTAAAGCATTGGAACTATGGAAGGAGCGGTGACAGTACTTACACCGCGCTCTCTCCCTCTTGCGCGGCGTTGCCTTCGAAGTGGGCGCGCATTTTACGTGGCGCTTGTGCTCGAGGAGGCCCTTACGGGTAAATAGCTTCCCGCAGTGCTCGCACCGCGCGTCCCTGGGTGATTTGCGCCGTGGCATTGTTTTCCTTTGAAGCAGATTGCCCATCCGGCGAAAGCACCCCCTAGCGGCATGCAGCGTCTGTGCGCCGGAGCACCGAATCACGGAGAGCCGCGCGCCGATTTTAGCGCAGCTGCGCCAGTGCGCCCTCGCCCGAAAAAATATGCTTGTAAAGGCATGGCTGTCACAAGCGAATACTTCCGGGCTAATCTGGGCTTGCTGGACAGCGACGCCGCCGGGATGCTGGACCCGTGGTGCCAGCGGACTTACGAGCAACACTTCATCGGCAGAGGTCCTTCGGGGGAGTATGTCCTCACGGCGTCCTGTCGCCAACCGAAGTCCCGCAAGTCGATTCTGATGGCAATCCGGACCGCATCCTCCAATTCCGGACATCCGCTGAGCAGCTTGCGCGGAGATGGTGTGGAGTTGTGGACGGACGCTCAATTCGAAAAAGTGTCCGCTCCAGAACTGAACGACAACTACGAGGAGCTTCTGGAGCTATGAGAAAAACTGAAGGTTAAGTACGCACGTGTGTAACTCTGACGTCCTCGTCGTCGCTTTGCGGCGTCGCATTTGCATTCACAGCGCTGTGTCCGGCTCTGCAGACCATGACCAAGACTTCATGCGTCGAGGCCAGTTTGACAAAATGACCTTTCGGAGCCTTGATAGCCATACGTTGCAGGGCCGTCCGGAGCATCCGGGAGAAGCTTGCGTTTGTGCGACTTCTGCTGTGCAGACCCAACAGGACTGGCCTGCGAGCGTCGTCCCGGAACACCGCTGCGCAAGCGAGATTCGCTCCGGCCCAGCGGGTAATATTCTCGACTTGGTGTTGGGGAAGTCCGGGCGAAAAGGTCGCCCGAAAGGCTTTCGAGCTCGAGCCAATCATTTTTCTGGAATGGCGCGGACGCTCTCGTCGTCACGCGTGGTCGATAGTTCTTGACGCGCCGTCGTTTTTTCATGACATGCGTGCTTCTGCAGTGGCGCTCCCTCGGCGCACCCAGCGCGCGCCTACCGCGAATGTCGGAGGCGCGCGTCGGCATCGAACAGCGGAGCTTGCTCACGGCATAACGCTTGTTGGCTGGGCGCGCCTGGCATCGATCATGTCGCGCGCATCCCTGCTGGAATTGCCCGACTGCATCGTTGTGCTCTTTTTTTTATTTTTGGGCGGCCGCGCGCGTAGAAAATGTGGCTTCCTCCCTGAGTGAACAAGGTCGCTCCTACGACCGGCCCATTTCCTGTCCCCACGGGCACGCAATTTCCTGTGGACAGCCAATCAATCGCGCACGGTTTCCCGGGACGTCGCCACATGAGGTCGAGATTTCTTGAAGCGGCGCCGCGTTTTACCGACATGCGCGTGTCCGCATCGACGCCCCACCCATGACATGATCATCCACATCAAAATGTCGGAGGTGCAAGTCGAGGTCCGAAACGCCGCTGGTGATTTGATTGGCCCCTTTTCGGACGCGGCCGGATTTCGAAAGTGGCGAGCTCAGATGCAGAAGGAGCGCGGCGAAAAGAAGATCGCAGCTTGCATCGCCGACCAACTCATAATCGATACGCCTTCGCTGATGTCTCGCCTCCCTCCTGGGAGCTACGAAGCTGTGCTGCTGAAGCGCGCGCCCATACCCCCTCAAGCAAGAAGGCATCTCGTGGACTGCGATCTTTGGAAGGCAGCGTGAAGAGTTGTGCGCGTTGTTGCGCGTGTTGCAGCCCCATCAAGTTCTATCCGAGTTCTACCCAAGTTCTATCTTAAGTTCAATACAGTTCTATCCAGTTCCATCCAAGTTCTATCTTAAGGTCTATCCAGTTCTATCCAGTTCTATCCTCCATTCCCAGAGCGTCCTAACACTTCACACACGGCAAACACCTCAAACACTTCAAACACTTCAAACACATCAAACACATCAAACATTCAGCGCACATCAAACACTTCAAACGCCTCAAACACATCAAACACTTCAAGCACGCAGCCCGACCCTCCAGAAGGCAGCGCATGCTGCGCCGGGACTTGCTGGGAGCAGCATGGGAGACCGGGAGGCCAGGAGCCGAGAGCAACCGGGAGCAGCCAGGAGCAGCCGGAAGCTGGGAGCAGCCTGTAGCTGCAAGCAGCCAGGAGCAGTTGGAAGCAGAACAAATGCCAGACTGAAATCATATTAGCCGCTTATAGATACATGGGTCTCTGGGCAGGGGGTTGAACTACATTGAACTAAGTTGCACTAAGCTGAACTAAGTTGGACTAAGTTGAACTAAGTTGAACTAAGTTGGCTGGGTCCGGCTGGGTCTAGATAGGCTGTGGCTGGCCTGGCTGGCTCCGCCCCCCGGGCTTGGGAGCAGCCGGAATCACAGCAAATGCCAGACCGCAATCATGTAAGCCGCCTATACATACATGGGTCTCCGTCATGGCCCAGGCGTTCGGCCGACTTGGGGCGTTCTGGACTTTTCTGGATTGTTCTGGGGCGCCCTGCGGCCGGACGTTTTGGGAAGTCCTGGGGCGCCCTGGTCCTGGTGCGTCCTGGGGCGGTCTGGGGCCGCCCGAACCTGACCCTACAGAAGGCAGCGTACGCGGCGTACCGCGTCTGTGCCGATGCGCACTTGGGCGTTCTGGGGCGTTTTGGTGCGTTCTGGAGCGGGGCCTTCTGGGGCGCTTTGCGGCGTCCTGGAGCGTTCTGGGGTGTCCCGAAGCGGCCTGGGACCGCTCCGAGGCGTTCTGGCATCGTTCTGAGGCGGCGTTCTATGGCGTCCTGGGCGGAGGCACCCAAAACGCGCAAAGCATGTGCTATTTTTGAACGAATTTATCGGTTTCCGAGGAGCCCAGAAGGACACGCCACGCCAGCCACAGCGTACGGCCGGAACGTAGGATCCTACGTTCCGGCCAAATCCTACGTTCCGGCCAAATCCTACGTTCCGGTCAAAGCCTACTAGTATGTTCCGGCCACCCTACCACCCCAGGCGGCAGGCACCAGCAAAGAATAGCGCAGGCTGCAGCAGCGACCTTGTGGGGAGGTCCTTGCAAGGTTCTTGCGGAGGTCCTACAATCCCCGGCCTTCCTTGGCCTCCCCGGCTTCCCCTGACCCTCCCGGCCTCCCCGGCCTGCCTGACCTTCTTGGCCTCCCCGGCCTCCCGGGCCTTTCCGGCATCCCTGACCTTTCCGGCTTTTCTATCTTGTCCAACCTTCTCTGACTTCCCCGGCCTCCCCGGCTTCCTCTGACCTCCCCTGGCTTCCCCGCCTTTCCGGGTTCCCCGGCGTTTCCGGTTTCCTTCGCCTTCTCTGACCTCCCCTGGCTTCCCCGCCTTCCCGGCCTTCCCGGCTTCCCCGGCCTTCCCGGATTCCCCTGCCTCTCCGGCCTTTCCCCGGCTTCCCGCGGCCTCCCCTGACCTTTCCTCGGTCTCTTCTGATCTCCCCGACCCCCCTTGGCTTCCTCGGCCTTCCTGGCATCCCCGGCCTTCTCGGCGTCCTTCACTTCCGCGCCTTCCCCTGACCTCGGCCCTGCCTCTTCCCCGGCCTCCCTTGACCTCCCCTGGCCTCCCGGTTTCCCCGGCTTCCCTTCACTTCGCCTCGCTTCCCGGCCTTCCAGGCCTCTCCCGCCTCCCCGGTCTCCCAGGCTTTCCGGGCCTTCCCGGCGTCCCCTGACCTCTCACCCTTTCTGACTTCCACGGCCTGCCCAGCCTCCCCAGCCACATCGGCCTCCCCTGACCCCCCCTGGCCTTCCCATTCCTTCCCAGTCTCTCGGCTTTCCCGGCGTCCCCAGCCTTCCCAGCTTCGCCGGCTTCCTCGGCTTCACTGATTTCCCTACGCTGACAGACCGAAATCATATTGTCCGACTATGGGTTTCCTGCTGGGCTTCTTGAAAATGCCAGCAGGGCGAGGGTGCCTGGCCTCCCCCGGCTTCCTCAGCTTCCCTGGCCTCCCATGACTTATCCCCTGGCCTCCCCGGCTTTCCCGGCCTCCTCCCTTGACTTCTCCCCGGCTTCCTCGGCCTTTCCCCGGCTTCCCCTGACCTCTCCCCGGCCTCCTCTGACCTCCCCTGGCATCCCCGGCTTCCTCCTGGCCTTCCCGGCTTTCCCGGCGTCCCCAGCTCCCCCGGCTTCCCCGCCATCCCCTGACCTTCCCCGGCCTTCCCGGCTTCCCCGGCCTTCCCGGTTTACCCAGCCGCCCTGGCTTCCCCAGCCTCCGCGGCTTCCCGGGCCCCTCCCCAGCCTCACCCGATTTCTCCCCAGGCTACTTTGATTTCCCCGGGCTCCCTTGACCTACCCTGCCCTCCCCGGTGTTCCCGGCTTCCCCTGGCCTCCACGGCCTCCCTTGACCTCCAGCGGCTTTCCCCGACCTCCCCGCAGTCTCCGCTGGCTTCCTCTGGTCTCCAGCACTGGATTTGAGCTACCCGGGCTGGAAGGTTTTCCCCGCCCTCCCCGGCTTCCGAAGCCTCCCTGACCTCCCCGGTCTCCCCTGACTTCCCCGGCCTCCCCTGACTTCCCCGGCCTCCCCTGATCTCCCGGGCCTCCCTTGACCTCCCCAGCTTCCCAAAGCTTCCCGGAGCCTCCCGGAGCGTCCCGCAGCCTCCGGGAGCTTCCCGCAGCTTCCCGCGGAGCCCCTCGCAGTTTCCCGGGGCCGTCTGGAGCCACCCGCAGCCTCCCGCAGCCTCCCGGAGCTTCCCAGAGCTTCGCGCAGCCACCCAGCCGCCCGGGGCCAACGCAGGATGCCAGTGGCGGGCGCAGATTACAGCCGCTGCTCGCGACACCCCTACCCGATCAGCCCAGGCGGTCAAATAAGAGCGGGCGCGTGACGGAAGCTGCTCCCCACCCAGCCGCCCGGGACAGGATGCCAGCGGCGGGCAGAGATTACAGCCGCTGCTCGCGACACCCCTACCCGATCAGCCCGGGCGGTCAAATTAAGAGAGGGCGCGTGGCGGAAGTTGCTCCCCACCCAGCTTCCGGCCGTCTCCCGCTGTCTCCCGGCTGTCTCCCGGTTGTCTCCCGGCTATCTCCTGGCTATTTCCGGGCTGTCTCCCGGCCGTTTTCCGGCTGTTTCCCGCCTGTTTCCCGGCCGCCTCCCGGCTGCCTCCCGGCTGTCTCCCGGGTGCTTCCCAGCTGTCTCCCTGGTTGTCTCCCGGCTGTCTCCCGGCTGTCTCCCGGCTGTCTCCCGGCTGTCTTCCGGTTGTCTCCCGGCTGTCTCCCGGCTGTCTCTCGGCTGTTTCCCGGATGTCTCCCGATTGTTTCCCGGCTGTCTCCCGGCTGTCTCCCGGCTGTCTCCCGACTGCCTCCTTGGCTTCCCCTGGCCTCCCTGGCCTCCCGGGATTCGGTGGCTTCCCTGACGTCCCTGACCTCCCCACCCTTCCTGACCTCCCCGGTCTCCCTGGCCTCCCTTACCTTCCCGGCTTCCCTGACTCCCCCGGCCTCCCTGATCTCACTCTTCTCCCTTGCCTCCCCGGTCTCCCTGCTTTTCCCGGCTTTCCTGACTTCCCAGACCTCCCCGGCCTCCCTGACCTCCCCGGCTTCCCTGACCTCTCTGGCTTCCCCGGGCTCCCTGACCTCCCCGCCTCTTCGGTTTCCTTGACCTCTTCGAAATTCTTTGGCTTCCTGACCTTTCCCTGCTTCCCTGATTCTCCGGTCTCCCTGATTTCCGGCTCCCCCTGACCTTTCCCCGGCCCCTCGAAATGTCCTGATCTCGGCAAGTTGACAGACCGAAATCACATTGTCCGCCTATGTGTTTCTTGTTGGTTCTTTTGAGAAGGCCAGCAGGGTGAGGGTGGCTGGGCTGCCCCCACCCATGTGCAGCTATCTTGGCTCCCAAGTGGGATCGGTTTTGTCGCAGGCGGGGCCAGTGTGGTCCCAAGCTCGACCGGTTTGGCCCCAAGCCGGGCCAGTTTGCCGCTAAGTCGCGCCTGTTTCGCCCCATGTGTAGTTATCTTAATCCCATGTGCAGCCACCTTAGCCCCCAAGCGGGGTCGGTTTGGTCCCAAGCGGGTCCAGTTTGTTCCCAAGCTCGACCAGCTTGGGTTCCCGCGCAGCTATCTTGGCCCCAAGCGTGGCCAGTTTGGTCCCAAGCTCGAGCGCTTTGGTCCCAAGCGGGGCCAGTTTGGCCCCAAGCTCGACCGGTTTGGCCCCAAGCCGGGCCAGTTTGGCTTCAAGCCGGCCCAGTTTGCTCCTAAGTCGAGCCTGTTTGGCCCCATGACATTGTGTAGTTATCGTAGCCCCATGTGCAGCTATCTTGGCCCCTAAGCGGGGCCGGTTTGTTCCCAGGCGGGGTCAGTTTGGTTCCAAGCTCGACCGGCTTGGCTTCACGACCAGTTATCTTAGCCCCAAGTGGGGCCAGTTTGGCCCCAAGCGGGGTGCCAATTTGGCCCCAAGCTCGACCGATTTGGCCCCAAACGGGGCCGGTTTGGTCTCAAGCGGGAGTGGTTTGGCCCCAAGGAGGACGGTTTTGGCCCCAAGCGAAGCGGTTTCCTTGGTTCCCTTGATTTCCTTGCTGCACGCTGTCTCTGTGCATTGGCCGTGGCCATCTCGGCTTGGCGCGCGTGGACTGGATGGCCTGGCTGGGCGTGCATGGACAGGCTGCCGCGGCTGGCTATACGTAGGCTGTGGCTAATCTGGCTGGCTGTATTGTGGCTGGCCCGGCTGGCTGTGCACAGGCTGTGACTTCAATGCCCGGCTGGGTTTACATTGGCTGTGGCTGGCCAGACTCGCTGTATACATAGGCTGAGGCTTGTCCAGGTGCCTGCACATAGGCTGTGGCTGACGCGGTTGGATCTACATAACGCTCCCCTCCGGTCTCCACGGCCTCTGGTCTCCCTGGCCTTCCCGGTCTCGCTCGGCTTCCTTGACCTCCCCCGACCTCCTTGATCTCCCCAGCCTCCCCTGACCTCCTTAATCTCCCCGGTCAAGGAAGCTTCCATACAACCAACAGCTCCCGGTTGCCGGCTGTGTCTCGTCTCCTGGCCGTCTCCCCATCTCCCGGCTGTCTCCCGGTTGTCTCCCGGCTGTTTCCCGGCTGTTTCCCAGCTGTCTCCCGGTTGTCTCCCAGCTGTTTCCCGAGTGTTTCCGGCTGTTTCCCGGTTGTCTCCCGGCCGTCTGCCGGCTGTCTCCCGGTTGTCTCCCGGCTGTCTCCTGGCTGTCTCCCAGCTGTTTCCCGGATGTCTCCCGACTGTCTCCCGGCTGTGTCCCGGCTGTCTCCCGGTTGTCTCCCGGCTGTGTCCCAGCTGTTTCCCAGTTGTCTCCTGGCTGTCTCCTGGGTGTTTCCCGGCTGTTTCCCAGCTGTCTCCCGGCTGTCTCTCGGCTGTCTCCCAGCTGTCTCCCGGCTGTTTCCTGGCTGTGACCCGGCCTCCGGGCTGCGTCCCGGCTGTTTCCCGGCCGTCTCCCGGCTGTTTGCCGGTTGTTTTTCAGCTGTTTCCCGTGTGTCTCCCGGCTGTTTCCCATGTGTTTTCCGGCTGTCTCCTGGCTGTCTCCCGGTTGTCTCCCGGCTGTCTCCCGGATATTTCCCGGCTGTCGTCCCGCAGTTTCCCTGGCTGTCTCCCGGCTGCCTCCGTGCTGCGTCCGGGCTGCGTCCCGGATGTTTCCCGGCTGCCTCCCGGCCGTCTGCCGGCTGTCTCCCGGTTGTCTCTTGGTCGTCTCCCAGATGTCTCCCGGTTGTCTCCCGGTTGTTTCCCGGCTGTCTCCCGGCTGTTTCCCGGCTGTCTCCCGGCTGTCTCCCGGCTGTCTCCCGACTGTTTCCCAGCTGTCTTCCGGCTGTCTCCCGGCTGTTTCCGGGCTGTCTCCCGGGTGTGTCCCCGGTTGTCTCCCGGTTGCTTCCGGGCTGTCTCCCGATTGCATCCCGGTTCTCTCCCCGGTTGTCTCCCGGCTGCCCCCGGGCTGCCTCCGGGCTGCGTCGTGGCTGTTTCCCGGTTGTCCCCCGGCCGTCTCCCAGCTGTCTCCTGGTTGTCTTCCAGCCGTCTCCCGGCTGGTTCCCGGTTGTCTCCAGGCTGTCTCCCGGCTGTCTCCCGGTTGTCTCCTGCCTGTGTTTCCCGGCTGTCTCCCGGCTGTCTCCCGGCTGTCTCCCGGCTGTCTCCCGGCTGTCTCCCGGCTGTTTCCCGGCTGTCTCCCGGCTGTTTCCGGGCTGTCTCCCCGTTGTCTCCCGATTGCCTCCCCGCTGTCTCCCCAGTTGTCTCCTGGCTGCTGACTGCTTCCCGGTTGTCTCCCCGGTTGTCTCCCGGCTGCCTCCGGGCTGCCTCCGGGCTGCGTCCCGGCTGTTTCCCGGCTGTCTCCCGGCTGTCTCCTGGCTGTCTCCCGGCTGTCTCCCGGCTGTTTCCCGGCTGTCCCCCGGCTGTTTCCCGGCTGTTCCCCGGCTGTGTCCCAACTGTTTCCCGGCTGTTTCCCGGCTGTTTCCGGGCTGTGTCCCCGCTGTCTCCCGATTGCCTCCCGGCTGTCTCCGCGGTTGTCTCCCGATTGTCCCCCGGCTGTCTCCCGAATGTCTCCCGGGTGTCTCCCGTCTGTCTCCCGGCTGTTTCCCGGCTGTTTCCCGGTTGTTTCCCGGCTGTTTCCCGGTTGTTTCCCCGCTATATCCCGGCTGCTTCCCGGATGGATCCCCTTAGCCTCCTTGACCTCCCAAGGCTCCAAAGGAAAGTGGGATGTGGGTGGCGGAGCAGCCCCAGGGCCTGGCACGGCCTCCTGGCTAATTCCCGGCCGTGTCCCGGAAGCACGCCAGGACACCCACAGCTTACGTTCCGGCGAAATCCTACGTTCTGGTTAAATCGTATGTTCCGGCCACCTTACCACTCCACGATCCGCCAGCTGGATCCAGGCAGTGTGCGCAGAGCTGCCACAAACACCCGCGAACGCATACAAACACCCGCAAACACCCACAAACACCAACAAACATCCACAAACACCCACAAACATCCACAAACGCCACAAACACCAAATTGACAGACCGAAATCATGAACAACAAATGCCCTGTCCACCTGAGAGCGGGGCGGCTGGGCTAACATCCATGGCGTCCCCTCTAGCGGAAAAGGGAGAGTACCTTCCCGGCTCCTTGGCCTCCCTGACCTCCCCGGCCACCCTGACCTCCCCGGCCTCCCTGACCTCCCCGGCTTCCCTGACTTCCCCGGCCTCCCTTAGAACTTGTCTGTTTATTAATTTTGTACTGGGTCCAGTCCTGGGGGGTCGACCCCCCCCCCCCCCCCCCCCCCTCCGAGGACTGTTGATTTTCACCTTCCTGGTGTCCTCCCCCCTTCCCCTCCCCCCTCCGAGGACTGGTACTACTAGACAGACAAATCTACGCTCGGTCGTGTTCCAAAGCTATGTCGGTGCTGGCGGAGGGCCATTTCTTATAGGTTTCTCATTGATTGATTATTCACTTTGTATTAGTTAAGAATTTCTTAACATTATTCGGCGCCTGCGGCGGGCAATTTCGTACCAATACGATATTTGTTGTTAGTCGATTTGGGCTCATATACTATACTACTATTTGTCGGCGCCTGCGGCGAGCCAGTTCCTGAAAAAAAAAAGTTTCAATTATGAAAAACTTTTCCATTCTATATGCTCTCATTATTTGTCGGCGCCTGCGGCGAGCATTTTTCAAAGATTCCTTATTTATTGATTTGTTGATTGTTATTCGATATATTTCTAATATATCAACAGTCCTGGTCCTCAGGGCCAACCTCCCCCCCCCCCCCTGGGAGGACTGTGGATTTCCACCTTCCTGACCCCCGCGACCCCCCCCACCCCCTCTGAGGACTGCGTCCTGTATACAATTAATAAAAAGACAGGTTCCTATCTCCCCGGCCTCCCCGGCCTCGCTGACCTCCCCGGCTTCCCCGGCCTACCTGATCTCCCCGGCCTCCCTGACTTCCCCGGCCTCCCTGACCTCCCCGACCTCCCCGGCCTCCCGGCCTTCCGGCCTTCCGATCTCCCGGCTTCCCCGGGCTCCCGGCTTCCCGGCCTCCTTGCTTCCTGGCCGCCCTGGACCTACGCAGGGTGCTAGCGGGAGAGGGGGGGTCCTGAGGATGGGGGTAGGGGTTCCCCGGAGAATTGCAGCCGCTTGTTGGTGACACCCCTACTGCAAGGAAGCTTCCATACAACCAAAAGGATGGCGGTAGGGATTCACCGGCTGCCGGCTGTCTCCCGGCTGTTTCCCGGCTGTTTCCCGGCTGTCTCCCGGCTGTCTCCCGGCTGTCTCCCGGCTGTCTCCCGGCTGTCTCCCGGCTGTTTCCCGGCTGTCTTCCGGCTGTCTCCCGGGTGTTTCCCAGCTGTCTCCCGGCTGTTTCCCGGCTGTATCCCGGCTGTTTCCCGGCTGTCTCCCGGCTGTCTCCCGGCTGTCTCCCGACCCTTCTCCTGGCCGTTTCCCGGCTGTCTCCCGGCTGTCTCCCGGCTGTTTCCCAGCGTCCCCGACATCTCCCCGCTGTCTTCCGGCCTGCCGGATGACTCCCCACTGTATCCCGAATGTTTCCCGGCCTCCCAGATGTCTCCTGGCGTTTCTCGGTTCCTCCCGCTCTTACTGGATTGGGCGTCTGCTCTCCAACAACCGTTTCGTTTCCCGGTTCAACCCAGATGGTCGTCAGATTTGCATGTCCGCTCTAACCCGGATTGGATGAAAGGGGTCAACATTTGGTAACGTTTGTTAGACCGAAATCGCATCCATAGGCGGTCGCATGTCTGAGCAGAGTGATCTTGATGGGATCGAGCTGCAAGCATCGCATGGGTGAGACTCGGCACAGCGCGCGCCACGATTTTCCGCAGCCAAAGTCTGGCTTGTTGCCCGCTGGCGGGCTCTGGCGCGCTATCTGGCTCGTTGGCGGCATTGGATGTCTCCCGGCTGTCCCCCGGCTGTCTCCCGGTAATCTCCCGGCTGTCTCCCGGCTGTCTCCCGACTGCTTCCCGGCTGCCTCCCGGATGGCTCCCCTTAGCCTCCTTGAATTCCCCTGGCTCCAAAGAGGAGCGGAAGGTGGGTGGCGGAGCAGCCCCAGAGTTTGCCACAGCCTAACTGGCCCTTTCCCGGCCGTGTCCCGGAAGCACGCCAGGCCACCCACAGCTTACGGCCGGAACGTAGGATCCTACGTTCCGGTTAAATCCTACGTTCCGGTTAAATCCTATGTTCCGGCCACCCTACCACCCCGATCCGCCAGCTGGATCCAGGCAATGTGCGCAGAGCTGCCACAAACACCCGCAAACGCCCGCAAACGCCTACAAACACCCGCAAACATCCACAAACACCCGCAATCACCACAAACACCACAAACACAAATTGACAGACCGAAATCATGACCAACAAATGCCCTGTCCACCTGAGAACGGGCCGGCTGGGCTAACATCCATGGCGTCCCCTCTGGCGGAAAAGGGAAAGTACCTCCCTGGCCTCCCTGACTTCGCCGGCCTCCCTGACCTCCCCGGCTTCCCTGACCTCCCCGGCCTCCCTTATCTCCCCGGCCTCCCCAGTCTACTTGATCTACCCGGCCTCCTTGACCTCCCCGGCCTCCCCGGCCTCCCTGGTCTCCCTGGCTTCCCTGGCCTCCCTGGCTTCCCTCCCTGACTTCCCTGACTTCCCTGACCTCCCCGCCCTCCCCGACCTCCCCTGACCTCCCCGCCCTCCCTGAGCTCACAAGTTTCCCCGACCTCCCCGGTCTCCCTGGCCTCCCTGACTTCCCCGGCCTCGCTGACCTCCCCGGCTTCCCTGACCTCTCCGGCCTCCCCGGCCTCCCTTACTTCCCCGGCCTCCCTGACCTCCCCCGCCCGGCTTCCTTGATCTCCCTGACCTCCCCGGCTTCCCTTACCTTCCCGGCCTCCCTGATCTCCCCAGCCTCCCTGACCTCCCCGGATTCCCCATAACCTCCCCGGCCTCCCTGGTTCCCCCGGCCTCCCCGGCTTCCCTGACCTCCCCCGGCTTCCCTGATCTCCCTGGCCTCCCTGACCTCCCCGGCCCCCCTGACCTCCCCGGCTTCGCCGGCCCGAGAATTACAGCCGCTTGTTGGTGACACCCCTACCTCAAGGAAGTTTCCATACAACCAAAAGAATGGGAGTAGGGATTCCCCAAAGAATTACAGCCGCTTGTTGGTGACACCCCTACCTCAAAGAAGCTTCCATACAACCAAAAAGATGGGGTTAGGGATCCCCCCGAGAATTACAGCCGCTTGTTGGTGACACCCCTGCCTCAAGGAAGCTTCCATACAACCAAAAAGATGGGGTTAGGGATCCCCCCGATAATTACAGCCGCTTGTTGGTGACACCCCTACCTCAAGGAAGCTTCCATACAACCAAAAAGATGGGGTTAGGGACCCCCCCAAGAATTACAGCCACCCCTACCTCAAGGAAGCTTCCACACGACCAAAAATATGGGGTTAGGGATCCCCCCTAGAATTACAGCCGCTTGTTGGTGACACCCCTACCTCGAGGAAGCTTCCGTACGATCAAAGAATGGGGTTGGGGACCCCCCCGAGAATTACAGCCGCTTGTTGGTGACACCCCTACCTCAAGGAAGTTTCCATACAACCAAAAAGATGGGGTTAGGAAGCTTCCATACGACCAAAAGAATGGGGTTAGGGATCCCCCCGAGAATTACAGCCGCTTGTTGGTGACACACCTACCTCAAGGAAGCTTCCATACAACCAAAAGAATGGGAGTAGGGATTCCCCCGAGAATTACAGCCGCTTGTTGGTGACACCCCTACCTCAAGGAAGCTTCCATACAACCAAAAGAATGGGAGCCGCTCTTACTTGATTGGGCGCCTGCTCTCCAACAGCCGTTTCATTTCGGGTTCATCCCGGATGGTCGTCAGATTTGCATGTCCGCTCTAACCCGGATTGGGCGAAGGGGTCAAAATTTGTTAACGTTTGACGGACCGAAATCATGTTCATGGGCGGTCGCATGTCTGACCAGAGCGATCTTGATGGGATCGAGCTGCAAGCATCCCATGGGACTCGGCACAGCGTGCGCCACGATTTTCCGCAGCCAAAATCTTGTTTGCTGGCCGCTGGCGGGCTCTGGCGCGCTATCTGGCTCGCTGGCGGCATTGGCTGGACTCCGAAAGAAAAATCATGGGCTGGCTGGCTGACTGTGGCGGCCTGGCTGGCTGGCCCGGCTGGTTGTACATAGGGGCTGGATGGCCCCGCTGGCTGTACATTAGGGCTGGCTATGCTTCGACTGGCTAGGTTGGTTGTACATAGGCCCAGCTGATTGCACAGAGGCCATGAAGCCCAGGCTTGCTGTGCATGTATTGTGCTGGCCCGGGCTGGCTGTGCATGGGTTGTGGGTGGCCCGAGCTGGCCCGGCTGGCTACACGCAGTTTCTGCCGGGGCAACTCGGTCCAACTCGGTGCGGTTCAATTCGATTCGGTTCAACTCGGTTCAGTTCAATTCGGTGCAACTCAGTTCAACTCGGTTCAACTCGGTTCCATTCGGTTCAACTCGCATAGGCGGCCGCATGTTTCATCCGCTGTGCACGTAGACGTGCTGCGGCCTGCGAATAATCAGCCCACGCTTCCTGGCGTCTCACGGTATTTCCCCGCTGTCCCCCGGCTGTCTCCCGGCGTTTCCCAGCGTCCCCGATGTCTCCCGGCTGTCTCCCGGCCTCCCGGATGTCTCCCGGCTGTCTCCCGAATGTCTCCCGGCCTCCCAGATGTCTCCTGGCGTGTCTCGGTTCCTCCTGCTCTTACTTGATTGGGCGTCTGCTCTCCAACAACCGTTTCGTTTCCGGTTCAACCCGGATGGTCGTCAAATTTGCATGTCTGCTCTAACCCGGATTGGGCGAAGGGGTCAAAATTTGGTAACATTTGTTAGACCGAAATCACATCTATAGGCGGTCGCATGTCAGACCAGAGTGATCTTGATGGGATCGAGCTGCAAGCATCCCATGGGACTCGGCACAGCGCGCGCCACGATTTTCCGCAGCCGAAATCTGGCTTGCTGGCCGCTGGCGGGCTCTGGCGCGCTATCTGGCTCGCTGGTGGCATTGGCTGGCTAGTGGCTAGTGATTGGACTATCTGGCTAGTGGCGTCTCACGGTATTTCCCGGCTGTCTCCCGACTGTATCCCGGCTGTCTCCCGACTGCTTCCCGGCGCCTCTTTAAACTCATCGGACTGCTTGTTTAACCTCATCGGGCTGCCGCCTTAACCTCATCGGGCCGCCTCTTTAACCTCATCGGGCTGCCTGTGCAACCTCATCGGGCTGCCGCCTTAACCTCATCGGGCTGCCGCCTTAACCTCATCGGGCTGCCTCTTTTACCTCATCGGGCTGCCTGTTTAACCTCATCGGGCTGCCTGTTGAACCTCATCGGGCTGCCTCTTTAACCTCATCGGGCTGCCTGTTTTACCTCATCGGGCTGCCGCCTTAACCTCATCGGGCTGCCTGTTGAACCTCATGAGGCTACTGCTTCAACTTCATTGGGCTGCATGTTTAACCTCATCGGGCTGCCTGTTTAACTTCATCGGGCTGCCTGTTTAACCTCATTGGGCTGCCTGTTTAACCTCATCGGGCTGCCGCCTTAACCTCATCGGGCTGCCTGTTTCACCTCATCGGGCTGTCAGCCCGGACGAATTATCACTTCTGTTTCCATTTATGTATCAATCGGTGCACAATCTGGCCCCAAATCGGTGCCTCTTTTGACCTTTGCGAGCACCCCTGGAGACGCGTCGTGCTGCCTCCGAGTGAGCGGCCCACACATTGTTCTGAGAGTCTAGCCATGAGAGAGATGAGCAGTTCCCGCGCCACAAGAAAAGCAAGCGCTTGTCTGCTCATCACCACCTGACACCATGCGTGCATTTGCATCTTGTGTGCACCGCTCTGTAGCTGCACGCGTGCCTTGGCTTGCGCATACATGCCCCCCCCCACTTGCTCCACTCGCACACTCTCGCCACGCAGCCTTTGCTCAGTGACGTTCTTTTGTGCAGTTTGGCTCCGAGCTGTTGTTGCATTTGCACCGTCAGCTTATTTGTAGTGGCCATAATCCCAAGCGGGTGCCGATAAGCACAGGAAGAACTTGACAGAGAAGGCGCAGCGCCCACGAATCAATTAGGAGATGGATGAGATGATACAGCGAAGGTTCACGCTTCTTGTCAAACCGCCTGGTCAAGGCAGAGGCTTTGCAGGCAAGGGCGCGACAGTGATCGAAGTACAGGCCAGTTTCGGCGCGATTCTCCATGATGTCGTCAAGAGAGAATACGAAAAGAATCAAGGGAACGAGCCCGACCGCGGGTTCTTCCTCAAAAAGGAGCACGTGACCTCGGCTCGCATCCTCGCGGAGAGGTCCTCGCAAATCGTGAAAGACTTCGTTGTGAAATGCGGCGCGCTCAACAGCGAATCCCTGGAGTGCACCGTGACTTATGATGATCGTCCGGGAGATAGGCAAGCCAGGCGAAACAGAAAGAAGGACAAAGCTCGGATGGCGCCATCGGAAGAAACGAAAGCGAAGGAGTTGGCCCGATTCGAGTTTGAGGGAGCGACTGTGGAGACACGGGCGAGCAAGAGGAGGAAAATGTCCACAGCCGCCCAGACCAGTGGCAGTGTTGGGTTGCCTGTGCCCACGCCAGTGCAACTGCTTGGCAAGCCTGTGAAGAACCGCCGCGAGATATGGGATTGCCTTCAGAAGTTGAGTTGGAAGAAAGGGAACGTCAAGACCACGACATTTGGTTCAGGAAGCATTGCGCTGGGCGTCACACGCGGTGCCCCAGGCGCCGATGGCTTCAACAAGGAAGGCTACAATGACCAAGTTGTGCCTGGATGCTTGTCACAAGAAGATCAAGAGCAGTGTGCCAAACTGTGGGAATTGCTTCAGGACGAAGGTCGGGCGCTCGGCTTCGAATTCAGCAGCGCGCAACTCAACGAGAATTTTCAGCCGATGCACCCCCGCCGCCACCGCCGCACGGACAAGGACCACCAATGGTGTCTGTCCCTGGGAGGCTTCACGGGAGGCGAGTTCTGCTGGCAGGAGAGGGGCCAATGCTTCAGCGTGTCCACGAAAGATCAATGGCAGAAGGTAGACGGCCGGCACGTGCACTGGGTGAAGCCGCATCAACCGGAGAGTTCCGTCAGGTACTCCATCGTGCTCTTTCGCAATATAGGTGGCGCCGCAGAGCTCTTCTACCATTCTGATGCTGTGGCGCCCGAGCCTCCCCGGCGTCCTCTCCGCGTGGGACATGATTGCGCAGGCACGAATGCGCCTTGCCAAGCGTTGTGGAACTTGCGCGTGGACTTCACAGAGGCCTTCGCGAGCGACCTTGACGAGTTCGCCTGCCAGACCATCGAAGCCAATTTCCACCCTGTCAAATTTTAAGGGGGCGAAGTCGATGGGGACATCACCAAGCGCGACCACTCGCAGGCGCCCGGCTGTGACCTGTACATGGCTGGCTTCCCCTGCCAGCCGCGCAGCTCGGAGGGCAAGAAGAGGGGCTTCCAGGACCCACGTGGCCAGGTGTTCTATAGTGTCGTGGATTACATGAGAACCCACAAGCCTCGTGTCGCAGTCCTGGAGAACGTGCAAAGTCTGCTTCACAATCGCGACGGCGAAGACATTTGCGAGGTTCTACACGAGCTGCTGCGATTGGATTGCTATAACATCCAGTGGAGGGTCCTGAATACCGCCGATCACGGCGTGTCGCAAAGCCGAAATAGGCTCTACATTGTCTGCATCCGCAAGGACTTTTATATCGAGGGTAGGTTCCAGTGGCCGCAGCCCATTGCCTGCCCGTCGGTGGAGCGCTTCTTGGATCCATGTGAGGCGAAGCCGACCCTGCTGAACGTGCAGCCGCCTCCTCAGACCTTCGCTTCCGAGATATGGGCTGCGACGATGGCGAAGCTTTTGCGCGACAAGCGCGAACCCTTGCAGCAAGCATGGCTCTTCCCAGTCACTACCAGCGTGGGACGTTGCTCCGTGAAGTTGGACACGTGCCCCTGTTTGCTCACCCGCAACAAGATCTGGATCTCCAACAGAGGTCGGCTCCTCAATGCGCGCGAGCGCTGTCGCTTGCAAGGCATGAACCCAGACCACTTCAAGCAGGTGGTGTCGGATGCCCAATGGCGTACGCAACTCGGCAACGCTATGAGTGTCAACGTGGTAGAGCGCTTGCTCGCGCGCCTCTTGCCTGCGGTCGGACTGACGGGTCCGCTCCCAGACCGTTGGGCGAGCGGCGCCGCAGTGGCGGAGCTCGAAGCCACCAGAACCAGCGTGTAGCCGCCAGACGTTAGTGAGCCGTTGGCAGCCTAGTGTAGCGACAGAGCGTCCTGACAGACCACGTGTGCGAAGGCGCGTGTGGAAAAAGAAGTGCACGTAGCGCAGTTCATGCATTGCGCTCGCCGAGATATGGAAATTGCCGAGCATCCCCGAGGGGGTCCAGAGGCATGTCATAAGAACGGCGGACGTGGGAATGGCCATCCCTGACACGCCGCGGCCACCCCTTAGTGGCATCAGGCCACACCCACGGACGGAAACCACCCCGCCATGCAGAGACGAGCCTGCCAATTTGATAGACCGAAATCACCCCACAGGCGGAAGTGTTATCCCACGTAGCTCCCCGGCGGCATGACCGTGAACGCTTTGACGAAAAGCCTTGACCGTGAACGCTTCGAGCAGCTCTGAGCAGCCCACCGATTGGAGAAACAGGTGTGCAGAAGGGTGCTCGCGTCTGAGTCGGGCCCCCTGGATGAGCAAGAGGCCCGCAAAGTGAGAAGTGGCCCGCCGCAGGAAGAAAACAAAGTAAAGAACGGGAAAGAACCCTGGGGGGGACAGGGAGGGACCGGAGGAAAGAAGTGGTCGAGGACAGGAAAGAACTTCTGGAAAGACCCCTTGGCTGGAAAGAACCCTTGGGGAGGTCAGGGAGGAACCAGAAGAAAGAACTGGAAAGAACCCTTGGAGAGGACAGGAAAGAACTCCTGGGAAGAACCCTTTGGCTGGAAAGAACCGACGGGGAAGGCAGAGAAGAACCCTTAGAGAGGACAGGAAAGAACTCCTGGAAAGAACCCTTGGCTGGAAAGAACCATTGGGAAGGACAGGGAGGAACCGGAGGAAAGAACTGCTCGAGGACAGGAAAGAACTCCTGGAAAGAACCTTTGGTTGGAAAGAATCCTTTGGAAAGAACCCTTGGGGAGGACAGGGAGGAACCAGAGGAAAGAACTGGAAAGAACCCTTGGAGAGGACAGGAAAGAACTCCTGGACAGAACCCTTGGCTGGAGAGAACTTTTGGGGGGGACAGCGAGGAACCGGAGGAAAGAACTGGAAAGAACCCTTGGAGAGGACAGGAAAGAACTCCTTGGGGGGGACAGGGGACCAGAGGAAAGAATTGGTCGAGGACGGGAAAGAACTCCTGGAAAGAACCTTTGGTTGGAAAGATCCCTTGGGGAGGACAGGCAGAAAGTTCAGGAAAGAACTGGAAAGAACCCTGGGGGGGACAGGGAGGGACCGGAGGAAAGAAGTGGTCGAGGACAGGAAAGAACTCCTGGAAAGCGAAAGAAACATTGAGGAGGTCATGGAGGAACCAGAGGAAAGAACTGGAACGAACCCTTGGAGAAGACAAGAAAGAACTCCTGGAAAGAACCCTTTGGCTGGAAAGAACCGACGGGGAAGGCAGAGAAGAATCCTTAGAGAGGACAGGAAAGAACTCCTGGAAAGAACCCTTGGCCGGAAAGAATTATTGGGGGGGAGAGGGAGGAACCGGAGGAAAAAATGGTCGAGGACAGGAAAGAACCTGGAAAGAACCCTTTGGCTGGAAAGAACCCTTTTGAAAGAACCCTTGGGGCAGACAGGGAGGAACCAGAGGGAAGAACTGGAAGGAACTCTTGGATAGGACAGGACCGAACTCCTGGAAGGAACCCTTGGCTGGAAAGAACCTTGTGGGGAGGACAGCGAGGAACCGGAGGAAAGAAGTGGGAAGAACCCTTGGAGAGGACGGGAAAGAACTCTTGGAAAGACCCCTTGGGGAGGACAGGGAGGAACCAGAGGAAAGAACTGGTCGAGGACGGGAAAGAACTCCTGGAAAGAACCTTTGGTTGGAAAGATCCCTTGGTGAGGACAGGAAGAAAACAGAGGAAAGAATTGGAAAGAACCCTGGGGAGGACAGGGAGGGACCGGAGGAAGAATTGGTCGAGGACAGGAAGAACTCCTGGAAAGAACCCTTGGCTGGAAAGAACCCTTGGGGAGGTCATGGAGGAACCAGAGGAAAGAACTGGAAAGAACCCTTGGAGAGGACAGGAAAGAACCCTTTGGCTGGAAAGAAACGGGGAAGGCAGAGAAGAATCCTTAGAGAGGACAGGAAAGAACTTCTGGAAAGAACCCTTGGCTGGAAAGAACGATTCAGGGAGGAGAGGGGGGAACCGGAGGAAAAACATGGTCGAGGAAAGGAGAGAACCCCTGTAAAGAACCTTTGGCTGGAAAGAACCCTTTTGAAAGAACCCTTGGGGAGGACAGAGAGGAACCAAAGGAAAGAACTGAAAGAACCCTTGGATAGGACAGGACCGAACGCCTGGAAGGAACCCTTGGCTGGAAAGAACCTTTTGGGGAGGACAGCGAGGAACCGGAGGAAAGAAGTGGAAAGAACCCCTGGAGAGGACAGGAAAGAATTCTTGGAAAGAACCCTTGGGGAGGACAGGGGGGAACCAGAGGAAAGAACTGGTCGGGGACGGGAAAGAACTCCTGGAAAGAACCTTTGGTTGGAAAGATCCCTTGGTGAGGACAGGAAGAAAACAGAGGAAAGAACCGGAAAGAACCCTGGGGAGGACAGGGAGGGGCCGGAGGAAGAATTGGTCGAGGACAGGAAAGAACTCCTGGAAAGAACCCTTGGTTGGAAAGAACCCTTGGGGAGGTCAGGGAGGAACCAGAGGAAAGAATTGGAAAGAACCCTTGGAGAGGACAGGAAGAAAACAAAGGAAAGAACCCTTTGGCTGGAAAGAACCGACGGGGAAGGCACAGAAGAACCCTTAGAGAGGACAGGAAAGAACTCCTGGAAAGAACCCTTGGCTGGAAAGACCATTTGGGGAGGAGAGGGAGGAACCGGAGGAAAGAACTGGTCGAGGACAGGATGGAACTCCTGGAAAGAACTTTTGGCTGGAAAGAACCATTTTGAAAGAACCTTTGGGGAGGGCAGGGAGGAACCAGAGGAAAGAACTGGAAAGAACCCTTGGAGAGGACAGGAAAGAACTCCTGGAAAGAACCCTTGGCTGGAAAGAACTTTTGGGGAGGACAGCGAGGAACCGGAGGAAAGAACTGGAAAGAACCCTGGGGGAGGACAGGAAAGAACTCCTGGAAAGAACCCTTGGGGAGGACAGAGAGGACCCAGAGGAAAGAATTGGAAAGAACCGTTGGAGAGGACAAGAAAGAATTGCTGGAAAGACATCTTGGGAGGATAGAATTCAACACCTTGGGGGGGGCAAGATTCAAATCGACGAAAGAACGGGGGAGAAACCTTGGGGCGAGCAGGCAAGAACTCCTGGAAAGAACCCTGGGCTGGAAAGAACCAGCGGGAAGAACAGGGGAGAACACTTAGAGAGGACAGGACATAATTCCTGGAAAGAGCCTTTGGCTGGAAAGAGCCCTTGGGGAGACACGAGAGAGCCGGAGGGAAAGAACTGGAAAGAATTTGCGTAGAGGGCAGGAAAGAACTCTTGGGAAGAACCCTTGGTTGGAAAGAGCCCCTGAGCGGGAGGAGATGACTTAAAAGAGTTCTTGGGGAGGACGGGGGAGAACTCCTGGATAGAACCCTTAGCCAGGAAGAACCATTGGGTAAGGCAGGAAAGAACCCTTGGGGGGGGGGCAGGAAAGAGTCGAATGAAAAGAAAGAGAACTTGGAGAGGACAGGAACGAACCGAAGGGGGGAGCTGGGAAGATCCACTGGCTGGAAAGAACCCTTGAAAGAACCATTGGGGAGAATTGGAATGAACCCGTGACGAGATTTAGGAAAAGCAACGCTCGCACGTGTGAGAACCTTAGCAGGAATGCACGCGTGCATGTCTGCCTCCTTTGGCTCGTCGAGTAGTGTTGTCTATCTGGACTCTTCCAGATTTGCGATCATGGCAATCCCGTCGGTCGCGCCAGCGCTGGATGAAAAAGATGATCTTCTGAAGTGGCTCGGCCCCGAAGGGGCGCCGCGCTTCCTGGAGGCGTTTCGGCGCGAGACGGGCCGAGAGATCAACAACAAAACAGGGAAGTCAGTGCGCGTCTACGTCAACGACCTGGCCCGTGCCGCTTACAAGGCCAAAGGTAAAGAATGGCCGCTGGGTGAGACGAACCTGCAGGCCATCCGCACACGCGTCAAGTACATTGTGCAGACAGGC